TACCCCCCGGAAACCCCTTGGTGCCGCATTGATTGAGGACCATTTTTCGAATGAAATGTTGTAGCTTGCCAGGTGCAGTGTAAATGAAACTTCTGTCAGATAGGGGGGCCCCCCCCCCCCCCCCATCCCCCACTTTTGCCGGAATATAGTTTACATGTTTCGTCTAAAAACGGACATAAAAGCGCTAAGTAGGGGTTTCCTAAGGAAAATTAGCCTGTTACAAAGCACTGGAACGGGGCAAATGGGGCGTGGTCTCACTGGCCACGCCTATTACCCTCCCACTCTGCAGTAGGTGACGCCGCCTTTGTCCACTGGTATTGTTTTCTTTCCGTCTCTGACTGTCCCTAAAAACTAATAATCTCTAATTGTACTCTACACTTTTCTAACTTTCTCATTGAAAATAAATTGCAAATAAACATGCAAATTTTGACGATTTCCTCAGTGTTTCTCGGCGTTAAAATAGGGCATTTAACTCGGTATTTTGAGCGTTTCATGAATCTTTGACTATTTATCATGACTATTTATCATTTTTCATAAACAAGATTCTAACATCAATTATTGACACAAGAAAGATAATGGGATGGGGTAGATGTCCAGAGGTTTTAATTTAACAAGTACATGTATATACTTGATACTTTGCATCAAGCTACAAAAGCTTGCATTCAACGTCAAACCTTCATCTACGAAAATGACTGCCCACCCTCTTTCTTACTTGGTCGAGAGACAAAACCTTCGTCCTCTGTTTCCAAACAATGTCGCAGGGTCATAGTACATGCGCATTAATAGCAGTATTCACACAGCTGTTCTGTCTGGGACCACACAACTTCCCGCCAGTGCTTCAAGTGATGTCACAACTTCCCGCCAGTGTATGTCTGGAAGACGGGCATTGACACATTTCTTTTTAGTGCACCTGGAAATTCGGTCGCTTGCCCAGGTCCTAGAATTCGATTGCACCCCCGACTCAGTCAAAATGTAAGAATACAGATTTCTCGGAGCATGCAAGTACGTCGTTTTGTCAAATGTAAAATGATATTTTCTCTGCCATTATGTCAATTAAGTCTTGATTACATAAAATATGCACAAATTCAAAAATTCAATAGTTAAGTCTCTTGCACAAACTTTTTCACAGAAATATACTGCCAGTATCTTTGAACAATGCAGAAAATTCGAGCGTCTGTTCATTCCCAGAGATAGTGCTAAAATTAAGGAAAAATCAGAATTCAGAAATTTATTTAAATTGTATGAAGGAAGAAGTAAAATATGAACGTGACGATATTTTTTATATGAAACCTCTATGAAACCACAATTTTCCAAAGCTCAAAAAAACTCTCTTACAAAGATTGTTATACCATTCATCCATTGTACATTTAAAAATCATTTTAAGAAAATGTGGTGCCCTTTTTTCGATCAGCTTGGCTACCGCTCCGAGAGAGTTTCTTCTTAAGAATTCTACTTCAAAGATACCAACAAACGTCATTGTATTCTTCTTTCATTCAATGTGTTTTGCGAATACTATTTAATATGTAGTTTTTCAATGTTGTACGACATTAGGTTGCTTCTATGTAGCTGTCTAAACTCAATAATATACTGAAAGTAACAAAAAACTAACAGACAAGAGGATACAGAAATTTCCTAATATTTTAAAAAGATTGGCCAGACACAAATCACATTTAAGGGGCGAAATTTGTATTTAAATTCTTAATGATACCTAAGTATAAAGAAACTCGAATAAATTATTTTGAAAAACATACCTTTCATTTTTGGGTTCTGATTCGTCACTATCACTGAAAAGATCAACCAAGAAGTCTGGATGTTTATGCTCCTTCTTTTCCCTCTCGCATTCTGATTGCTGCTGAAAAAATTATTTCAAATACTTGCTGATGAAAATATGAAAAGTATAGTTTACTTTCAGTTTTTAAATCGCCTTTTATGGGGCTAAAGGCTAAAGAGCTTTGTATGGGGGGGGGGGGTGTAGATTCCCAGATTTGCTGACAAAAATGGCGTCCTAAGTTGCAACCATACACGGTGGCGAAACTGTTTCCAGTTAAATCTTGAGCCATTTGAGAAAATATAGAAAATTCTTAGGCAGAGTTGGAGTTCATAACATAGAAGAATTTTTTTTCGCCAATCATATATTTTCGAATTTTAAAACATAGGAGCAGAAATAGATAATAAACTTAGAATCTAAGACAAAGAACCTAAAGTTAGGGGTGTGGGGCCCTAAGTACACTGTTTTGCTACGTCCCTGTAAGAACACAACAGCAAGAATTGCTGCAGATAGGCAACACTGTTTATCTTTTAAACTTTGCATAAACGTTGACTTACTTCTTGTAATTCAATTTTGTCACAAACGGTGGATTTTGAAGCTTCTTGCATCTGGAATTCAAAGTGGTCTAAAAGAAAATGCACTTAAACCAATCAGAATAGTATAAGAAGGCCTCTCAGTTAAATTTTTTGAGAAAGACCAAGCATCTGAGAACACTGGGGTTCAATTGCTTTGGCAGAATTTAACAGATTCTTTCATTTTTGGATGGATTCAATAATTTATGTTTCTTGCGATCTTATAAGTTTATTAAAGAGATATAAAATGAAGCCAATTTTTCGCGTACACGGTTAACACACCTGTGGTAGGATTCTTAATCTCTATCGAAGTCTTTTCGACTTGTTTTGAAGTATCCATTTCTCTTCTACTCATTGTTCCTCGAGACTTTCCATGCGTTTTTGCCCACAGAGACTTCACTTTGCTTTTCAGTTGTTGTTCTGGCAAGAACGGATACATCCTCCGAAGTCTTACGAAGTTTCTTTCAGCAAAAGTCTTGAACCTTTCCTTGCTGAGGGTTGATTTGATTTTCATCAATTGGTATTCACTGTCAATTTGCATCATTTTTATCAAATAATGTAAATTTTAAACCTACGAAAAAAACACTAAATTGGCGGGAAACTCAAATCACGAATAAAGATGGCGTTCGGTGACGTCAGCCTAAGTCTCCAATGCAAACAAAGTCAGAAGAAACAATATTTACTTTATTCCAACTAAAGCTAAAAACTCTTTATTTGATTTTTTATGATCATTTTGGAAACATTTTCACAAATTGAAGTTGACAAATCTAAAATATGTCAAAGGAAAGTATTTTATGGTAAATATTTCATGGAGAGTTTTGTCGCTACTGCTCTTTGATACCAGATAAGGATTTATCACCCTTATGTCCATTTGAATAGATTTCTTAGAAGATGGATGGAGGGAGGGGGGGCTGGTGGCTCTTGTGTTTTTCTTCTTTCCTTGAGACTACTTGCTTTACATTTGATGCCTAATAATACTCACTGTATCCTTTTAGCCATGTATGGTTCACCAATTTTACTACTCATTTTCTTGGTGACTTTACGGAAATCATCCTATTTGTCACTAATTTGTCATCTAATTGCGTTAGCATCTGAACTATTTTTGACAACACATACAAAGTATTCGAAAGCACAACGAAAGGTCGATTGATACGATAAACTGACTAAATCTATCTTGAGGAGAATTCTTGAGGTAAACTACATGAAAAAAGATCTCTCAGCTGAAAATATTCCAATGTAAAAGTCATGAACTGTATACCATGTAGTTTTACAGAAGGCATATTACGTAGTTAATGCTAATGGTCTGGAGCATAACATGCTTAATGCTTTAAGTGCTGAAATGCAATCAATGTGAAGAATACTCGCATTAAGTAACAGGGGGGGGGGATAGAGTTGGGACGTTTAGGTGCAAGAAAGGGGTTAGACAGGGATGTATGTTGGGCCCAGTATTGTTTATGTTGACTGATGAACGGGATTAAACTTTTAAATGGGTAAACGTGGTGCGCATCTTTACGACGTTACTGATACTCGCATTTTCTTTATGCGAAAAGAAGCTGCAAAAAGGACAAAGGAAAAGTTCATGTTGCAAAGTTACTAGGTAAATTTAAATTAGGGTACAATTAGGGTACGGTACTTGCATTTTAACTTTAAAAGACACTGCCAACAGAGAAGTGCTTTTACATATAAAACTGAAAATTGGAGTAACTACGTAGAATAGATACACAGGTTTGTTTCTTTAATTCCAAAAAATTTGATGGAAATAAACAGGGAACAATGTAGCCATCACACAAAGTTTTCCCAGGGGGGCTGAGCCCACTTGTTTATGCCAAAATACAACCAATTTCCAGCGCCCGTTCCACCGATCCTAAAGTGGGGGGGGGGGCAAAACAAAGGGGTTACCTATTTAATACCTAAAAGAGGGATCTAATATCTATAATTAGCGAGAAAAGTTGGGGCCATGGCCCTGCACCTTAGAGCTCTTCAATTTGCGCCCCATAGAAAAAACCCTGGTTATACCATGTAGATTATCAACATTCATAGCAAACATAGGCCAGTTGGGTTTTCAGAGGCGTCATGACAGCCAAAGCTTCTACAGTGAGCCTTGACAAGAGAACAAACAGGCCAAAGAATACCCTTATAACAATTGTATCAGAAAATGTTCAGAGTAGAGACAGTGACATAAAAGAAGTCCAATTTCCACTGACTTGTGTTTATTTATTCATTGCTCAACACAATCATAAGATAAATTGCAATTAAACAAGCTTCATAAGATCTTTTCCTTAGCTTGAATTCACACAACAAAACCAATTATTTATTGCATCGCAAGAGATTAAACGAGTAGGCAAATTTCCAAAAGACAGAAAGACTAGCGACATACCACAGGAAAATCATATGCATTCTGGATAGAGGCCCTAAAATAATTATTCAACTGTGATTCTCAATCCTGATATAAAAATTGCTTAAAAATTTTGAATATTAATGTTATCTATCACATTTTTTAATTGATTCATAGTGACGGATCACCATATATAATTTTCATTTAGTAATGAAAATCAGGCCACCTGAAAATTTGCCACTAGGTAGCCTTACTATAAAAAACTGCAATGGGGACCTGAATTGTCCTAGAAAACTTTCTAGAAGCAGTGTTAAGGAACATCATTTACTGCCACCCAGCTAAATCCTCATCACAAACATACAGGGTTTACATGTACAACACACTTACATGTTTGCAAAAAATATATGTAGACGTTGTATTACTTGTAAGCCAAATAAAAAGGCAATAAACAGTCTCTTTCTACAAAATACCAAAGTAAACAACAAGCTTTTTGCATTAGTCTCTACACAACAAACACCCACATTATTTGATCAATCTGACGTTTTTGGGGTAAAGAAACAGATCACTTCCAACATTGCTGTAAAAACATGCCCAAATTGGTTTGATCTCAACTCAACAAGCAGGAAATCCAATTTAACCAATGCAACAAAAAAGCGATAGTCACACATGCAACTGTTTAGGTTTAATTACTAGTTAAATATCCAAGTTAAGTCTGGCAGAAACTTGAAAACAAGTTATTCTTCTCTCATGTTCTCCTCTTATGAAGAGAAAACCCAGTCTCATACAGACCATCTTGGAAAAGCCTCTCAATGCAAGTGTTCATTTCTGTTTAATGAATTTACAATGATAATCCTCAAGTAATCATGATGTCATCTCCAACTCTTTCTCTTTCGCTTGGTGAACATTTGCCAGAGCAAAACATTTGTAGAGTAGAAAGCACCTGTTGCATCAAACATCAATCTTTGACTTGCACATTACATCAAGATATTAGCCTAAGATTACATCTTTCTTGATTAAATGCATATTGTACAGGCAAATCTGCAGTCCTGGGCATAATCATGATCATCTCCAACATTCTCGACTATTTACATTTCCACAAGATGAAACTGTAACTTGAATCTGATTCTGGGATGCAGAAGTATTGTTTGTAATATTTGTCGAAGTTTTAGAGTCTGCAGTTTGTAACTTTGATAACGCAAGTAAAGCATCTGGAAAATTTGGTGGTGTTGCAGGTGTGTTGGCTGGTGTCATAACCTACAAATGTACCACAGTACTGTTAATAGTGTCCTAAATATATCAAACAAAGTATACAAATAAAAAAGGAAGTAAAAAACTCTGGCTCACTCCACACAAATTAAAAGAATAATCCAAGCTTGACAAACTGCATCCTTGAATTTAAACTGTACTCAATTCTCTCATATAAAAAATTCAAATACACTGTTGTGATACTAAAAAATTGAGATTGAAGTAATAGTTTTAAAATTGTGCAAGCCTTCTGTACTGCAAAATTCTAAAATAGCATACAAATGTAGAAAAAATATCCTGTATTATTTAAGTACTTCTCATTCCATACTTCTCAATATATGAAAAGATTGATAGGGAAAAGTGATATCTTTTGAATGTTGTGTTCAATGGGTTATTTTACTTAACCCCAAGACAATTTAGTAGCAGGGTTGACTACCTAATAAAAAAAGTATTCGTTTTGTTAATATGTGATTGAATTTTAAAAAACACATCTCTTCTTTTCTTCAAATTATCATCAGAGGCTGGTAATTTTCTTACGTTGTTCTTGACATTTTAATTTTTTGGCAAATCGAGCCTCGCTGTTATTATGAACTGTATTCTTAAAAAGAGGGGCGTAACAACTTTACAAAGGCACTTAAGAGAGAGATGGTCATTCAAAGATTGTAACTATTCCGCCCCAAAATATTTGAAAAACTGTTACTTCATGCATGAACTAGCCATTTCAACAGAATGGTGTGGCGGTACTAAGCTAAAGGGTTTTAACGTAAGGGAAAACATCATATCCTTGTCTTTCAAAAAGGCCTAATCAAGGCATTGTGGAAATGGTGCCATTCCCTGCAGTGCTATGTCAGCACCAAACAGATTTGACCTCATTAACATCAGGCGGACCTGCCGAGCAGACATGTCAACAGGGATAATAAAGTAAACATTGGGAACCCAACGCTGAAACGAAAAGCAGCACACTGAAACGCCCTGGTACCAAAGACATGTTGACGAAAAGACGGCCTTTCCTAAAAATGCAGTCTCATTGTTTAGTGTAAAAAGAAAAACGCTATTAATTCAAGCAAATTGGTTGAAAATTTGACGTCGGCGTTTATCTTTGAAATTTTCAATAGAATCTGGGTGGTAACACGAGTTACTAGCGAATCACTACTTTTTGTTTGAAGTGAATAGCAACTCCAAATACAGATAGATCATTGCCTCTAAAATAGGGAACGCATGTTGAATTTTTTTGGTTAAAAGATTAATAAACCCTAAAGAAAATAAAGACTTACGATAGGACCACAAAGAAAATGTATAGCAGGCAAATGATAACATTTCCCCATAAAAACACGATACTATTTTGGACGAGCTTCTAGTTTAGAATTTAATGCTACAGATACTTAATTAATCAATAATAAGCAATATTCACAAAAACTTAAAGCTGGGAGTTACTGAATTCCGGAATGTAATTATGTCTAACTTACCGATGAGTGAAGATGTTGCGGGACCGTTGCCTCTTGAAAGAATAGGCTCAATGCAGTCTGAAAATACGACAAAATACGATTATAAAAAGCAAGAATTCCAAATTTACAACTTAAGTCTGGAAACTGAAAGCAAGAGACCCTTTTAGTTGCACGGGTAAATAGTTATTATCTTGAGTGTCGGCATGGCAAAACAACTCACTTCAAATTGCCATTGTGCAGCTTGCAAAATTTGTATTGCTTGGTCCCTTGGACAGCCGGCAGCCATGACAAATTGGTTTATCATAACTTGCTCTCTAAGATTATCCATTTTGGTGCAAAAGTTTCATGAATTTCAAGACACAACACAAACAAATCTCATGTGTTGAGAATTTGTAAAGTTGTGATCATTGAAAAACAGCGTGCCGATGTTGTCCCTTTCTATGTCATCTAACACGAGCAGTTTTGATCCTCCCTATGATTCGTGAGCAGAACCGACAGACCACAAAATGTGTTCAAGAGATAGACGAGCTTCTAATTTATAGAAATGTTTCTGAGAAATCGGAATCATGTCTTGAGGCTTTAGTTTAAAATTACAAATGTACCCCACATTCTTTACCATTGGAATTACAAAAAAATACAAGTCAATGCTTTAAAAATGTGTAAAAAAGCACCTTGAAATATTTTGAGTATGGAATTATATGATCAAGCATCCTTTTCGTAACTATTCATATTCTAAACCAATGGCGTTGGAATGTATTGAAAGCAGGAAAAAGACGAAAAGGGGCCATTTTTTAAGGCGTATTACAAGGACATGCAAAAGGGGCATCTCGGGGGAATCTATCAGCCAATAGCATGCACTTCATATTTCACTAACGGGGCAATAACGGTTGCTGGAAAAGCATAGGGGTGCATACCTAAAGGCCCCCGGTCCTTACACCACTGTTCTCGGCCAAAACTAGCTGGGCTCGTTATCTGTGACGATTGTTACAGTTTTTCACCCCAAAGTTGACATCACGCTCGAGGCAGATGACATTGGCCTCAAAACAGAATGTTTATTGTTGTTCACGCAAAGAATTGTGGGGCGAACTGTATGCCGGGAATGTTCCGACCGTCTGGTGTTTTGGAAAAACTCGTAGTTGATTGGCCGGAATTCATTGTATTCAATTCACACACATGTGATACGGATGCATGTGACCAATAAACGGGCTCTCAAACGGATGCCTTCCAGGAAAACAGTTTCCGGCTAGTCAAAATATTTGCCTGATACACGTATTTAGGACGTAACTGTTATCATTATTACAAAGCAGACATAAGTCAACCAGACAAAAGTAAACCAGACAAAAATGTGTTAAATCGTTTAATGAGATAATTTGGAATGTAATAAAATAATCGATTGTCATTTACTTTACTGAAATTTGTCTTGCAGTTTACATGCAAAACATTTTATCCGATAGTTATATAAACAAGCAAACATTGGGTGACGGAAAAGAGTTTCGTACACAGGCTCTCTTGGCTCAAAAACATGCAGGGGCAAGTAGAAGGTCCCGTCTTAATTCAAACAAAAGGAATAGTGGAGAAAACCTTTTGAAACATTGAATTATTTTACTTCAAATTTGGATTACTCGTTATATGAGCAACTTATATAACTGACCTTTGACAGTAAGTTATTTTCTCTTCTTTATTACATTGGATTACATGTCATTCATTTGAAATCCTGGAATCCAATTCTCTTTGCAAAAGCGATTAAAATTGATATCTCTGAAATGCCGAACTTAGCAAACCGCGAGAGTAGCAAGAATCAAGTGAAGTCAATTTTTTATAAGGACACGTTTTATTACAGGGCCAACGCCACGAATTTCAAGGTGGAGAGGCCAAGTTCTGTAATCCGAATTTGAATTTAATTCTTCAAAACCGGGCCTTTTAACAATATTTTTGCTTACCAAAAAAGTGGGGGCATCCCCGGTGGCGTTGGCCCTGTATAAGGACACTGAGACCCCATTAGGCAACAAATAAGAACGACGTAAGAACAACAGAGCCTAAGGTTATTCAGAAATAAGAATACCTAGCCTCGGAAAAGTAACAAATGTTTCTTACATACAGTTTAACCGGTTGGAGATTTCCAAAGATTACGGACTGTATCTTTGAATTTCTTGAATGTTTAAAAATATCGCATTATGCTTAATTAAGAGCATTCAATTTCTCAGTTTTTCAAACTGCAAACGCACTTTTGAATAAGGCAATAAATGGAGAAACGCCTAGCCGAAAACTGCTGACAAAATGTTGACATACTAGTCTTTTTATGAAGGCACCAGATGGGCTTTAAGTTGTCGTGGTTTAACTGATCATAAGAAAGGAATTTTTTGCTAGAAAGATGGGAGACAAGACAACCAACTGATCTCATAAGAAATACACATCCAGTAGGAGCACGTCTAATTTTGCTTTCGTTCTAAATTGACCAATTCAATTTAAAAGCCCTTTTCCTGGGACAAAAGTCCTACTTTGATTAGGGAGCTGTCATTTTTAGTGGTGGGCATAAGGATGGAAGAATTTTGCAGAAAAATGGGAGTTTTTTACCCCATTCACCAAACCCAATAATATTTGAAAACAAATTTCCAAACAATGAAAAAATTGATATCCCAATATCATTTCTACTCGTGACAAACATTCAATATATAAATATATTAATTGAGATAAAAAATATTACATTCATATGTTTTCATTGAAATCCTAATTAATTAAACTTCCAGGAAAACGGGAAAATTCAGGCAAAAATTTTTCGACACCCCATCCCATCCAGCTTGAGGTATAAAAACGCTCCGGTACTTATCGCTGCACAACAATTATAATTGTTTTATGCAAGACAAATAAATTAGATCTCGGTGCAGATGTACTGAAAAAATCGATACCCCATCAGGAATTAGTGAACAAAATTTGATAACCCAATTAAACAAGGCTAAAACCCTCCGAAAATTCTTACACCCCGGTACCCAGAATTTAAAATGACAACTCCCAATAGGTTTTTCCAATTTATGCGTCGATTTAGTACTTAACCCAACATATTTCAATCTAAGGGACTGTAAATTTAGTTTCCAGCAACCTAGGGGGCGGGGGGTTTGGAGGAAGAGGATGCAGCATGGCATGAAGAATTCCCTACGAAATTTTAAATCAAAAGCCAAAATTCAATGGGAACAAGATTAGACGACCCTATGATTGGATCAAATTATTATAAGTCTGCTAGAATGAACTCCTTACAAATTGTAAGAAATTGCGCCTTAATTGGGAAGTTTTTCCAGAAACTCGGAAAGAATGTTTGCAAAAAACATTTGCACCAAAATATTTTAGACATCTTTGATGGTAAATTTTAGATATCAAAGTTAATAAAAAACTTTACCAGTTGCCACACTAGTCAGGTATTCAGAATCAAGTATATTGGTTTACTTGTAGACATAACTAAAAAAAAATCAAACTTATGGTAAAACATGTTCATAGTTAGCAAATGCGCCGGCCCTGACAAAATCCATTCTCGTGGACCGTGGATCAAACGAAAACCCTTTTTCCCAATATTTGGCTCGAAGGTGCAAATAGATTAGTATGTGTCACCGACTGTCTTTATTGTCACTGCGCATAGCTGTCATACCGTTGTAATAAAACCCACGACCTGAAATGGCTCAGAAAAACCACTAATCGACCCAGGGCATTTTTTAAGATATAAAGTGGTGGGAAAATTCCCCACCAGCCCCTTTCATTGCCCCACCAGTGGAACATGTTTGCCCCACCACTCAAGTGCCCTTATGATTCGGTGACTTTTTTACTTTTTACTTTATTTGAGATATTGGTGGATGAAATCTTCATTAAACAGGTTTCAAATCTCAATTCATTTTTCCCTGAAACTGCTGCTTCTATAGGCGATTCCCCTAGAATATTTTTGAAAGCATGTTTATCTGCAAATTCTGCCTTTATCGATATGCCCTTTTCTCAAATACCCCACCAGTGGAAAATTCTTAAAAAATGCCCTGAATCGACCCCGACCAGGGCATTTCCCCCCTAAATGCTATACCTAGGCTTTTTTCATCGAAATCACACCAAGTTACAGATACACAGTCACGACGTGTCCTTTCTTTTTCATTCACAGAGTAGGTCCCGAAGTTTTAACTTAAAGACTCATTGCTAACAATGAGCCATTGCGCTACGTAAGCATCCCATAATGCATTTTTAGACTGTCTAAAATCAATTTTGGTTAATCCGTAGAAAATTACTGCCATTGTTTGGACCGTCGCCACGCTCGCAAAGGCCCATTGTTAGCAATGAGTCAGCAGTGGAAAAGCGACGATTTCTTTATCACTTTGACTTACTTACAATTTACTTCAAAGTGACAACTTTAACTTATGCAAACAGCTGCATTCAGAACATGACAAAGGTAAATTTCTTGAAATTCAAATATTGGCAAAATGGTTTGAGGTGAAGCCACACCCAACGACATCATTTTGCGGTCTTTCATAAAACTTTGACCTTTCGCTTTTAATAAACGATAATATGACCTTGAGGGAAATTCTTTTTACTCATTTCCGTTCTGCTCTTGACAGTCCGCAGTTTTTTATGTCAAAAGATTTCTTAACACTCTTTGGGCGTATTAATTTGTTTCTCGGGTAAACTTATAAAATTTATAAGCCGGGCTAAAATGATTTGTGCATACTTCTGTTGCAAAATTTTCTGCAACCTAAGTCTCTAAAATGCCATTTCATTTGATCTCGTAAGAAAGTTTTCGTGGCATAAATACCTGGGGCATTGTCAATTTTTCAATATTAAAAAACATTTTCGATTACACCAATTCAAATAAGGGCATATTCGTTTGGACATATTCTGCAAACCTTTTTGTAGCAAACTTCTGACTACTCACATTTCTCGTGACATTGATTTTTTGTTGACTTTAAGTTAAACAATTATAGAAAAAGGTGAACAGCTATTTGGCGGTATAGAACTTGAAAATGGCTTGAAAAAAACAAAATTTTACAACATATTGGCTAAAGCTTTTTTGTCTGACACTTCTTAGAGCATAAAACGTCAGAATAAGGGTCCGAAAGAACATGATGAAAAATATATACCCAGTTGTGGATAGAAATAGGCCAATCAGAAAAACGCAAGCAAAAGACCGGTATAGTTGACCAATCAGTGCCGCGTGTCTAAAGAAAAATTACCACTGGAGCCCAAGAGAGAATAATCTGTCTATACAATGGCGGCTTTTTCGTTTGCATGTAGATCGATTCCAAAACTGCTATATGGAAAGACGACCGGGCTCTACCAATTATCCGAAACGAAAAATGCTACAAGGAGTGTTAGACGAGAAAGCGTTTAAAGCCAAAAAAAATATTTGCTTTTTTCAAAGCCATTTCCAAATTATAGAAGATTTGACCGTGATCAATTACTGAAGACGAAAACGTTTCATCCGAAAAGATTTTTGCAGTCAATCTCAAGTTTTCAAACTATACATCGTGATAAAATCTACAACATAACATGCACAAAAAACATAAAAAAGATTGTGTTCGTTCTTGGGGTAGGGTGGTGAATCCCAATTTGTGCTCAAAAGAGTCGTACAATGTTTGGCTGAAGAGGCCCTTTATGGGCTCAACTCTCCTACCTTTGATCTGTGAGATTTTGACGTTTTATAATGGAACCATATCAGTTGCAATGTTTATTGCCGGAAATTTAAAAAACTCTCCCTTTGCTATCTATTGTATTTCAAAATAAACCATTTGCTTACATAAACTATGTTAAATCCAGTGTGGGGTATCAACATTTTATTCTAGGTAGCACTCTGTGAGGTTACATCACATACGTAAATATAAGGGAACACTCTTCTTGCAGCGAAGTTCTTTTATAAAAAAGGCACCATGTGCTGCCTCGCTTTATGGCGTTGTCCTAAAAGTCCACATTTGGGTACGTTCATTTTGTTACCCTTCACCTTTCTTTAAGGATATATGTATCAAGCCACTAAATTTCTCAAATCCTGATCCCTTTCCCCCAAGCTTCCCCTTTCCCTTTCAATATGGCCACGCATCATATATCCTGTATCATGTTCGTCGAAATGAGAGTAACGCCATCCCGCCAAACCTACTTTGCAGGCTCCCTCCAACTACCTCCTCTTTTTAAACAGATAAGATTTTTTAAATTGAATCAAGGAATGAAACTTGACTTCAACATTGTCAGTTGTGCGAAAAGTTCTCATAACGGTTCTTCAGGCAAAACTTACAGAATCCAAATTACGTTTCTTGAATGCACGTACAATTGTTGTGTTCCATTGCAGCGCAATGCGGTGGAAATACCGACGTAAAGGATCCTACAGGAGACTTAGTGCAAAATTTTGATGCAGCCCTCGCCAGCTCCGAACTAAAACTGGCAGACTCCAAATGCTAGAGGCTTGCGACGAATTTGTAGGTCAAGTAAGGAGAAAATTTTTTTTCTCATTGACCAACAAAATCTTTTGTGTTATTTAATTATACATACCGTTGATGTTTCTTCGCTGTGGAACTATGTTGCAAATGTATGTTGCTAAATTGTTTTCTTTAGGGGGCATGCAATGTATGCAGTGTAAGAATAACCGGGTGACGTAACACAAACCTTTAAAATTGCATTTCCTGGACTCTCTTTCTAATTTGCGGTGGGGCCAACTCAAAAGCTTGAAGGTTTTCCTGAAAATAACAGTGATATATAAATTTGAGAAAGATTGTCAGCTATCATTTTAACTGAGATACAGCTAAACCTATATACAATGGGCGCACGTAGGACCCGAGTAGCTGTCCATTGTAGATAAGTGTCCGTTGTAGGTAAGTGTCCATTGAATGGAAATGTCCATTGTAGGTAAGTGTCCGTTGTAGGGAAGTGTCCATTGTAGACAAGTGTTCGTTTTAAAGTACTGCCCAGTGAAGGACGGTGTCTTCTCTGTGAATTGTCCATTGCAGGAAAGTTGCGGTTGAAGAGACTTGTCAATTTTAGAAGAATTGTCCCCTTTAAAGTGATGCTTAATGTAAAGTGGTGTTTTTTCTAGGGGTGTGTACATCGTAGAGAAGCGTCGGTTGTAGAAAAGTGTCCGTTGTAGAAAAGTGTCCGTTGTAGAAAAATGTCCGTTGTAGGGAAGTTCGTTTAACTGGAGGTTGCCGCTACAAGGCCTTGACTGCCAAAAAATATTCTGTATAAAGTCATCCGTCCATTGTTTGGAGGTGCTCGTTATTCTGAGTTGTCATTCTAACGGTATATTGAGTATGCACAAACCAAGACAAGATTATGATCACAAAGATGAACTCAGTCAATTCTTTATAAGGCTCTACCAGTCCCTACCATCGACAACGTAAAAATTCAATGCACAATTTATGCTAATGACGAAGTTAAAAGTATTGTTCCTTAAGACTTAAGAAGTAAAACTTGATAAGGAGGGTGATCTGCATCGAGGGGCAATTCACTCTTCCAGATAATTTCCAGGGGAATTTCCAGATAAAACAATAGGATTTCCACCAAAGGTGTACGAGATTATTTGGAGTGATTTAAAAGTGGAATGGAGTTTCAAAGATGTCCCTAGAACTATCGGTTAAAAATATTGAAAATCCGGACTAGGGATAAAAAACAAAGGTTTAGATCTTTTTGACGAAGTAACAGTACTTTAATATAATTGAATGTAAAACATAAAAAATGTTTCAAAAATATCCAAAAAAAATAAAATTTTGATACAATATACGAAAGAACCATAGGAGAATTCAATGTTTATAAATCTTGAAAAGGCATTTACACGCAAAAGCCAGATTTTAAATTGGATGTGCAGTCATGTTCACAAGTCCTTGCTAGCTAAAAACAATGGGGACTACCCATTGTTATGGAGGGATATGGTTATAAGCTTTTCCTGGATTAAGCAGCCACCTAAATTAGGTAATATACCAAGATCAGGAGTGAGTAGCCACTGCATTTGAGATTCTAAATTTGTAGCACACGATCAACAAAAGGAGAGGAGAGTGATCACGAAACTCTTTTGCTTTGAAACGTAAAATCTTGTATTAGTTTAGATGACTAAAATTTGAGCAGGGGTGACTAGTGAGAATAGAGTGGATATGTACGAATGGGTTACGGTAGCGAGGCCAAGGGAATTTTGTCACGACTTCAACTTAGTTTTAAGCCACAAAGGTTGAGACAATATCTTCCAAAGTTTTAGGACATGAAAATCTTGATAACTTTGTGAGATTCATTCTAGAAATTCCTACCCCTGGAGCAAGAACCCTTTTCACTTAACCGCTCAATAGTGACGTGAATCTCCTAGATCGCAATAAAGCCTTGAGCAATAATCAAACGCAGATAAATAGCACTGGAGGAATGGAATTTTCATTTCATATCAGAAAATTTTGAACCTTCAAAATTCCAGACTATTTTGAAAAGAAATTTTCCGGAAACATTTCAGTCACATCAAGTCTATGTAGAAGCACCCTGCATATGAATTCCTTCAAAACTAAATAAGGTTTCTGGCAAGAAACAAGATATCAACGTAGATTATTGTATTTCTTCACTGAGGCCACACTGAATAGGGAAACCTTAAAGCATCCCAGCAATTGACGAGTGAAAAGGATGGTTAAAAGCTCCTGGAGAAGTTGTGAGCATATATACTCAAAGAATCCTTTCTCTGAATTTAAGGGATACTACACCTAAAGATGTGGGTGTGAAGATCCGGTTTTCTTATTTATAGCTTCAATATTTAAAAGTGAATAATTAGCAATGTATAAGCATACAAGGCAAAAAGATGCCATTGATAGTGCCATCTTAACAGGAAACCTCAACAAGTAATGACCTTCATGAATCACTTAAAATTTGACCAAATAGGAAATGGTGAAAAGGTTTGGGTAGAAGAGAAAATAGCAATTTGTCACTGGTCAAAATTTACATATCTGAGACGCATTGTGGTTGTAAAGAATGTTACAGAAATGCTTTTTTGTGCCTATTGTTGGCCTGGTTCCAAGAATTACAAGCCCAAAAGGAGTTGGAGTTGTAGTTCGTTAGTGAAAAGGTGCACAAGAGATGCCAATTTTTGCTTTAGATAATGCGAGGTAGTCTTTGCTGCTATTTGACCCTTTTTCCACAGTGATACTGTGAAATGCAAAGCAATGCTAGATAGGCCCTATTTTGGTCCAGGGTCTTGGCAAATGTGGTGGGGGAACATACTAGAACTCACTTTCTTATACTTCATCTTGCAAAGCGTCTGTAATTAAGTGCATAGCAGGCTTATAGTGTAACAGGTTCACTCTCCTGTAACGTGTCACGCATGCGCCGTCAGTTAATAGTCACATGACATTTAGCTATATATATTGTGAATAGAAATTTGATAGAGAGTTGATTTATGGAACATGATTACGTGAACGAGCGCTCTTCTTTGCCTTACACTTTACTTTTCACAGTAATTAAAAGGCCTCTTACAATAAGGGGGGGCGGTCAAATGATAGACTTTTAGGGATTGGTAGTGAAACTCGAGCTGGACCAACTCACGACGAAACTAGAACAGCTTTTTTTTCTAAACTAATACTAGTAAGGAGAGGGAATGCTGCCGCCAGTATGAAGCACGATTGACTCACCTTCACTTAAAAGTCGTTTCGGATTGACTATTTCAATAATTTTAGGGATGTGGCACTCCACAGAAATGTAATTCAAGGAATTAAATAGCAACAAAGGGTTTTCATTGAGAATGAAATTGGTGTGAGAACCAGGCAAACATAAATACATAAACCTTGTTTTATTAAGAACTTTGTGAATCCCCAGTTCGAAAGCTTTTCATGTTTCGTAATAATTGAATATTCAAGTCTATAAAAACTTGCTGAAATATTTGGATGGCAGAAACTGTTACCGGTGCAGCCAATCCACTGACAGTATTATCATATCTTGTTTTGAAAATGGTTTTGAAAAAAGCAAACATTTTACAACATATTGGCTAAAAGCTTTTTCGTCCAACACTCCTTAGAGTATAAAACGTCAGAGTAAGGGTCCGAAAGAAAACAATGGAAAATATATACCCAGTTCTGGATCGAAATAGGCCAATCAGAAAAATGCAAGCACATGACCGGCATAGTTGACCAATCAGTGCCGCGTGCCTATAGAAAAATTACCATTGGAGTCCAAGAGAAAAAACGAACTCCTTCTGTCTACACAATAGTGGCTTTTCGTTTCTACATAGATCGATTCCAAAACTGCTAGATGAAAAGACGACCGGGCTTATGATAGTATGTTGTGAAATGTTTGCTTTTTTCAAAGCCACTTCAAGCTCTGTACCGCAAAAAAGTTTAATATCTTGTTTGAATTGCTACACAGAAAATGTATTGCTTGGTTTAGCAGGACGGAAAAAGCTTTTTTCTGACTATCACTGGAAAGATGACATTATTATATTTAGTATATCAAATAGAATTATGAGACACTGTAAAATATTTTAATAATCCGCATTATACTGTGACCTTATGAAAATTCATCTTTAGTCAAAATAATTGTAAGAAATCGATTCCGTTCAGTGCAGTCCAGTTAAGATCTGTCGAGTAGGGTTAATTCATGGTAATTTGAGATGAGGGTTGTGAAAGCATACCTTGTTTCGTAAAGAAGGATCAGATCCTTGTTTCAGTAAATACTTTATGACATCCAACCTTTCCTCTTCGCATGCCAAGTGCCTAGACAACGAGAAAAAGTAAATGAGCAGTGTGTATTGAAATATGAGAAGGACAGCGAGATTCGAGACAATTTGGCTCAATGGTGCAAGCTTACTTTCAGTCTTTTCTAAAAACACATGCTTTTTTTTATATGGCTGAGATTCAACAAAACTCAAAAAATAAATATCAGCAAAAATTCAAAATAAAGAATAACAACAAAGCTAGAGAAACTGCAGGTAAAAGTGCAGCATCCCGGACAGAGGCTTTAATTACTTTATCAAGTACACATTATATCTGGACATAACTATGCACAGAAATATCGATTACAAAAACAAGAAACATGTGAGGTTGAAATTACGCGAAAAATAAGAAACGCCAGGCTGAAAAAGGAACCAAATTGTTTTATAAAACAACGTGCAGGAGGTGCACATGATGGTAGCAAGGGGCAATTTAATAAATGTACATTCAAAGACCTTAAAAGAGCCCTGGGCAACCAGAAACAATTAGGTGAAACTAAATAGCCACTGGATACTATCTTGATTTTTGGACTGCTAGCATTAAGCGGAATAAACTTTATTAGAGCATAACTACATATGCATGACATCTGTGAACTTTTACACATCTACTTGAGAGATGCCGCAGTCCAAATATGCGAAAATTTACAAAATAATATTTGTAACATAAGAGGAACGTTACATGTTGCGGAAAAGAAATTAGAAGGCACGGAAGTTACGCTTTGAAAAACTAAACATTAAAAGTTTCATAACACAAAATCAAAAGTTTCTTAATATTTTTGCTCGAGACAAGATATTTTACCACAGTTCCTTCAGTTTAAAAATAAGAATCTAGAGTTTCTTGTAGAGAGTTCGTATTTAAAAATAAGCATATGACGTTTATCAATAGGATTGATGGGAAAAACGTACATGTTACGTTTTTAAAAGACAATCAACAAGACATTAATTCCTCTTTTAGATTTTCTTATCATTGAATAAAATATTAATAGCAGAACCATTATAGTACGTTAAAGAATTCCTGGTTAAAAATAGTTAAAAATCGATATACGTGAGTTCAGCTGTCATTATTGTGAAATATTCTGTGAAAGGCCGGCGTGCTTGCGAAATAATGAAAAAAAATCTGTTGTGTTTGATTATTTTCAACATGCTACAAAAAATAGAAAAAGACAGAGAAAGATTATGATTCTCTTTGTGAGAGAAGCCGGTGGCAAATAGTTAAAGATCACAATCTTTGAAAAAGCATATTGCCGTTGCAAACGAGGCTGCAGAGATCTAACTTCAAGGTTTCATGGAAGCAAAAGCAAACGTTGCTCGGGAGGAAATAAAGATAAAGGAAGTTTGCCAAGATCAGAAAGAGTTATTTTTTCAAGATTTCACAGATCTAACCTTCTCTGGAAATATAACAGGTCCTTGAAAATAACTCGAATCCGCACAGATACTTGAATCAAAGAAAAAAGCTAGATTTATCAGGACCTTAACAAGCAAAGCATGAAAGACGGAGGGCGTTTTCAGAAAGAATGTTTCACCAACAGTCCATAGCAAAAAATCATTACAATAAGGCTAGAGTTACACTATACCGGATTGCTACTCCGGAGTGATATTTGGGGTGGTAGTAACACTACTACGCCATACGCCTGCGTGCCTCTGCATTTCTGGTACACAATGCAGTGTGCTTTTGTAAGCTCATGCATAAAATGCACCGGATTAAATTATTTGATGATCTTTTCGAAGCTATGTGCTGTTGTAAACTCGTTTTTACTGACTACTGCATAAAATCAAGGAAACAATCCTGAAAACTGAGAGATAATTGCTGGGGTTCGTTGGGCGAATTTGTAGCGCATTCTTTGTTTGTTTCTTTCCTCGTTTGTTTCTTTGTTTCGAAGCGGAGTATATCGGATTGGTGCGATTACACTACAATGCTCCGCTATTGGTGTGACTCAAACCCCTATCCGGTATGAAATTCAGCAATCCGGTATAGTATGACTGGCACCTGGATATTGCACCTTTTGTAATTTGTGCAAGCCCCCGGATAGTTGTGATGTAAACAACCCCCGGATAGTTCAGCGTTTATCGCCGACTTTGGAAGTAAAAAGATTTAAGAAGTAAAAGTCTTAAATGATTAAATAATCATGTAAAAAATGAAAACCAACCATGATGTGAGGAAATTCATTGGAAATTTACGTTTTGAAGCAGGATTGTTAAAGGTATAATAATACCTAGAAACATGAACAAAGACAAAATTTTGGCGCGATTATAGCTAAGTGGTTAGGTTCGAGTCCCTGACACGACGGACTTTCGATTGAGTGAGGAGAGTCGCCAGCTCTCTGCAGTTCCAAGCGTCGGAAGGTCACATCAAGAATGACCTGGACTTTCTATCTTCGGATGCTAGGTACACACATGTGCAAAAAATACACGAACGAAAAACTTTTGTCTTGATAAAGAATTTATAAAAACTTGATTAAAGATAACATTTCGAAACAGGCTCTCGATATCCATTCCTTTGCTTGTTTCAATGAGCTTGCATTCGAGAATGCAACTTCAAAGATTTATTTGATTGAGAAGGCTCAAAATCTTTAAAAAGACTCTTTATATCTAGAATGTGATTGGTCCAAAATCATTGGCAGTGTTGTGTTTTCTGGAAAAAATTTAAGTCTAGTGTATCTGGAAACAACTGAATTTATGTCCAGAACCTTTATCATAAAGAAATCAAAAGAAACTGTGGAGCAACATAGCGATGATGAAATGAATTGTATGTTAAGAAATTAGCCAAAGCCAAGATACAAAAAGGGGGCTCTACAGCTGAGGTGATTATAAAGAATCATTCAGCGCTGCAAACAAAGGTTTAAGAAGTGCCAAAGGAAGAGTCAGTCACACTGGAATGCCGGGCAAAGATACGAGAATTATTGAATAAAATCACAACATTTTCTGAAATTGTTGCAAATAAGGCTATCGATGCGACGAAGAGGTGGTACACTTAATTGGAAAAACTACGATCTGGTAAAGAATTGGATAAAAGGACAGTGACGTCAGCAAGTAAAAACATCAACTTCTGGCAAACTCTTTGGATATTTTATATATTCTCAACTACCAGATGAAGAAACCATGTGGGGAAAGAAAGAGAAATTGTGTAGGATCTATAATTAAGCTATGCGATAGCACATTCAATAAAAATTCGGTTTGACCAGATCTGAGAGTTCTTAGAAGAACTGAGAAATGTTTTCTTAATGGGGCTAATAATGTCATGGATCAAAGCCAAGATAAATCCTAGAAACTTAAGAGCCATTTGCTGCAAAGCTCTTTCTCCTGATTTTATCAGATGAACTTTATTTTACCAGATGTTCATATTAAGCATCTGATAAAAAACATCTTTCTCCGTTTATAACACAGGGAAAGTTATTTCTCTGAGAAATAGATTTTAATAATCTCAACAAATAGCGCATTAGTTGATGAAAAACAGACCAGCGAAAAATGCCAACCAGAAACTCACTAATTGCTGAAACGTCATAACCCAGTGGCAATAGTGTCTGCAACAGCAGAAAGACTTTTCAGAGTAAGAAGATTAATTTTGATTAATTTTTTTGCACAGATGATCCATGACTGCCAATAGCTTAAACAGTAGGATGTTTGCACAAAGTTTCGATCTGCACAAAAATGGCTAAAGATTCATTGCTTGCAATAATAGGAGCCACTTGAAATTATTTGGTTAATATATAAATATATATATTATACACATATTATAAAACTTTGGAGAGCTTAGGCAATTATTGCTCAATAAGAGTGCTGCAAAGCCCTTTGCAAGATTTTTTTAGATTTGCTTTATGTTACGTGACAGTTTTGCAGGGCCGGCGAAACGTATTTGAAGTGGGGGGGGGGGGCAAATATGAAGGTCTTGAAAGGGCCTAGGGTAGGCCGCCGCCATGGTTGGCGGCAAGAAAATTTTAGTATTATTGTATTTTAGGGATGGCCAGAGACAGTATCTAAAATGGACTTTTACTGAAGGAAAATCCGAGGCAAAATCTTTAAGCTTTGTTGAATCAATATGTACAAGTTCAACAAAAACAGGAGAACTATCATCTAAAATAAAAGCAAATTAAGCAATTTGTACACTTGGGATATTGTTTTGTAACATCTGATCTTAAATATTTCGGAAAAAAGGTGCTTTTAATAAAAATCAAAAATAGTTTTAATAGAATTTACAATTGCGTCTAGATTTTCATTTTTAGTAGGAATGGATTTTCGACACAATCAAGTGTTGAAGTTTTCTTGATTTTACTTTTTTAGAACATATCCGCCCATTCTTTCTTTCTCATGTCCTCAAAAATTTTCTTTTCGTCAGTTTCTTTCCCTTCCACATCGCTAGCAATTTCTCTCTTTTTGCAATGTTCCTGAGAACTTTGTTGTCAACAAATAGACCTTGTGAGCCACGTTTAGGCAATAGAAAAAACGAAACTCTGTCAATTTGTGCTGGCACCAAGTTATTCTGGATCAGGTTTCTCGATCTATTTCCTAAGCCAAGCTGTTTCTCGTTGTACAACTTAGACAATGACCGATTTCTTTGATCTTTTTTCCCATATTCAAATTTATATGTGTCTTCTATCGTGAAGTCATAGCAACCACGCTAAATCTAAAGGCATATGTAAGGGATTACTAAACACAGTTACTTACAGAATGCTATACTACATTTGTTTCCACTTTTGCCAAAAATTTTCCTTTAGCTCTGCAGGAAAGTGGGGAGCCATGCCCCCCCCCGGCCCCCCCGCTTTCGCTGGCCGTGTTTTGGGACAGGCAATATTCTGTACTCAGACCTGTACTGATACTTGTTCCAAATTTGTCACGTTCTAACAAGTTAGCGCAGTATAAGACCTAGTACTGTAGGAGAGACAGAATTATTAGAGGACTAGCATTGATTGAGAACAATAAGGGCAAATTTGCTCTCAGGGCAGCTAATCAAAAGGCAACTCTCTAGCAAACTCTCAAGTCCTTCTCACTTCAGCAATCGCACCGAAATTGGTTGGATTATAAATACATTAACACAAATAACATAACGACTTACAGTGGGGTATTTCTATGATTGTCTTCTTTATTGACGGAAGAGCCATGTTCAACAAGTAGTTGCACCATCTTTAGATAGCCTCTGGTAGATCAAAGAAAATCATTAACCAACTAATTCCATAACAATTTCACCCAAAATTGACTATAAGAGAAGGGAATTCGAAGAACGTTCAATAAGGGGCTGTTTACATGGAGCCGAGTTACTCTCCTGGGCGGGATGGAAATTGACATGTGTTTACAGGGAGCCGAGTAACCCAACTTGTCTAGGGATCAGGGAGACTCTCAAATGAAGTACTCCCAAACTAATATTTAATTGGTCAAACGAAACAACTTCCTCTTTGTTTCCCCCTTCTTATTTTCATTTTTGGTTCGACTTTTGTCTCCATTTATTCTTCGTTACTTCTCTTGATGGACGCCATATTCTTTTCAACGTTTTGTAATTGGCGCATGGCGCATCCAAAATTTCATCCCGGTCAGCCAAGTTAACCGGTTTGTGTTTATAAGGCAAAACTTTTGTCTTGCTATGTCGAGATATTGGCTACTTTGCCGGGATCTCGACAAGCCGAGTTACCTGCCTGTCTCATATAAGAAATCATCCGGGATATAATTGTCACTACTTTCTAAACAAAATATGCAGTCTGCAAATCACCAACATTGATCGAAAATAAACAAATATGAAAAACAATAACAAGTACTGTTGACATTGAAGGAATTGTTTCCAAACCTACTTTGATGCAGCTCTATGCAAAGGTGTTGCACCAGTTGTTTTGTCTTGGACATTAACTTCAACACCAGCTCTTAGAAGAGCTTCAGCAATCTGGCAAAAAGAAGCTGGCTAGATTAGCTACCTTGAACCAAAATCACAGGATTACTTGTGCCCTAATTCGCCTTTGCTAGATGATATTAACAATTAACAAAAAAAAATGTGTGAATGACAATTGTATGTTAATAAAAATTCGAGGCTAATAATTGCTTAAGAAAAAAGTTATGTGACACCTTTTGAAAAAGCCGTTGGAATGTTCTTATTTGCAACTTAAAACTGTGTACAAAGGTTGAAAAGCAGTGATTATAAAGGTTGATAGTGTTGTGGTATATTATAATTAGAGTTAATGAATTATTGAATTAACTAGACTAGGCATTGTCAAGTAATGCTTGACAATTAAAAAAGCATACGATATTCACTGGAAAGCACTTATATTGCTTGGTTTACAAGCATATCCCAGGGAACAAAACAGTAGTAAGATTGATTTAGTGCATTGAAGTGATGTGGGTGTCAATGATACCGAATGTGCCTGGCAGCTTTCTCCTTGCAACTTCATTAAAGTTTGTTTCGAAATTAGTTTTGTGTGTTAAAATCCAAACGATTGCAAAAGCTTTTAATGCAACGGAATTTGATAAACATATGGGAATTTATGCTCACTAAACACTTGTTCTGCTGTCTTATTAACAAATATAGGAAATTCTGTTGTAAACAAGGCTGTAAATATTAAGTTACTGTAAATATTTAAGTATATGATAAGTATATGAGAAAGGCTTAAGGCTGTGTCTCCATCAAGATATCATTGAAACAATGTAAAAGCCATCTGGTTTGTCTTTCTGCAAAATGTGTCTTTCTGCACAATATGCCAAAAGCTCATGTAACTTTGAATCAATTACAAACCCCAAAGCTTTCTGAGTATTTCAAAACTCTAAAAACTTTGATAAAAAGTATCAAATATATCTACGAAAAGTTCCTTCATTAATTTGGAAACTGAAAATAGCAAATATACTTAATGGTAAAACTTACTGTGAGTCGGTTTTTTGATGCAGCATAATGAAGAACTGACTGTCCAGTGAAGTTAACAATTTGGGGATCAGCTTTGCTTTCTAGCAGTGAGATAACAATGTCATCATGACCAGCAGAGGATGCTATCATCAAAGGTGTCCAGCCTGCCTGTAAATATATCAATTATTAATTAGACAGTAGTCCTAGAATCCCTGATATACACAGGTTTTTCACAAAGCCTCACCCTTCCATGGTTGCTTATTAGAAGGGGAAGACGAAACAAAAAAGAACAAAAACTTGCACAGCTCCACACTTTAAAGATAGATCATCTACAGGAGCAGTTGTAAACGAAAAAGGGCTATGTGGCGACCCAGCATAGTGTGTTTAAAGCAGCTAGTTTCGGTTATCTAAATTTAGACACTATGTTATCTAATTTATAACTGGAGTCAAAATCAAATTTTGAGCAACCTTAATCTACAATAAAACAGAACAAAGTTTCAATTCTTTATCATTGAGCTCCTCAGTTCTTGGTGTCAAACTCACAATACTGCCCACTTCAATTAAAATTTCTGACAGCGTAAAGAATAAAATTCCATGAAAATATAAAAATACTTCTAAATTCAAATGTGTGTTCCTCTTTAAATCAAATGATTCTTACATCATCTTGCTCATTGACCGGAACATTCAACTGGTCAAGAAGATAACTAACAACTTCTTTCCTGCCTCCAGAGCATGCCCAGTGAAGTGGCATACGCTCATTCTGCAATAAAAACAGCCTCCATTACATAAGCAGCATACAAGAATCAATTCAAATTTATTAAAGGCTCTTGCCAATACTCTCCCTTTGGGGCATATGCAAGCAGGTCTAGGTGTTGTTGGTCTAGATGGTCTATCTTACCTTCACCAGCATTTTTAAAAGTCATTTGTGGGGACTAATGACTTCCATTCAGTTTATACAGGAACTTGAGGGCTTCTTTTTAATTATTCAAGCAAAAATTACTCCAATTCCAACTTACTCAATTTATAGAGTAAATTGAGATACAACCCCAAAATTTTGTATTTTGTAATTCAGGATTTTGTATTCTTAAAATGCTTGACATGGGAACAGAATTTTCTAATAGAAATGTTCTAATAACAAAATAGATTATAGTCCTAGTAGTTAGTGAGTACTTCCAAATTTTTGTCTGACAAGGAAAAGTTAATTCAGGTTCAGGTTCATTGTATTCTAGATTCCACAACAGACATTTCCACAAAATACTAAATAAAAATACAGCAATATCAAATATCAAACAATAACTATAATAATAAGATATGGAACACAAATTATACTTGGGATATATATGTATGGGGAATTATTTAAAGTAGGAACTCTCTCAGTAGTGAAGCTAATCGAGGAGAGAAGCACCCTACATTAAGATATTTTAACACTTCGAAGATATCAAAATAAATAATACCGAAAATTAAACTCAGATTTCTTCAAGTGGGAAGTGAAAAACAGTGCGAAAATTTTCAAGGATTAGCTGTCAATGTTTTTTGCAAGCAGATATGACTTCAATTTACAACGAAAGCAAACCCATGATACAGATTCTTTGATAGCAGTAGGAATACTATTCCACGATTCAGCCCCAGAAAAACAGACGGATCTTAAGCCGTATTTAGCCGTGAAGGGTATTTTTCTGAGTTATGAAAATGTTGTTCTTAGAAGCCTTTTGAGTATCATGTTGGTTAATAGACTTGATTGATTCAAAGTACGAGTAAAAGCAGACAGGCATTATCCTATTTATACATTCATAGACAAAGGATAGAAGTTTTAATTGAAATGAGTCATGGAACTTTAAGATTTTTAAGTCAGAGAAATCGGGAGAGGACAGAGAACAGAAACTTTGAAAAGCAATAGCTTTGATCTCTCTTTTTGCAATAAGAAAACTGGATAAATGTGAATGTCATAGGCAAACCTTCAAACTACAAGTCCATATTGGAGAAAAGAAGCGAACAAAGAGTTGTAGAGACATAAACCGCCACATCAACAGGAACGAAGTGTCTTATCTTAAAAAACATGCACAAGTTCTAGCTAACTTCTTAGCAAGTTCACTTCAATGGTATTTCCAGCTAAGATTCTCATTAAAAAGAATACCAAGGAATTTAACATAATGAGATTGTTTTCAGTGGCGAAGCCAAAGGTCGTGCCCGTTGTGCCTGGCACAACCATAAACTTCCAAAAGAAAGGTTTTCACATATTGGCAAAAATTTATTTTGCTCCGCGAAAAGTTTTCAAATATAGACAATAATTAGTTGTATAATCGACAAATCGATCAAGCTTATCCCGCAGACATAAGTGAATTCTACTCGAATCACCCAGGGCCCCTGGAATTATTTCAGGAGCGGAGTAGAAATCCACAGGGTTTCATATTGGTCGTGCCCAAAATCTGGTACCTTGTGATTTGGTCGTGCCCAACAATAGAAGCTTCAATTGGACAGCCTATGTTTGGTCGTGACCAACAATAGAGAAAAACAATGCTAGTCGTGCCCTCAGAAATGAGCACGACCTCGTCATAATAATAATAATAGTTGAGGTACAATTTCCAGCATTTGATTGGCTGAAGCTGGAGGAAATCAATCACGAGGTCGTGCCCGTTTCTGAAGGCAAGACTATCTGCACCCTGTTTCATTGGGGCCTACTTGTCAATACTGCAGGCGTTTGTGGATGTTGCTGTGATATCAGGGTGATTTGAATGGTGCATGTAAATGTTCCAGTCCAATAAACCGTTGTAATTTATCAGGAAACTGGTTAACGACTGTGGAGGGATTGTTTCATAGTTATTTTGACTCAGCCTATACGGAATCAATCCAATGGATCTCTTTGGTAGGCGAACAAGTTCTCATTCACCTAAACAGAATCAAGATCTTCAAATGTGCAAGATGCTATCTTATCTAGAAAATGGACAATAATTTGAATATCATCTGGATGTTTTTAACGTGATCAGAATGGAAAATATGGCAGTTTTTCGCTCGGATTTGTACCAGAGAGACACACACTGAAAGGGATAAACTCAATTAATCAATCAATAAAATAATCAATATTTATTTCGACAACAGTATACTTGGGTGTTCAAGACGAAAGTATTATGAACATTTGGGGCAAAATGTACATAAATATCTATTCATTTTACATTAGTTATGAGGTGTTTGATGTATTTTTGGACTAGAATCTTCCCAGTAGAAAGTTCTGAATTTTGAAAGTATTTATAGTAGAAAACCTCTTTGCAAATTAGCTCTACTGGAGTTTTACCCTCCTTAAAACACGTGAAAGGGAAAAATGAAATAGCATTGATCAACCTGTTGATGATTTTGTTTATGGTTCTGATGATATGTTTTCAAGCTCAGCCTAGTGATTTTCTGATTTTTTCCCTTGCTTTCCATGTAATTTGGTTGTGTGCAGTTTCCTTGGGTGTGCATATATTTTCCTTAATATAGGTAACTTTCTCCATGAATTAGTCAGTTTGTCTTAAATAAGCAGGGTGAAATAATCCTTAAGCTATTACACATACCTCCCTTAATTTTTTGCTCAAGAAACACTGTTGTCTGCAAATAACTCTCAGGCTCATGATTATTCTGTATTAAATTTGTGACCCCAGTCATCTGATCTCAGTATTTCCACCTAGCTACACTGAAGAAATTTATTGAACATTCTTCATTTGTGTATGCTGCCCTGTTTATTCATAAATTGTCATGATCTGTTTTTCAATGATTAATTTAATGCTGCTTTTCAATTGGAATTTTATTCAAACCTTAAAATGGTTATTTCATCTTATGCAACTTTCAAATATTGTCATACATGGTGTAGTTTATCATTATCTCATAAGGCATAACCTTAAATTAAGTATCTAATTGATTGGTGAATATCTGTGAGTGGTTTGGTTCAGCTTAACAAAGTGGCTACCTATAAATCTTTATGCAACAAACCTGATGAAAAAACAGGTCTCAAGGATTTTAAAGAAAGATTGCCTTCATTCTGCCACTCACTATTCAGTGCTATTTAACTGTGGCTAGATCAATAATGCTGCATGACAGTACTGTCTTCAGCAGATATTCTAATGTTTCTGTTTCATCTGTTTCATTTGTCATCTAATTCTTGATACATGTCTTGCACTTCACAGTCAAGTTTGCCTTTAAAGCCAAACTTTTGTCTATTTTTTGAATGAAATTCTAAATTTTATGTGTGCAAAACAAATAGTGCTTGCAATTATTATACATTTGAAATCTGAGTCCACAGGTGTATATTTTGGTCCCATTGTTGCAATAATTTGATAAAATTTTAGAAAAAGTTTGTTGTTCAAGCTTTATTATCCTGTGAACTGATATTTGGGTAAATAATACCAAAAATAAAAAAAAGTTTCCAGGAACCTCCATCACACTTTGGGAAGAAAATGAATTTTGAGTATCAGCTAGAGGCAGGGGAGACACAAAAGCAGCTTTTATACTTTTAATTTTATTTTGTTTCTATCTTGTCAGAAAAGTAATGCAGTGCCATGCAATTGCTATATGAGCTCCTTAGATCACTGAAATATTTTTTTGATAATATTGCGGAGGCTCATTTCTTTTGCGCAGAGGCCAATGGGCACGACCATCCATGGGAGTCCAGCTTCGCCACTGATTGTTCTATGATTTGTTTTCTGATCTTTACTTTTAAATCGTATGTTAAAAGGGTGTTGATGTGACCTCAAAATTACAAAATGTAGCTTAATTTCTTTCACCCGATCTGTTTTGTTAGGGACTGCGTTTTTGAAATTCCAACCTGAACCCTTGTTTTGAGTAGGGTGATCCAGGGTAATCAAATTTTTTCTTTTTAACCTACCACTACTGCATGGCATAGCAGAATTTTTCTATTTCTGTGATGGCATGGTGTGTTGGTGTGTCAAAGGGCTTTAAAGGAGCCTACCGTGTCCTTTGTCGTTGCAAGCTTCGGTTCTCCAGCAAACTTGATCTTGAGAGCACCGAGGTTACCTTCGTAAGCGAGTTCAAATTCAGTCTTCTGTGACATTATGCAGCAGAATTCCGTAGGAAAATGAAATCAGACTGTTCTTTGCTTGGTAGATGGCCTAGCCACTTCTTGCCAGCCTTTTTTACAGTACGTCCAAACGAGGCTCAGTTTGCGCGGCAACTACCAAAGAATGATTGGTCGAGTATCTATGCAAAGATACTGGAATAGATCTTTGATCTATGGTGCGTCCCTAGTAAAGATAACTTTTATCAACTTTGACAAAAAGCTTTTTCACAAGCAGGCTGCATTTATCGCAAGGAAGTCATTAAATTACACATTTTAAGATACAGAAATTATTTAGTACACAATCTTTTCTATCTTTTGCTGATTTCAAGGCTTGTTTGTTAAATGCAAAAGCAAAAGTTTGTTAAATGTTTCTTGGTTACTAAAAGTTCATGCACTACTCTCCAAATGCACAAAATTTATCTACCATAAAACAGAAAATCTTATCAGTCGCAAGGAGTTCCACTTTCTATTATTCAAGTCAATTGAGCCAGAAATACTAGGGACCCGAATCGTTGAAACGAACAATTTTCATCCTATATTTAAAGAAGCATTTTCGCGAAGTTGCTTGATATCCAGGGTGATCAGTTATATCATAGTAATAAGAAATACCTATTCCTTGTGGTTATACTATGGTTTCTTATCTTTCATTCAAAGAAAGTAGCAAAATTATCAATGAAAGGAAGGGTAATGCTGTTCCTTATCTTCTGGTTGGTGCTCAATGGAGAGAGAATTTGCTTTAAAGCTCCTTTATTCTTTAAAGCTAAATTTGTGTAACATTTATTTATAAGCATTATGTTTCCAAAAAGATCCAGAGAATCCCTTACCTTAGATTTTATAAGAAACTATCATTCGTATTTCAGAATATTGATTTCCAATTTGAAAAGCTACGTGCCTTGTTCAGTTTGAAAAACTCATTCCTGTTTTTCCTTGAAGAAAGGACTTTTCAGGTGCAGTCGGAGAGTTGATACTTTGTCTTTAAAAAGGGCTTATTTAGACCTTAGCCAATGTTTAGCTCTCCTTCTGGGTTTAATCTTTAGATTCGCAATGCCAGTGTAGGCTATTTTAGACGGGAGTTCGTCGCAATATTGATTCCCTTGATGCGTATGAATTGCCACACTTTCACCATTTACAGTTGAATCTGGGATGTGTAAACGAGTCTTGAACAGAGGTCTGGACACAAATATTCGACACATTCCAATTACGATAATGCAATTCAATAGCTAGAAGAGAGCGTTATTGTTTATTGTGCTGATACATTACAAGAAAAATACATTTATTTGTGATATGTTTATTAATTACAACAAAATGGTATGATCATCACCATTTCTACAATTATTGAAGTCTCAAGAAAATAACTATCTAGAATGAAAATTGATAAAATAACGGTGTACAAAGATTGGTGTTGTCTAACTAGGATACGAAGAAAATTGGCTTCGTTCCGTTTAGCTGGAACTGCAAATTTGGTAAACAGGGAGCCGAGAAATTCGAAGAGATTCTGCAAGGACGGGGGATAATGGAAAATTAAATACAGCGCCGTATAGCCCCCTGGCGTAACTGACTGTGCTAGGACAGATTGGAAGGGGTGGGGGTGGGGCTCTTTGCAATTAACAAAATAAGGTTTTCACTATAAATAGAAAGCTTATCCCTAACTACTGCGCCCGTTATTTGTGACAACCGTCTCATTATTTGTAAACTCAAAGCACATGACTTCTTTTCCATTTGCCCTAAATCCTCTCCCCCAAGAAAATGAATTGGTATTGGCGATCTGGATGGTCGCACTATTGCTACGTTCTGAATAGTTCATCATTTGGCATTTATAGTTCAACGGTTTTTAAAACATCTGGAGAGGCTCCTTGTTTCTATGAATTTTCTGGGAAATGCGAGTTTTTGCGTTTTCGATGTTGTTTCAAATTGATGAAACTACTTGTCATGAGAATTTATTATTACAATGCACTAAGCAATAGCAATATTTAAATTTAATACCTAATGCAGTTTGAAAAAAGAGCTATTAAAACAAAAATTAGATAATAAAAAGTTTGAAAAGGCAATGTCTAGTCACAAAATGATACTGGTTTACTCGTTTATTGTAGGGCAGAGACAGAACTGTTTATTGAATGCTTGATTTCGCATGATCAAGCAACCCCCGTCCATGTAATCGAAAAACATGCGTAGTAGCGGTTTTACCATTACGCATACTCGTTGACCACATGACGGAGGAGGGGGGGGGTTGCTGGGATGCTGTGTCGTTAGAATTCACGTGGTGGGGATTAAGCGAACCAATTGGTGAAACTTGAAAACAAAGGTTTCGTTTGATTAGCCCAAAACTAAAAAGGCAAGAGAAGGAAATTTCTATGAATTCGCAAAAATGACAAGTGCGGTCATGGTTTGATACTGGACTTAGTATAGCTAAAAAAAGGCTTTCCTACGTCGAAAGGAATCGAATTTGGCTAGGACAACAACGCTTATTGTCAAACGACGATAGCCCAGTCGGGCGTTTTAATTTAACAGTTTTCTAATGGCAAAGCTGGGAGGCTATTAACTAACAATTACAGGTTTAATTTTAGATAAGGTGAAAACACTAACACTAAATACGGCGAATAAACACAGAGCAACTACTTGAAGCAATAAACGGTTTCAACAATAGCAAAGGACTGTCCGAGAAGTTACCCACTGACTTCTTACACGAAAATAACAATTGATCTAATACGCCGGTATGTTTATTCTGATGCAAACATATTGCATTACTGCTGCCTTGAAGGAACGTAATAGGATCAGAACATACGTAACGATCTAACTTTGACAGGGGGCTGAATCATGACGAATTTTTAACACAAAGAACGCAAAATACTGCAAATATGACAGCAGACATCCCACGACATATGCTATCACATTATGAAGTAAACGAATCTAACGCCAGCATTGAGATTGCAGCACTATACTAGAACATTACTTCTTCCTGTATCATATCTTAATTGTGAAAAGCTACGCAGCAGCGCAAAGTGTAGATACGCAGTGCCATAACCTCGTTTTAAAAAGAGAAATAAGTCTTTTCGAGACTACTAGAACTAATATAGAGTTCAGTGCTTTGAATCTGGCAAAGCGCCTTAATGATTCTTTCTCTACTGGCTTTGTCTTTAAGGAATTCATTATATACTATTGAGTAAAAGCTAGTGACATGGAATCCCTACTCCAAAAGCTACGTACGTTCAAAATACATAAACGCTATAAAACAGAGTATTTGTGACGTTCCTGAGATCAATAGGTTATAAAGCTAAATGAAATAATAGGAATTTGACCTCAATATGTTAATTAAGGGAAAAGGGGTGAGTATAAACCTATTCAAGGGCAAAGTGAATATGGAAAATTCTCGACGAGAGAAACCGCCAACAGTTGCTGAGGCAATATAATGGACCGAGGTACTTCATATAACAAGCTTGCTTTTCATACAAATCCTAGGCTTGCCTGATATTGACCGCAGGATTGCCCAAAACAGAGGCGGTTTTAGGGGGAGGGGGTCCAGGGGGCCCCGGCCCAGGTCCCGCGCTTATGGTAGCAACAGTAGGCCCCACAGCTAAGAAAAATAATAAGAGTTGAAAAGAGCAATGGCCCAGCGCATGTTTTCGGCTCCGGGCCCCGCAGTCCCGAAAACCGCTTCAGGCCTTACAATGTAGCGCTCAAAGATGATATCGCTTGATATCGGTCCAGAAAACGTGGGTTGTGTAAAAAGAGCTTGCGTACTTATTAGAAAGAATGGTGCTAGAACAAAACTAGCTCGATTCTGTACATTGGGTGCTGTGACAAATTCGACGGACGTATCAAACCGTTTCCCACTCTAGATTAAGAGATATGCAATGCTTGGATTAATATTATAAAATATGGGTGACAAGCATCACTCCTAGTAAGCAATTTATTCTAATAATTTCAAAAATCATTAGAGACAGCGCAATTAGCAAACAATTTCAAGGTTCCTAGAAAATATAAGATCAGTAGGACTTTAAAGATAGGATAAATGCGATATATAAACTAAATCCTAGATTTACTATAATTCAAGCGGTATGCTTTCAAATCATGCTAATTATTTGACTCTGTTTCTATCGATTTCAAACTATTTGCTGCTAATGAACTCTGTTGACCAATAAAGTTTTAAGGGGGCCTTAACCCTGCGAGCAATGTTTTTGCTGTTGCTGTCTTGGAAATTATGCTTACGTTTTCCGTTCAGCAACAGCAACAGCAAAAAGACTGGGCGCAGGCTAGTCTTGAAATGCTTATCAAAACAAAACCCTTTGCTTTGACCAAAATGGGAATGGATTTCAACAACAGTCTAGAGCAGACATAGGGCTAGGCTTAAAACAAGGAAGTTAACTGTCAACGAGGGTTTGTAATGGAAACGAGAACTAGGGGTTGGAAACGAGCGATAACTGAAACTTGCGTAACTGAAATCTCTTTGTAACCGAAATAGGGGCCTCAAAAGGCTGCTTGTAAATACCATTTATGTCACAGAGTCGCATGGAAATTGCTGCAGCCAGATGCAGAGTACATGAGTGAAAACACACAACTTTCTATACTTAAGATAACATCTTTAATAGTTTCACCTAGATGGCAAATGAAAAAATCTGAATGGACAACAGCTATTGCTAGGCTAAAGCCACTAATGGCAATGTATCTCAACATTCCAAATAAGGCTTTTGGAAATCAGTAAAAGATAAAACCAAACCTGAGATACGAAAGCAGATTAGGCAACTTGGTCATTTAGTAAAATGAGGTGTCCCAAAGCAACGGCTGTCGTTTGACACTGCAAAGAACAACTAAAGGCCATTACTGCAACTAATGTTTATAGAGTCTAAGAAAACCGGGGTTACACTGTGAATGCAAAACGTGAAAATGTCTATGCCTAAAAATATGCGAAGAAGCACAGAAAAACAAAAATCCTAAAGATGGTGTTTTTGCGATTCCTTTTGCATAAATTGTGGTTCGGATAACTCTACAATGCTCCCATCTCACAATTGTCCAACAATTCAAACAGCAAAAAGCAATCCTAACTTTTAAGTCCTGTTAAAAAGGATAAACGTAAAACATACCCCGTTTATAAATTATGCTTCAGGATGAAATAGTAAACAAGGACATATTTTTCGCTAAATAAACTCATTTGAATTGAATTTTAATTCTAAAATGCATAGGCAATAGAACATATCCTTTTCACTCCCGGAAAATTTTTCTCTCCTAAAGTGAAAATTTCAAAACTAACTTTAATTTCAACCCTTATAGCATCAACAACAAACTTTTAATCAAGGGCACAAATTCATTAAAAACCATACCCCAGAACACCCAATTGAATCATTGTCCTGTGGTGATAGTTCGAAGGATTACACTAACTTAAGCAATTTATCTGCTCGAAAAATGGCTTTTTAAGATACTTGTGGCCTTACAAATACAAAAAATAATCTAGTTTTCATCAATCCCTTCTAATTAGTTTAATACTTTAACAACAAATTCTTTGCAGTGTCATAAAAACCATATGTTAATGAAATTTATTCTCTAAGGTGTCTTTAAAAAGCATATTCTTCATCTCCAAGCTACGTTACAACAATAAAGGCTTAATACAACCTAACCTATTTCTCCTTCACAGTGGAATGAAAATTGCGTTCTTCTGTTGTATTGCTGTGTGACAAAATGGACATTCCTCCTTCTTAGCGGCACAATGCTCGCACATGACACAATGGCTACAGGGGAACGTCAAACAACTTCGTTCACTATTTTCACAGACAGTGCATAGCAATGTCTCCTTCTTGCTTATAACCTAACAGAGAAATCAAACATCAAAAGGAGTTCTTACTTTGATTACACAAAATGATTAAAAGATGTTATTCTTAACAAATAATAACCCCTCCAACACATTAGTAACCAATTTTTTCTATTCTTTTCTTCCTTCTCATGCGTCGCATTTTAGCATCGCATTCTTACGTCGCATTCTTGCGTTGCGTTCTTTGCATCGCATTCTTACGTCACATTCTTGCGTTGTATTCTTACGTCGCACCCTTGCGTCGCATCATCTTGCGGCGCATTCTTGCGTTGCGTTCCACTTATCCCCAGTTCTATTAATCTTTCTTTTGCCTTTCTAACCACCTGATCGTACTCTACAGAATCGTGCCTTTACATTTAAAAGATTAAAAAAGAACAACTTTGTTGTCTTGGTAGGATTCTTAACTTAATATTTAATGATTCACAACTTGATGGAAATCAAGTTTCAGGTGCGAAAATACAAAAGGGATGTGGGCTCACCATCGAATTCGCATACGACAAGCAATGACATCCTGGCACAGGATGGAAAATGTTTAATATTTGTACTTTTTGTGAAAACTGTAGAATCAAGGCTCATTCTGATTTCTCCATGCTTGCTCGCATCGATGGGAAACGAAAACGATTGACTCAAAGTGGATCTCACGCAAATTTGAGTTACGATCAATCCAAATACAGCTCACACTGAACTATTCAAACAGTACAATGGACGAAAAAGATGCTGAATTCCATTCGCATGATGATTCAAATTAATGCACATTTGTCATTCTTGATACTATCAAATGCATTATCGGAATTCGGAGATTCGGACAGTGATAACCAAAATAACGATTGTCAATGCTATAATTGGTGAAAATAGATCTCTTATTTCACCTGCCATTTAAACTCTTCAACATATCAAACTGTTCCTATAAATGAATATCATGACATACTTTTCCCAGGTCACATGATACTGCAGATTTACATAGTTTTCACTGTCTCCAATTGAAAAGGTAGTTAGAATAACTAAATATGGCTAACCAGCACGCAAAAACTTTCTTGTAAAAAGCGAAGCTTAAACAAACGTGATAGTTAAATTGCACTTACTTTTTCTAAACGGGATATGTCCACCTTGAGCTGTTTGTGGATTTGTTTCAGTTCCAAAATTGAAAGCGAGTCTAATTCATTCACATTCTTTAAGCTATAAATATGAGGGCCGCCATGACGGGCCTCGATTTCATCTCTAAGATTCTTTAATTCGGTTTCCGCCTAAAAAACAGGAAGGAAAATTTCCATTCAAGATCGCCGGTGTTATTCGATTCAACAACATCACAAACATGGTGAAAAACTGGAAAATACCTTGCAGTTAAAATTATCATACAGAAATAATAGAAGTAATTTAATCCAAGCATCTGGTACAGGTCATTTAAACAGATGTGCCATATTTGAATAGTTAAAAGCTAAAATATGTATTGAAAGTCTTGTCCATGACAATGATAACAATCCTTACTGATTTAAAAGGATCAATCAAAGCTACTGCAAAAAATATGATTAATTCACTCCGAAAGTTCGTGTCAGCTTGTGAAGATTTTTAGATACAAAGGATTTAAGACCAGTGAGGGGCAATTTTTCGAATGAATCTAAATAATCTAGATACCCTGCTTTTTACACAATATATTACGAATGTTGGTGTATTTTTTAGCTCTTTGCGATCAAAATTAGCAAACAGCTATCTAATAATTGACATTCTAAGGGCTTTTTTAAATATCCTTTTTTGTGACCTTTTATTTTGTAGCTATCTTTGTCCCGACAAGGCAAAATATTAACCTTTTATTGACAAGACCAGGTTCTCAGAATTCAAATCACCTGTTTAAAATAACTATAAAATAAAAAAATAAAAAAAATACTGAATTTAACATCTCAATGAAGAAACTTTTAAACGCGAGGTAACATAGCACTGGAGCCAACGAAAAACATTTCCAGATCTTACCTCTGATAATTTTATTTGCAACATCATTCTTTCTCTGTCTAAAGATTTAGATTTCTCACACTGCTCACTAGCCTCTCGTTTCCAGGCCTCGCAGGCATGCTTAGCTTGATTCCACGACTCTTCGTATGACGACAGCTTACTTCGCAGGGCAACGACCTCCTCTGAGAGACGCTGCGCATCTGTGACAGCTGACAAGCCAAGTGGGGAAGTCAGTTGTTGCTTTGGCGACTGCACATTCATCCCATCAAAAAACGAAGAAGAATGTTGGTTGTTTTTGCCCGATGGACTTCGCACAAACCCAATGTGATTCTGATCGGAAAGAACAAAATTAAATCGACATGTGGATATTGATAAGTGCTTTAAAACAAAAGAGAGTTTTGGTTACGGTTGCCTGGAAATAGGCGGGTTTACAAATCTAAGATGTTTTCCCGGAGAAAAGCATTCTGGTGTATTCGTTCTATCCAGGCATAACTCAACGTTTAAGAAATATAAATATTTTATTACCATAATAAAACAATAATGTTTTAGGTTACTGGTGTTTTGAATCAATGAATTGACATTTATGGTTAACCAGTTTAAAAAATACTACAAACAAGCCTCGTGTGTTGCAAAATCTGAAGATAGCATAGAAAAGCGACAACATAACATGGTTTATGTAAAAAGGAAGGCATGTAATATAGGCTGTCGGCCGAATCCTGTGAATCTTCCAATGTGTTGTAAAGTAGAATTTAAAATATATTAAATGTGATACACGGCTTTATCAGAGTGAAACATACATTAATTTCTTTCAATATTATAGTCGGAAAATGGCCGAAAGATAGGTAAGACATTTATAATAAATAAAGAAAGTAGGCAAGGAAGTTCCCAACAGTGTATGCCAAAATGATATACAGTGGAACCTCCATATAACGGACACCAGTGGGACCAATGTTATTGTCCGCTGTATGGAGGTGTCATCTTTTAATAACTTTCGTTTTGGGACTCCAAAAATCTGTCCGTTGTTTGGAGGTGTCCGTTGTATAGAGGTGTCCGTTGATGGAGGTTCCACTGTACTCAATTCAGGGGTGTCTAAGCGCCGAGAACCCCCTATAGAGCATCAATAGGACAATATATTTTATCAAATAAGACTTCGTAATTGTATAAAACTGTCACAAAAGATGTTTTCCATCCAGTAAAATCAAACAAACTTTACAGAATCGATAACTATGGGAGTTTATTGCCACGTGAAAGGTTATAATGACAAATGGAGACAATATTGAAATCTGGCCAACTTAAAGGTTAGAAACGCTTGATCATTCAAATTTCTTAACATAAGAAAAGAACCCATTGCAAAAACTGGATCTTTCTGTCTTAGCGTATACGATGAAGTTATTTGATCTTAACGCAACCTAACAAACAAAAATTTAAGGAAATTCTAGATACCTGCGCCGGAGCAAAGAACCCCAGTTGTCCTAGAGGAGAAGTTGGTGAAGTAGAAGTCTGTGACGTAATCGACTGATTTCTGATCATTTCAGACCCGGGTATGGTCACCGGATCTGATCCTACATTTTGGAATACATGCAGAGGCGCGGAGCCAAGAGGTCCAGAGCCAATAGAAGATCCTATCGAAGCATTGTCATTCAAATCTCGATCTATGTCACCAATATCAATGTCGTCCAGTCCAAGGTGAAGATCGTCTAGGGCATTTTCGACTACTGACTCTACCGTGTTTGATGAAGCGTAGAAGGAGCTTGACGAAGATTGCTTATTCAATGTTCTACATTCACTACCTATGTGGTGGGAAGGCATCTAAAAGAAAAAGGTTGAAAATAAGACAACAAATAGCAGAGGTGCGGATGGGGGGGAGGTGGGGGGGGGGGCAAATGAGGCAGATGAAACAACGTCTACCACGAGGGTCAAAAGCAGCTTCTAAGTGATGGCTGAAAAAATCATTGAGGGCTTTTCTTGGTAACGTCAAAGAAACTGATTGGAAAGATGAGGAGTCCAATCTTTACACGGCGTGTGAACTAATTGAAAAATAGAAACATTATCTGCAACATGTATTTCTGTATAGGAATGTATTACACTTCTTGACACTCACGGCATTAAAAAAGCAATCAACGATGAGATAACTTAAATTGAGATTGATGGGAAATCTTTACTCACCATATCTCCATCTCTGCTAGTAATACTACCACTGCGCCTGCCAGAGCCAGGTGCCTTCTCGTACGAAGGAGCACTTGTACTCAACGGACTGTTCATATTCATACCATGCTCAGCAACAGAACTATACGCCATGCAAGCTGATGTTGACATTGATCTGTGCGGGCGTGCTATTGGTTGCTGGCTGGCAGGGGATGGCTGGGGAGATTCCCCTAAACTAGAATGTGAAGACTGGCTAATTCCTCTCTGGAGAATCTAGAAAAACAACGAAAGGTTTCAACAAATTTGAAAATCTGATAAAACCATATGGTATCATTTGTATAAAAAAATGCAGTTTAATTAATTAGATGATATTCCTAAAGATGAGAACAGGTATAGTATATTTTTCTTATCAATGACTTGAAGTTGAAAAAATCCCAGTAAAGAGTCAGGTGACATTTGCAGCCAAGTATAGACCAAGGGCGTGCTTACTAAAAAGCTTTAATCAGTGAATGCCTCGATCAATGAAGGACGGGGTGAAATAGCATTAATTGCTTTTTGATGAATTTTAGAATGAAGTAAGAAAAATTTGTAGATTGCATATGATAACAAACGTAATATATGAACCTCTTTGTCAGGAATAATTGAAATTCCGCCTCCTTTGGTCACTGTATTCAAAGCAATCATTGAATCTTCTAGAAGAAAGAAAGAAGCGAAAACTGAATAATGAGCACACGATTTATAAGATATATAATTCATTTCTGACCCTACATGAAATGGCCTGGCTAACATAGATCGTAAATTTAACAAAAGTCTTGACAGTGAAAAAGGAAAAGGCTAATAGTCAACGAAGCAACAAGTATCGATGAAATTGCAACAGTGCTTGCCAAAATAACGAATGAACTGGTGAAAAGATTTGCAAAGATAACTGGCCTAAATTGATGTTTTAAATCTGATATGAGGGTGCTTTATTTCTCAGACTTTCTATCAGCATCTAAACTCTTGGCTCTAAAACAGTTACTCGTGGTTTTGAGAAGTAAGTTAGGAAGTTGTTGACCTTCAGTAATGACAGATTAGGAAAGAAAGCCTGGTAAATCCACGTATAGAAAATATCCATTTAATGCTTTGAAGGGAGTGGCTAAAAAGTTTAATGCAGAATTATGACGCTAGGTATAGCAATATTAGTCGATGCACACTTGCAATGGAACGGGCAACAACGTGCAGGAGTGGTTGTGGAAGAAGATACAGTTTGGAGTAAGGGGTTTCACCAAATTTACATTTGAACAGAAAACTCACGTTCAGGATGCGCGAATGCACAAAACGGTCCACGGGGGCAGTTCCCTGTCTGCTGCATATCATTGCATTTTGTTGATTTGTAGATCTACAAACAAAGAGACAAATGAAAGATGGAGTCATAGATGCAGTTTAGCCAAATTTGAAACAAAGTTCTCCTCCAACCACTCGCAAGTTTCTGATAAGATAAAACCTTAAATAGAACCCATCCAAACTTTCATTATTTGTTGTATAGAACAGGACGGTTCTCGAACATTCACAAGATACTCAATGACCGATGACAACTTGCAAATCGATGAACAATCGAAAGAGTACAGACTTTGGTTTTCAAAGATAAATTCCCTGAATTCAAAGATAAAAACATTTACAATAAATCTCATCAAAAATGAACCAAAACTGTCTTAATAAATAGACTATATCTAAAATGGTGAATGTACAATAGTCATAGCATTTTCAACGAAAACCAAACCCACTGATAAGAACAAGACTTGAAAATGGCTTTTGTGCAAGAGCAATGACATTCCTCAATCGATTTTGAAGACTGAACTCTTAGACTCTACGTGCGCTAAATTTCAATGGCTACACAAAACAACGCTTACCTCTGGGTGAAATTGCTGCTCAGTCCTTGTATGGCAATAGGGGCAGCTGTCCCCGTTTTCACATGCATTAGGATCCCCCCATTCATCTCCATGCTTGACATTTGGACACGGTGTTGATCTGAAAATCATTTCATTCATAAATTCTAGATTTCAACAATAATGGCAAATGGAAAACTTATTTGGATCAACCATCCAAGTTGCAGATCTCATTACAAAGTTACATCGAGGCAAATTATTACAAGGGAGGCAAACCAAATTGAGATTAGTACACCTGAAGAGCGAACTGAAAACTAAATGGTGGTACTGACAAGAGTGAACAAAGGGGGCTACTTGTAGTGTTATTGGGGTAGACGGGGGGCATCAAAAAACGCTTTTTAAGAAAGGAAGTGAAAAAGTTTTTACAAAAGATACGGAAGGCCTTTAGAGATGGAGCTCTTACACACCAACTGTAGAAAAGGAAGGAGGGCGAAGATCTCAAAGTAGAGGCTTTCAACGCTGGTTTTATAAAAAAACCTGAGCAAGACAAACTTGAAAAACTGGCAAAAATTAAAAGAGGTAAATATAGTTCAGACTAGACGTTGCTTAACTTTGCAAACTACTTGAATAATATGCTGATATCTATGCTTCAAAAACGCAAACGTCTATAAACGGTTATAAGGCGTGATTCCCAAATCTGGTTCTAGGATTAGAGTTATTTGCTGTCCCTTTTTTCTCTCATAATAACTTCAATTGTGGTCGAATAAAAACAGTGAACAAACCTATATTTGTATTTGACTGGGCTTCGTCTTCTGTCTCTATTATTGTGATACTGAGGGCAGGCATATCCTTGTCTACACAACCTGGGCGGCTTCTTGCACGGCTCCGTCTTATATGTAGCTAACACAAACTTAGTATCTGAAAAAAATAACAACTAGTACAATATTCCTAGGCAGGAGATGCAAGAGGGTTTTAATAAATGACATGGACGATAAAATCATCTTAAGACGATTGAGGCTGTAAATGATAATTATGAACCATGAGTAGTTTGCTTTTTTAATAGAATATTCCGTCATAAAATATTCTATTCCGTCATAAATTATTCTTAGGCATATTGGCGTTTAGTGTTAAGGGTCACTGACTGCAGATGCAAAGAGTTTCGAGTCCTCGCCATGACCAAACTTTTACTGGGAGTGAGGAAAGTAAACAGATATCTATAATTCCAGGCACAGGAAGCACGAGGTGTGTGTGGTCACATCGAGTCATTGCATACACGTCACTGCTTGATAATCATAGCTTGTCGGTATCCTAAAAACTACTTTCGGGTGCTGGGTAATAACAAATATTAAAGCATTGTCCTGGCTGTTTCTCTTTAGCTGGTGACGCCTCTCAAAAGAAAATTCAACCAGGCAGGGACTGAAACCGCAGAGAGTACGGGACTGAAACTGGCCATGCCATTAGTCTGTCCTCCCCATCAGGCTTTGTTGAAAACAAGCTCTTTTCGGCATTTTGGATAGCATTTATATTTGGAACGCCATCTATGTTTACATAGTCTTTTGTTCGTAGACAAGTAATAAGAGCAAATAAATGGGAAATTAGGCTTATGGGATTTTATCATAAGAGATGCTATTTCAAAAACATCAATACGTTTAAAAGCATATTTCATCAGTGTTCTTGCGAATGTAACTATTATATTGGTCATGAAAAATATAATTGAGTCAAGAAGCTTTTAAGGGCGGATATAGCCAATCCGGTTTGTATCATGTTTTGCTAAATCTCGTATTAGTGGGAGAGCGTTCCCTGGTGACATGTGAAACTCCTCGACGTGTATGACACGAGATTGGCCCTTGTATTACAACATTATTCTATGCAAAAACAAGAACTTTCAACATACTAAATCGTATACGTTTAAAATTAACTTTCAGCGCAAGGATACAAAACCAGCGCTTCTATGGTTGAAATGACTAACTTTAAAGTACGAACTGCAAGACATACCATTCCATCTTGGATCTTCTGGAATTATTTGCCTATTCTCCCCTTTTTCCTCTTGCTCCATGGCTTGTAACTCTCTTATATCGTAAACTGGCTGTCTCAGGTCCGCTGGTCCGTGTGCAAACGCACAATGAGCTCCGTTCTTCACACACAGTCCTCTAGGGTCTGTCTCATGTACACAAGGTGATGTTTTGTAATACCTCAAATGATATCGTCGTTCAACGTCACCAGCTACCCGATGAAGGTAAGGGCACCTGAAAGAACAAGAAATCCGTTTATGTAAAAAATGCATCATCAAAAGCAATCAAGTAACATTAAAAATTACACAGCTGTTACACTGTCGCAATGTCCAATTATAAAGCTAATAGCCATATAGCCAGGGTTCATGGTAATGATTCGATCAGCCGATATTGAAAATCTGACATCATGATTAAGAATTGATTAGCACTCTTAACCTAAGGAGTTAGCTATAAATTGTGTAAGACCCAATCTAGCAAACCCTGCCTTCCCGCTCTAATAGCAACAACAGACTAGAAGAAGACAGGAATTAAACTGTACCCTTTTCCCCTTATTACTCCTTCCCCTTCTTCCTCTTTCTCATCTATCCTTCTTTCCCCCTTTTACTTCTTTTCTCCCTTTTTCCTTCTTGACCTTCTTTTTTCTCTTCCCTCTTTTCTCCCTTCCCCCTTTCCTTTCTCTCTCCCTTCCTTTGTTCCCCTTTCCCTCTTTTGCTTTTTTCCTTTTTTCCACCCTTTTCCTGTTTACCTTATTTTTTTCCTCTCTTCCTTTTTCTCTTTCCCTCCCTCCTTTTTCCCTTTTCCTCCTTTTTTCCAATTTTCTCCTCTCCCCTTTTCTCCTTTTCCTATTTCCTTTTTTCCCCTTTTCCCCCCTTTTCCTGTTTTTCTCATTTTTCTCCTTTCCCCTTTTCCTCCTGCCAGATCTTACGAACAGTCTGTACAAAAATCTCAGGCGAAACCTCGCAGCAATAACACGAAATCTTTCAAATATTCGTCTCCTTTATGAAATTCACCGCCTGGCTTGCTTCATTCAATACAATGTCAATATTTAATAAAAATAGTTTCAGTTACGTTTACCTTTCGACAAGATGAAGGGAGAAATAACGCCAGGCCACATTAATTGGATTTACTACCAAGAATGAAACAATAATCCACTTTAGAATCTACTTGGTTCGCTTAAGAATTCAAGACTCAAAGCAGCTGGGGCCAATAAAAAACAATTTCAACTTTTGTACTGACTTACGGGCACCAAAAACAGAACCAAAAATTGTGACGTATTTCCTACTAAAATGAATTGTTTTAGCCAACTTAAAGTTAACTTGCAGACAGATTTAATTATTTACAAGGCTTAAAACCGAAAATACCTTTAAATGTTTTAAAAATGAACCTCTGTTTTGTCAACATAAACGATTATTTGTTCCATGTCCTAGCCGTTTTTAGAGTAAAACTAAAGATATGTCCCATTTTCCATGCAACAAGGCTATTGTCCATTGCTCCGTCTATTGGCGACCTTACGGAGACGTTTTAGTGGTTGATGAAATTACCCCTATTTTGGGCAACGAAAGGTCCACCCGATTCTTTCACAAATTGATAAAATTTAGCTATGTGGGGAAGACCGCATTCTTTCAAAAATTACTGATGAAGTCAAGTGTGGTTAGAAGGGGAGTGACACTGGCATGTTGCTAAAAGGGGGCGTTTCTGTCATTTCAAGTGAAGTTGTCTCAACAATTTCTCCTGATTATCCTCCCAACTCGAAACAGCATCATGAAATACCTGTCAATTTCTAAAATCAGTTTAAGTTGTTTCAAACTGGATGAGCTTTTACCTACGGAAAACAGGCAGAGATTTCATTATCACATATTTGTAATCCTGTCTCTATCTGTAATCTGTCTGTTACAAAAGTCTGTTACAAACTTCAAATATATCATTGGACACATCTCACCCGATTTGGACATTCAGGGGTTATTTGTAGATACTCTATTTTAGAGCCACAATTTTAATGATGTCACATTTAAAAGCTCAATATAATTTTTGGTAAAGATATACAATAACATATATCAACAGCATATAAAGGCTTAGGTCAGTGACTTACTCATCTCTTTGTGGGCATTCTCCTGTTGTTTCATTGTATTGTGAGCAATATTCATCTGGACTGTAATTAAAGGTTCCATCTTTCTTTTTCTTTGGTCTTCGTCTGCGTTGATTCAAAAAATGCCAATAAAAGCAAGTGAATGGCCGATGTTGTGAGCACTTATGCTGCAAAAATAGCTGGCACTGTTCAACTCTAAACTCCTTCAGGTACCTAAAAACATTCAAACACTACTTTTAGTGTTCAGAATAATCAATATTTCCCATGCAGATGGAGAACGTTGTGCTGAAAGATAGACAAACCAAACTTGTAACACTCAACATACAGACTGGCCTAAAGAAATGACAAAGATTATTCAATAAAATGTTTTGGTTTCTCTTTTACTTTCCCTGTAATTGCTTAAAAGGAATTAATTGTCTAGATTTTAGGTGAAATTGAGATTCTGCAATGGATTTTCCAAGCGAAACCTTTTCACAAAAACAGTTGACGGTTCACTGTAGCATCTTAAATCCAGTACCTGCTATAAGTGCAACAGAATGACTTCTGCATTTGACTTACTAAAATACTGAAAAGTTTTTGTAACCCTATTAAAACTGGTCATAAGCTTTTCACAGCTGTTGTACTCTGTTATTCTAACTAGTTGTATGTTGAATTTAGTAGAATTTTAAAATCAAACTGAACTGAGCTGGACTATTGAGTGAGATATATAACCAATTTCACTATGGAACAAAACATCACCACAGACTGACACAAAGAGTCTGACAATTTGACTTATGTGAGCAAGCAACTAGGCAAAAACAAAGTAACTAATGAATCAAGCAGACAAAGTGGCAGAGCAAATGCTGTGTAGTAGAGAGTTTTTGTTGCATGTACACTGGATCTTTATCACAGTCTTTTCTTGTTATAGCTTGTTGCAAAGTTAGCTATAATGTGCAATAACAGGCCAAATTTTGAAGCAGTTGTATTTGAAAACAGTTAGCAGAAGCAGGCTTTAAAACCCAATGGTCACCACAGGCCCCAACAATAATTTACTGCATGAATTACACAGCAGGTGAATTAATCAAACTCAACTGGACACTTGATCCTATTCTACTTCAATTCTCGTTTTCCCCAATTTCATTCAAATTGCTTGAGGTCTCAAGACAAAAGATTCTGCTACCCAAATAGTTCTTTTTGAGCCATTTATGCAAAAATTGTGGTAATATTTGACGATGGAAAACCTTGTAAAGTAGAAAATCAATTCATGGATTTTGCTTAACTACTGGGATTGTTGTAACTGGAATGTCAATATTCTGAATCTTTTGCCATATGAATTCACATCAATGGAAATTGGAATTTTACTAACACAGTGTATTTTTTGTTGCCGAACTGGTTATTTGTCTGATCATCAAGCTACGTTTCCCAAAATCAGAATCTATTGTATCCAGTCAGATATCAAATTTGTGGCCAATTCAGAGGTCTTTACAAATCTACACATCTTATCACCACTGAGGGACAAAAATGATGCAAAAAAGCCTACATGTGGGCCAATTGTCCTCAGCTATGCCAATGCACGTACCTTATTACTGGTGCTGGCTATTCATCATCCTTGCAAAAACATATCTTACCAGTGAGCATTTACAGAAATTTAAGTTCCTATATCATCAAACAGTTTGTTTAAAAACTGGTTTATCACAAATTTTGAAAACCAAAGGTTAGACAGTTGTTGACGGTTGACAGATATTGTTGGAAGGGCAATCACTTTGTACGCTCATCCATGGTGGGTAGTTTGCTGCCCTTATAAAAATATATTCATGAAAAGGCCTGATAAAAATGAAATGAAACTGAATGTCAACCTCTTCGATGTGAAAGCCATCTGTGTGTGACTAATGCAAAATATTCAAAACAGAGACCAATTCACATATAATACTTAATTATATATTTAGGCCCAAAGCATAAAGTTAAACCTAATCACATATTTAAAGTTTTCTTTATTTTCAATTATAATATGAAAACATGGACTGCTAAGCAGGATGGAATGGGTTGGGTATAAACAACAATTGAGTAGGCGCAGTGATACCATTGTATATCAACCATAGCAATGAATGATACAGAATTTATCTTGCTGTTCGGCAGCATGAAATGAGCAAGCAGCACTTAAAGTATTTGAACTGCGCTCAAATTTAACTGTCACTTGTACAGGTAAGAAGCACCCCTATTTGTCCAGCAAAATAATAATACAAAGTTAGGAATATTCCATTGCTTGCCTTTAGAAGACAAAACAAATTTCCACTTAAAAATTAGTATGAAACATACATAATGCAATATCAACTAAAATTTCAGAACCTGTCCTGCAAACTAAAACAATCTGTCCTGTAGTTCAGCAGCCATTTAGTTTGTAATTTATGAATTTGGATCACAATCCACAAACTTAAGAACTTTGGCATAAAAGGACTCATAAAGTCTATTAACTTTAAGCATTTTCTAATGTACAGGGATTAGGAATTGGACATGTGTGCCATTGTTGAATGAAGCCTAACCCCTTTGCAGAAAATTCTTGTGGCTTCTACGAATTATGTAATAATAACCAATTGTCCAAGGCTTATGCAAATAGCATCCAATTCTACAGACAGGAAGCATTTAGACTGAGTATCAATCTTATTGAAAATTGAATGATGGCTTCTTGTAGAGAACACAAGATAAACTATCAGCAGGTTTTCTGTATCCTAAATCATTTTAAATGCACAAAATAAAATAGTAAACAAACTAAAAATGATGGTATTACAAAGCATCATATAGGGAAATAGAAAATTTATAATTTACAATTTGATTTGTATTAAGTTTGCTGTTGCAACAGAGTAATGAAATGATCCAAATATATTTTCTTTGCTTATTGTCTAAAGATTTCCTTTGCAACAACTTGGAAAGATTTTGTTCTCAATCCTAAGCATATTCTGCCATATTTATAGTACAAAGCACGACTTTCCCATTTACAGTGAGTAAAAAGTAGCAGAAACAAGCCCATGATTATTTTTGCAAAAACCCAGACAAAATTGAAAGGGGATTAAATTCCATAAAAGATCTAAAGCGTGTAAATCTATGTATAAGACAGGATAGTTCTAAGTTGCTACTCCAATTTCCGGCTGAACTTCATTCAAAGTGCAGCCATCAAAATATTAAATAATCAAATGCTCTCATAATTACCCAGGGCTTTCATGTTAAGAAATCAACGCGCATGGTCCAAAACTCGTGTGATGAGAGTGGGGCGCGCAGATCAAATTTATTTGTTAACACAAAGAAAAACATTTGATAATGATGTTCAAAGTTATCAACCGAAAACAGAGTCATTTTAAAACAAATCATTTTAATGGGAACAGCGAAAATGAAGTCATTTAAAAACAGAGTCATTTAAAAACAAATTCGTTCATCTACAGTTTCAAGATGAACTGGAACAAAGGAATCAAAACAGACAAAACAGTAATGGGAAAACCTTTGTTTTCGTTTTGGCCAAAACAGTGTGGGCCGGAGCAATGAGAACAGCTGGAGAATAACGGAACCTGAATGATTGGAAAACAGAGACATGCAAAAACAAAGTCATGGAGACAAGGATTGGCTGTCAAACTTCTGTTTCCAAAAAAAGTTTCTAAGTGGGTTAACCTATCAGCATCCAGTAATCACGCCCTTAAAGGGAAAGATTTATCACTGGATGCGCCGCTAATTGCTCTCAAAGGTAGCCTCGGGTGTGTGTCTGCACCCTTGCGTGTTATCGCGTGCCCCCTATTGAAAGCCCTGGTTACCCCCCATAATTAACACCTATGAGCATTGAAATTCCTAATGCCTCCAGGGCCATAATAACTAAATATAATAACAAACACAGGGAGGGTAGATTTATAGCAGGGAGGGCATGATGATCACATTGAGTGGGAAGTTTGGGGTAGCAAATAAGAAACATCCTGTTAAATACACCAAAAGTGTGTACTGCCTATATGGCAATTAGACAGACCAGTAACAGTAATTTTCATTAAGATTTAAATCACAATATATACAGGAGAGAAAATTATAACAAATACTGGCTGCATTGAAAGCCTGCTATATAGCGTTTCTTAATTTAATGTTTCCCAATTCATTTTAAAAACAGATCCTAGGTTTAACACAAATTGATAAGACTAGAACAGGCTATGGATTATAGAAATATGTAAATAAAGCAGAAATTAAAGTTTTTATTGCATTACAGTTTGCTTTTATGTGGTGAAATTATAATTAATTTCATTTGATACTTTTCAAAATCTATAAAATTCATTATCAAACAACCATATTAGCTTTCTGTACTGTACATTACTGTTTACCCGTTTTGCCATAAAGTGCTTATGTGCTTTTGCTCTACACACTAAAAGGTCACTAAATTAGAAGGTAGCACAAAAAATATTGTGAGTATGTGAGTAATGAGGGGCTGGAATGAGAGACATTGTTGTTGTGACTAGTGAGTGAGAGAGAAGAGAGGGAGTTGAAGAGGAAATATTGGTTTGATAGGTAGCAAAAATGGTTGTAAAATAAAGAAGGAAAATATCAAAGATAAAGAGAAAATGACTTGTTGTTTAGTCTGTTTTCTTTCTTGCATTCTTCATTATAGCAGAAACATAACATACCAAAGAAAGTGTTGTCAGACGCTATTTGGAGAAAAAATGCCAAATTTTAGCTGAAGGTAAGCAGAAATCTATATGAAGATTCCATTTGGTCACTATTCTATGGTCATACACTAAGGACTGTGGGATGAAAACTACTATAGCATGTTATCTGCTTCTGTGCTATTATAAAACATAAAACAATCAGTAGAACATTTAAAAATACAGTGTCCACAAAATAAGATCATTGAGGCAATTTAATTTACTATGAATTTATCCTTGCATTTAATAAAGTCTTAATTCAAATGTAAAAAAGGAAAAATAATATAAAATTATATATTTAACAATAATTAAAATTAAAAGCATTGTCTGAGGCTCCAAGTGCAAAGGCAATTTTGGGACAAATCCTTTTGTCGGTCAGATAGTTATCAACTACACAGATTTGTCATATCAAACAGTGGTAACACTCAATGCTCCTTTTTGAGGCTTAGCTTTGTTAGAGTTTTTGTAGTCATTTCTGGATTTTAAATCAAACTAAAATGGTCATTAACAAGGAAAAGGATTATCCCTTTGGAGGCCCCTTTATTTATCTTATTGCATTATATTAGAACATAAACTTGCTTGGTGATCTAGAATTGATTTTTATAAAGTTCATTATTAAAGCTGGTAGCAGAATTAAATTATCATTCCTTTGACTTCAACACCTGATTTTATAATCAACAACTAAGGTGTAATTGTTTGCATCATTATCTGATCGAAGATTCAGCCGAAAATTTACCTGCATCAGTTTTTATAAATGCTTAAGGCACAGTAGAGGCAAACCTAGAAAAATACATAAGCTTCAACATTCAAGAGCATTTCAAAAACATGGGCTTAGCCAGGCTACCTGCAGCCATAATCAACAGCAATATGGCAACTGACATGTACAAACTTCACTAAATACTACCCCCTAAACAAACAAAGTTCGAAAATTTTTCCAATACATCGAATTGTTGTTCAATAGCAAACCATATATACAACTAAAGAAAAAAGATTTGAGTAGCTTGGTTCCTGTATTCATAAATGAGTTAACGTAATGGAAATAAACATGCAATTGAAAGCGAACAGTAAACACGGTGGTTAACACTTATCGTAAGGTGAGAAACTGGCCTATCTTCCTGCTGGAAACTTTTATCTTATTTCCGTGCGGATTCGGGATTTTGCTTTGCCCCAACAAAATGTTGTTTAGCAATTTAGCCGAGCTTACAACAAGTTCAGTTCATCTAGGAATCACCTATATACGACGAAGATTCATTTTGCATTAGCAGGTACGACGACAGAGATTTTGTAGTAATTGCCACCAAAACAAAATCACAGCACACACTACCAGAAACAGCGCCTTGCAAATGCAGGAAAACAAGCTTACATTTTACTTACGTGTAATGGAAAGGCTTCTCGGTTTGTGGCTGACTCGGGTCACCGGTATTCTTCCTCACGAGAAGTCCAGGATTTTGTAATTCGTCGCTCGCAAAAGTAGTGTTTTGGTAGCTCTCCGCCATTACGTTCCCGACATGTTGTCTTTGGCTTTCGCAGAACCTCTGCGCCCAAATAGGACACAAAGTACTCTGGGATGCACGCGCCAGAACCTCGCAAAGCACTAACGGACTCCTTTTGTTTTTATAGCGATCTCATTGGTTATCCATTGTCTACATTAAACAATGAGCATTCTCTTTTAATAAAATATGAAATTCCAAACATCCTTGTTTTGTACTGATTTTTTCCAATGTAAACAGTGCGGAGCAAACGGTTTTATCGCCAACGCCCCCCTCCAAATTAGTTAGGTTTCTTTATATACAATTCACTTACAAAACGGCTTGAATGTTCTGAAAGAATTCCCTTTAAAATAAGTAAAAATAAGTAGAGCAGATCCCTCTTAGGGTAAAGGGGTTTGGTTCTGGTTGACGATGAGTTGCAAGAAAACCCAAACAGCAAAGATTCCTTGATTCGCTTGTTTGCAGAAAACTCTTCCATTTTCTGTATGCTTTTTGCCCTCTAGCCAAGCACTTGGAAATACAGTACATGGCCAATCGGCTAAGCGGTTTCCACATTCCTACATCTGGCCACAACTTGTCACAAAATAGGGGGTCTTGAGAATCTTGAAAATGAAACTGAATCGAATTTATGGTGTCTCTGCCCGGTAATCAATAATTCATGCCGGACTGGATCAAAACAGATCCGCAAACATGGACTGGCAAAATAGCGGTTTCGATTTTGTAAGCGATTCGGCCGTCTATAGGCAGGTTGCAATTAAACCAACACAGACGACAGAAGAGGTCTGGGCCACAATCACAAACCCCATCACAGCTTAACAATTGTTTGATTAAATATTTATATCCTTCACAGCCACTGTGGGGTTGCCCCAAGAGGTAACAAAGATTTAAAAAAGGGGTACATGATGGCAAAATGGGCCACCTCTGTGAAGTGCAAGTAGGTACTTGTATTTCTGAAAAGTAGGGAGGCACGTGCCCCCTCTTCCCCGTTCCCTACGTCTATTAATTTTATATGCAGCAGACAAATTTTCTAGTCTAAATCATATCACTCGGAAAGGCCGGACGCAGGTTACTCTATAACCAGTTTCTGTATACTAGCGAAGAAGTTTACTAACTCGTAGACAGATGGCAGCACATACATTCTTTTTTGTAAGAGCAATTTTATAAGAGCACGTGCCTCAAATTGATCAAAAGTTAAGAACAAATTAGGAACAAGCTGAGACTGAGCTTCTGTTAAAATGCAATTTTGAACGTTTTGTCTCAAAACGAGGACTTTTAGCCAGATGTGGGTGCTTTTTCGGTGAATTTTCAAATTTGTCGGCAAGTGAAAGTTGTCTCGCTCACTTTGTTAGCAAATGAGGCCTGAACACCTCGCTAGAGCGAAAAAGCTAGCAATCACAAAGCTTACACCCTATTGATTTTAGAACAAAATAAGAACAATCCAACCTCAGATTTTTGAAAAAAATTAAGAACAGTCAGCCTGAAGTTAAATTTACTAGTTCTTATAATAAAAGAGTGTAACTAAGTAAATCTAAACAGATCCTGCATCGAGTTTGTCTTGCAAAAAGAATGTGAATACAAGGAATGCTAACAACTACAGGTCTATGTATCATTAAATCAAAAGTTAAAGAGATGGCTAAGAAAACATATTTGTGAGATTTAATCAACTATCACTTGCAAACTGAAAGATATTTTTTTGGATTCAATATAATGCTTATATACAGTTAGTATACGTGTCGAATTTGTAAACAAGATAGCCGGATTTTTCAATCGCTATTGAAGGCGTTTCAACAGCAGTTTAAGAGCTCTTAAGAAAAATTCCCTGAATCTGATGGTTCTTAAAGACTGGTCATAGTTTTTCTAGAGATTATCGTTATGAATCTTTTCCGGGTACAGAAAGTTCAGTGAATTGGTTTCCTACAGCAATAAATATAAATTTAATTTAGCATTTATCACCCGGATTTCAAACCATAAAAATATTTCAGTATAGTTTAGATTTGCCTTCAGGAAATATTTTAGGGATTGAAGTAACCAGATGGAAAAAAGGAACCCAAAGATAGATCTAGCAAAACCATGACAACAAATATTGAAAAGGGAAGGTCGAGAAACTTACAAATAGATTAAGTGACAGGAATAATCATAAACTGACAGGTTAGTGTAACAGGAAACAAGAACTGTAGCATACAGTAATATGTACACCTGCCATGGCTAGGCATTAAATGGCTTGCTACTTACGGATATCAGAATTGGGGCTACCGTTGTGTAAAATTGGTATTGAGCTTTCATTTTAGATTTTAGATAGATACTCATTTTAGATTTTGGATGAAAAAGGGGAGAAAATCAAATTTGCGAGAGACAAAAAATTATATTTTTTGAAAAAGCTGCAGCACAGTTATTTGTTCAAATGAAGAGATGATGGGAGAAGATCAGAAATTTTAATACTTATGGAGGAAACAGTGCTTTTTATCACAGCAGCATCCTTTTTTCGAATGCAGAGGTGGAAGGGAGGGCCATCTTTGGTTGCGCTGAAATTTCATGGATGTCAAGACCTTATGTTTTAAGGCTGTTATAAAAATGAAGTAAATATATGTTAATTGATAAAAACACATACAACTTTTGTTGATCCGTAGTAGAAGCAAGCCATCTATCAATAACCTGCTGTGTTCATTGAAGATTCTTAAACGTGTCAAAAAACACCAGTTTTATAAACATACAAGTACCCGGAGTTAAACTTCCGTATCGAAAAAAATTCGGATTAATCCAAGCGTGCTACCGTGCAAGAATCTCTTTAACAAGTGCTGATTGAACGAAAACAATCAAACAGATAAAATCTATGTCACAGGTCACTTCTTCATTCTTTCCTTTACATTAATCTCATTCATCACCATCGCTATCACTTTTCTCTACATTTTCATTCTGGTCTTCATCTTCCGACTCTTCTTCACTAAAGAATGACTGTTCATCTGTGCGTGATTTGACCTCTTCATCTCGATCCTTCTTCTTCTTCTTCGCCATCGTGTAAACCATCTTCCGCGATTTGTCCACTGTCAGTTTCTTCATTCGCTTGTCGAGAACAGTAAGACTATCTAAGATCTCATTCTCATACGTGAATTCATCTGATCCAACTAACAACTTCAATAAGTTTCTCTTCTTTTCGTTGGCTTTCGTAGGTTCCATCCATTGTGTTTGCCTTACCTAAAAAATGAATTGAAGCATTTGTTCATGATCCTGTGAGACCTTGTATACAGCAAATTGAAGAAGCGAGGTTGAGGGAATAACATAAAGATGGCTCTGAGAAACGCAATCATTTTGAAACATACTTAAAAGCGAATTGAAGTGAAGAAAAGAAACAAAATCTTTTACCACCGAAAAATTGTAAATATAATATCAAAAAATTTTTCTGTACAATATAAATGGAAATAAAGTACGAATGTAAAGCATCGAATGGAAATAAATTATACCAATATTGCATTAGCACAATTTTTCAATCATAACTTCCATCAATTTCTAAAATTATCAAATTTTAGCGCTATTAATAGCACTAATCATCCACGGTGTTGCATTTGAATATGAGGAAATTTTGTTTATCAAGTTGACTTATTCGATCTCAGCAAGACTGATCAAAACATGCCAAACAGGTATTTGGCTTTTGAAAACTTCCGGAAGGGGCGTTTCACATACTTACAAAAAAGAAATATATAAAAGTTTTTTGGATATATTTTTGAACATAAAAAAATTAACGCTGAGTATTGGCCGTGTCCCAAATGACGTCGAAACCTTCTGTCTCGTATTTTGAACTAATCGTTAATTCAAACCAAATTCCTGATAATAATTTTTATCCTTATAATACACAAGTTAAAACTGGCCATTTAATCCACATCTAGATTTAAACCTATTTTGCCCATTGCTCGTTCTTCAACGATACACAACTTGACGAACACACGTGGCTTGACATAAGAAGACTAGCCTCCTAGACAAGCAACCTCTCTCTACACCAATCACATGTGATGGTTTATAATAATGGTTTACTGGCGAGGGAGAGCAACAATACCCGTACCTCTTCTGCTTCAATATTCCTCATCAAGTAGACGATGCTGTCCGACTTCTCCTCAATCGAATCCAGTGTCATTTCCCAGTCAGATTTCCATTCACGGTAGATTGGGTCGACTGATGGCCCGACTGCCGCTCCTGCAATCTTCTTGAAACGGTTCGTCATGAACGAGACGATTTCATGATCATTAGATTGTTTTTCGATGTCGAGACGGACCTCCTCAAACGTCTCGCAGATGATACCGATAAACATGTTGATGAGAACCATTTGGATGGTGACCATGTAGGAAAGGAAGAGCATAGGTCCTAGCAAAGGTGCAGCCTTCATATAAGCGTATACATCGAACTGGCCTAAGAACATTCTTGTCAATGAGACAACACTGGTACCGAAATTCTTGTAATCTTCAAGCTGATCAACAAACAAAAGATGCGCCAAACTGACGTAACTCATGAAGATGAAGGTGAATATGAGACCAAAGGAGGCCAGGGGTTTCATGCTCTGACGTATGGTTGCAGTGAGAAGGCCTATCTTCTTGTTGAATCGTAGCAGCCTCAGGAATTCGAGGTTGGTCGCCATGACGACAAAGCCGATGAACGCCTGGACGAAATAGTCCAACTGGCCAAGATAGGCGAAGCTGACGAAGACTTCTGGCTCTTTCTTGTATTGTTTCATCGCGTACATGACAGCACCAACACGAGCGAAAACACAAGAAAAAGTGCAGATTGAGAAAACAGTGACGAATGCATGCAAGAAGTTCCACGCGCTCTTTAAGTAGTTTTTGACTCCTTCCTTTTTGCAATTTTTGACTAGTTTGTACAGCCCGACCAGCGTCACTATCATAAATGTCAAGTCAGCAAAGACGATCAAGCCTAAAGTAAAGAAAACATAATTAAAGTCAATGAAATCGAGTAAAACATTATTAGCAACTAAATATTTGGCCGAGAGTTTCCTTTTCTAAGGCTTCCGGGAATATACGCATTCGCCATAACATCTCGAATTCCCCCCCCCCCCCGAAATTCCCTCTGTTCTTAATTTGATGGGGTTTCGGCAACAATCAACGAGGTAATCCTACCTTACTTGTTTAGTAACCTTACAAGGTAACCCATTTAAATTCCGTTTTCCTATCAAATGTCTCTACTTCGGGTACGCGTTCACATTTCTTTGTTTAAAAAATTTATGTGATCTCTATCAAATTAAATTTCAAGCATTGTAAAAAGGAGGGTGCCTTTAGGGGTAACATCGGTGGACATTGAGCTATGATAAACAAATAAGATATTTTTACTTCTGTTTGTGCGTTGTATAAAACTTTAACGGTTTGTGTAAGATAGTTTTGCGCAATGAGAAGTTATTTTTTCGAGCAGTGTCCTGGTCCTTCCGATCTATGTGACCACACCTTAAGATTCTTTTGTCTAGTATACCATCTTTTTTGAGCCTCAATCGAGGGCAGGGGAGATTGGAGGCTTTTTATATGTCATAGAGCTGTGACAGAGCAATATTGAAGCTGTAGTAATCTCGAATCTATTAATTTTAAGTATTTCATTCAAGTAAAGAATAATGACGAAAATAGCCTACCGCCTAGGCCACCCTGCCATCTGTAGAGCCGGATTGCTTGTACATTATAGAAGTAATTCCAACCCCCGGTTTGCAATACCTCACTGAGGAGAGTGACAATCATCATCAAATTCGTGTTGGCATTGTAGATGTTAAACTCAACGAAAACTGCTCTCGTGTAACGATCTATCCAGAAATTGTCTTTCATATCTGCGGAAAAATCAATATATTTTAGATTCGTGAGAGGAGTTACATGTATTTTCGCTTGTTTGGTGCCAGCTTTCAAAAAAGAAATCAAAATTTCAATAAAAGTGGAACAATTACGCATCAAGTACATTTCATCTGACACTTTCCAGAGTATGCAACTTTGGAAGGAAAGCAAAGCACAGTTATGAGAGGGGGGAGGGGGGAGGGAAGTGAAAAACCCAAACAAAGATTCTGTTCGAAGATAACGAAAGACGACGGCAAAGAAACGAAGATAACGAAAGACGACGGGAAAAGGCGAAGAAACAAAGATAACGAAAGGCGACGGGGACGCAAGGAAGCATGAAAAAGAAAAAGGAAACATGCAATGAGAGAGGAGAGAAAATTGGAGAAAAAAAAGTTTTTGTCGATGTTACAGTTAGCTGAAAAGTTGCGTTCAAATGAATTACCTTTGATAATGAGTCTTGAAATCCGTTCATCCGGGCCTACACTGACTGCATAGCTGCTACCTCCGTAAGTTGCGAATTTGCCCAAAAATGGGAAGTTTTTCAACTTAAGCACAGACTGATACTGCCACGGGTTTTCAAGTCCAAGCCACAAAGCCTTGCGTTTCCGGTGTCTGAGTTTCCTGGTCTCGGTTTTGTTTAGTGGCGGTTTCCATCCTGCACTGTATTGTTCGGTATCTTCATTGGACCAGCTATATGCCCCGTTGCATTCGGATACAATGTATTTGAAGACCGGGTGTTTTGTGCAAGTATCTGTGAGAGAACACATTTGTATTGATCTTACAAAACTGAATCAAAAGCAGTTGGTTTGAAATCGCTTTACACTTCTTATTTATAAAAAAGATTGAGAACGGAAAAATGGAAAAAAATCAAGTACATTGAGTAGACAGCTCTGACCATCATGAAACTCAACTGAAAATACTGTAAAATGTGTAACTTATGTGCTGAAACATATGATAATAATGTTCAATTGCTAATTCGGGGGGGGGGGGGAACATGAATAACACCAAAAACGTATATGGGAATATCAATCATCTGCAAAAATGGATCACTTCATTCTCTGATAAACTTTGAAAATTTCTTAGCCTTCTTTGGCAGTTCAGCTTAATATTTCTCTTTTAAAAGTCTCACCCAACAAAACTTTCAAAATTATCCAACATTGGTGACCCTCTTCTCGGGGTTCTTTGTCTTTAAATTTTCAAAACTACCCTTAATACACATCTGCTGCCTTTGGTCATTAAACAATTAATATTGGTGGAGGCCAGTCGAAATAAGTTTGAAACACTTGGTTGTTTATTTAGTCTAAAGCATAAACCTAAGACTGTTAGATCTCTAATGTAGAGACTGAAAAGAAACTTACTCTTTTTAACGCGAAGCTGTCTCATTCTAGCCATGGATATTATTTTCGAAGGTTCTGTGTCCGCGACAAATCGAACCATATACGGATCCCCGTTGTACCAAGTGCCAGGGAACAGATACGGGATGAATTTATCCTCGATCCAGCTCCAGTACTGCTCTACTCTTGTCACCTAAAATACAGAAGAGATAGAAAGAAAAATCGAGACAGTTGTAAATAAAGGCCTAAATATAAGATGAAATAAAATGTGTTATTGGATGCATGTATACATGAAAGCTTTGAAATAGAATCAAAACAATTTAATATTATATAATTATTAATTCGAGGCCAGTGTGCCGAGTATCAGTCTTTGCAATAAAAAAACTACCAGGAACGAATTCTTCTTGACTTAAACCTGCAAAGACCTGGCTAACATTTAAAAATTGTTCGTCCTGTTTTTATCCAGCCTTTGAAACTCAAAGGCAAAATTAATTCAACTGCATAAAGCAAAGAGATAACTGGATAGTACATTTGTGATTCAAACAAATGTGATTCATTACGAGAACACAGAACAATGCTAACTGCCATCGCAGATAACTGGAGGAGCGAATACAGAAATTCCATTTGAATAACGAGAAGCACACGAAAGAGGGTAGCCTCTGTTAGAACAATATATAGAAAAACCAAGCAAGATGGTCACAGGGCAAATACGAATACATCAACCCTGTTGTAGAAATTTCTTCCAGCAGTTTGAAAGTATGTATCTGCAAAGGATATTAATGTGAAAAATACCTGCTCTAGATCATCTCCAACAAAGTTCCTAACTCCTGTTCCGAATTGTTGCGCAAATGGGTCCAAATTGCTGTAGCCAATAAACAGACACAGCATAACAAACAAGAGATGAATTACAATTTCCCTTATGATTGATTTCATTTGTTTTTCTTTCAGCCGTAGTTTCCTGGATTCTTCGAGTTTTTTCTCATCTGGCAGTTTAAATTCAAGATTCTTCTCCAGCTCTCTCTTAGCTTCATCTTCGTCCGCTTCTTCATCGCTGCTCTCTTCTTCCTCGCCATCCTCTCCGACTTTCTTTTTCTTCTTCTTCCCCTCCTGGCCTTTGTCGTCTTTTCCAACGGATTTGGAGCCACCTTCGTCTTCCCCGCTGGCTGCCTTAGGATCCTTTATGATCATGGCGACGAGAACGGACAATGCAAGAACCTAGGAAAAGAGCCACGTGTAAACAAAGATTACGAAATTAAGACAACTGGGGAAAAGGAAATAACAAGCAGCTAAAATGAGAGGAAATGCGACAAGCAGGATTGAAGAAAAGGAAGCAAGAATATCAAAACAAAACGAAATAGGTTGTAAAACGAAGGATTCAACAATTGGATGAAAATCTTATTATAAATAAGTCGAGAAGTCAGCCTTAAATTAAAGGCTCTTGCGCACCCGGCATGCTTTGCAACTATTCAAAACCGGCCTGAATTCGAACTGTATTACCAGACACAAACTACCGCAAAGCATGCTTAAATCCAGAGAAAATTTATAAAGGAATGAAGAAAAGAATAACTGAATAGATTAACCAATTAATAAATGAATGAATAATTGAATGAGTGGATGAAACGAGCGATTTAATTAGCGTTGCTGAAAAGCATAAGCAACACCAGCGAATAGTTAGAACTTACCTGATGGCTAGGTTAGGCCAACGTTTAAAGTTAAAACTTGAAATAATCTTATTCTTTAAGACTAACTAAAATATCAGTAAATATTAATAAAATATCAGTTAATACCTTGACAGGTTGGATGACCAGCACAGATTGCCAGAATGACAACATCATTGATTTCATCCAGTTGTCTGATTTCTCCTTGCCAAATTGGAATCCATAAAGGATTACAAAAAAGGCCGCCGCACCAGAAGCGGCAAATATCAAAACATAAGCAATGTAAATAACCCAATGGGGCAGAGTCGCTTTTGGCTTTGGTTTCTTCTTTGACTTTCCAGATGATTCTTCCCCTTCATCGTCTTCGTTTCCAGGAAAGCAAATCATTTTCAAGAAATTCGCACGCTTCTTTGACTTCTCTATTTCCCGCTCCTCTTCAGTCAGTTCGGGCTCGGGTTCGTTATCAAGTGTATTTGTGCTAGGCCGGGTGTTTGCCTCAATAAGATCGATTTTTGAAGTGCTTACCTAAGATCAAAGATGGTGCAATAAAGTACATGAAAGAAGCTACACAAACAAACGAAAAAGTCGTAGTTTCAGAGTTCCATTAACAGGGATAGCCATCATTGCTAAATGATAAAAAGCAAAAGTTTTCATTTCTTAATACATTTCCAATACCCTACTGGTTTATTGCCACTTAGGCCATAACAACAGTCACCCAACACTCCACCAACGCCCATGATAACCGCCAAAGCGATAGGCAAAAGGCTATCCTTTGAAGTGAGAGTTAAAGCCTTACCCGATTGGAGTGAGAGTGGAGGCCTTACCCGTGATACAAACATTAAATGATTCTACCCGCGGGTACCCGTGGTATAAACATTAAATGATTCTACCCGCGGGTAGCACTACCCCCGGATGGTCAATAAGTAGAATAAACCCGCGAACTCGCATGTAAAGGGCCAGGACATTCGTTTATTTCCCAACTGACATAAAATCAAATACAAGTAAATAAATTATGGTCTATTAAAAACTCCAAGAAAATGTGAAAAAATGCTAAAGAAAAACTTAATGACAAATTTTATTGCGTAAAAAAAGTTCAAGCTTCGCCCTTGTTGTTGAGATATGCTTTTATAGGAAATTCTAATAAGCCAAGAAGATGAAAATTTTGATTTGTAGAAAGGGTGAAGTATTCATTAAATTTGTAAAAAAGTAAAAAACAAGAGGATCTTCAGCTATACAGAGTTTACAACTTTAATATTTTCAAATCTTCCATTTTATGCCACATATTTATAAACATTTTTAAGACGTATTTTCAATTCGACTTCTTACGCATTACATAGGGTACAGAAATCGCACACCCCTATCTAATAAACCCCTGATCAGGCATTCCTAGATATTCTCCCTGTTTTGCAAATCATACGACAAAGGAGAGATCAAAGAACGAAAAGGCCTGGCCTACCAGATTACGGGTTGATCCAATGCTCGATTCTTCATCGTCGTCGGCGTCAGCCGAATATTTATCCGACTTCTCTTTCTTTTTTTCTTCACGTGGTTTAGCCTTTTGGAACAGCGTTGCAATAATTAGATTGACAGGTACAACGACCAAACTGCTTGTAAACCCAATCTTGATCTGCTCCACGGAGATAGTAATCGGGCCGAGATGAATCGAATCAGACGGCTCTGGGGCAGGGGCATTCGGGTCGCTCGAGGCTGGAGCCGGATCTTTATAGAACATAGCATTGGCCAACATTGAGGTGAGAAGTAAAGTCAAACAGCAACCCAGCCGCTGGCAGCGAGTGAAATGACTCCTGGGTGGGCGCGTGAAAACAGAGAACCAGATGTGTCCATCGTAGAGATTTTTGCGAGCCGTTTGAGCGAAGAGGAAATCGAACTGAACAAGGTCATTCTTGGTTGCAATTTCAATCTTGCGTTTGATCTCACCATCGTCTTCTTCAACAGCCAGCCAACGGTTGCAAACGAAGATGAATTTCTTGTCAGTTTGCACATCACGGATCTGAAATGCAATGTTTATTTATGTACGATTACGGCCAGTTGGTCTATAATTCCCCGGGTGAAGAATTTTAATCTAAATAATTGGTATTCATGCAATATTTACTCGAAATATTTTCTTACAATATTTAGTTATTGGTAAGCAAAGAAAAAATAAATAAAGGCGAGAAGACTTCAATGGCTCTGCTAAAACATGTTTGACACTGTCTTGTGACAGGCCATTAAAAGGGCAGTGCTTTACAACTTGTATTCAGTGCGAATAAAATTAACCTCAGCTGATGCTAACGGATCTCGTGGTCCATCAAAACCTCAATTTTCAATACGTACCTGAACTTGCATACAGTACCAACCAGGAGAGTTCCCCGCGTTGTTGTGCCATACTTCAACGCTTTTGATTTGGCCTAAACTGAATGGCGTTGTCACCAAGAAAGCATCAGTTTCTCCTTTTTCAAAGCATTTTCGGTTCGGATTCTTCAATTTGCGAGGCGACGTTTCGCCCAGATTGCCGTTAAGGACAATGAAGACGTCGGCTGTTGTACCAGCACCCTTTTTAAAACCGGTTTGCACGCTGACTTCGTATAAATAGTTATCACTGGGATGGTTGTCCTCTAGTGGGAACACGCCGATCTACAAAGAAACGATCAAAAAGTCGTTTATTCTCATTGATTTTAGTCGGTGATGTTAGGAAAAGCCCAGGAGCAGATAGCAAACCCCTATCGAGGGAAAGGAAGGAGGGGTTTTGGAGAGAGGAAGGAAATATCAAGCTTGTTGACTATTGTTGAATAAAGACAGGTTGTTAGAGTCGGGAAGCAGGAAGAGGGTAGAGCATTCCAAGCTTACAAGATCTGGGGAGGAAGTTTTGTTGTCAAGTTGAAGTAATAGCATAACATACAAAGCTTAGAGTAAAAGCTAAAAATAACATAGTACAACAAGTTTAGTAGCAATACATAGAAATTAAGTATCTTCATTTTGAACCCCCATAGACCTTGGTCGTAGACCTTATAAAAAAAAGCAACTAACGAAAAAAGCAATTATTGGTGCAACTTGGGATAAAATAAGAAATTGCAAGTATGGGTTTGGAAAACATTGTTTACAAGAAAAAAATTCACAAACATAACAAGATAGAACAATTTGTGATCTAGATGCATTTGAAAAAAGTTTCAGGTATTTTTCAGCACTATTAAAATTGTCTAGTTAAGCAGGTAATGCACTTTGCCTCAAATTCGGAAGAAAATCAAAATTTGAAAAATTAATAAAGAACAAGTTAAATGATAATGTTTTCATTCCACGTGCAAATCTAGGCAATGGGGGCATGCTGTGACAAAGAATAAACATCAAAGAAGCATGGCAGGAGACCTCATTAGAAGCATGGCAAAAAAATTTGCGCTCTAAGCCAAACCTTGGCCTATAAATATTTCACTAGCCTAGTCAGCCTAAATCCCCTACTTTCCACAGTGCTAGCATTTTGGAAACCATTCCAAATGTACTTAAAAGAAGTGCCTATCATATTTCAACTCCATTTAATATTACCCCCAGCTCAACATTCAGAAATCAGTGTGACTGTATTTTTCAATACCTTTTCAACATCTTTTTTGTCCTTGTACCTGCAGTAGGCCAGCAGCACGAAATAGATCCCTATGATCGACAGCGTTGTGGCAAATACAGTGGGGTTTTCACCGATATTGCTGAAGCCAGCAAAAGCTTTGGAGAAGTCAATAGTGTTTGGCTTTGCAAAGACACTTCCACCGGCAAATGATGACAAGTGAGTTGTAAGACACACGGTGAAGTTCTGTGTTGTTTCTTGGGTTATCTAAAAAGAGAATTCATTGTTGAACAATTGAAGTTACAACAGCAGGTACAACAACAGTGGTGTGCAAGTAAGGATGGCTCAGTAGTTAGGATCACGGACTACCCATCCGATAGTCTGGGTTTCGAGTCCCTAACATGACTCACTTAGAGTGAATTTGTTTATTTTTTCTGGGCTTTGAAATCTTTTAAGAGATGCATTCTTATTCAGCCAGTTACATATCATAATTGAAGGTGTTTTTGCTATGAAATAAATATCAGAAAATTCTTCATAAAAGTTGGGGCTCTTGGAAGAGCATTCAAAACGATAATGTTAAAGACGTTATTTTCATGAACTGAATTCATGAACAGTTTGACAGTTTGATGACGTTCAACATTGATTAATTATCAAATAAGAGCATCAAATGGAAAAGTCATCAACAGTGAATTTTTCTTGCCGATCGCATGAGCGTCTGTTTGCACAAAAATGTCAACACTATATTGCTTGTTGCGTTATCAACCAAAATGTGGCTTTCAAACAAAAGAGTAGAAGTTTTTACCTCGAGACCGGATGTGGACCATTTCTTCGAAGTTTTGTTGAAAAATTTACAGACGCCAGTGTAAGACTGGAATGTATAGTTAATTGGCGGTATGGTCAAATTTAACGGACCCGGAACGTCAAGGGACGTCATGATCGGCAGCGAAACATTAGTGGTATTGCACGGGCTATTCAAAACGGCCACATAATACCTGCGAGAGATATGAGATTGCATTTAAAAGAAGTAATCAGAGATTGCATTTGTAAGTGTTAATTAGAATGGTTGTGTTAAATTCATTATTTTCCAGGAAAATGGTCAAACTTTACTGATAAGATTTGCACTAACAGAGCTATGGAGACGATGTGACAGTTCCAGCAGCCTGCAATGGCTAGATATCAGATATATACACACTGTCTGATTCCAAAGCTACAAAACAATCTATAAAAATTTTGTGTATATATATAAGTTGTCTAATGGATACTGTTGCAGAGACAAATGAAAAAAAAATCTAGGGAGTATCTATAGCGTAATATGTCGCTCACTCGCCCCTTGTAAGAAGACCACCCCCCTCCCCCCAATTCCAATCTACGCATGCACCGTTAATCATTAATCACATGACTTGTAGATATATAGTGTAGAATGCGATTTGATCGTGGGTTGATTCATGAAAACATGAAAATTTGAGCGTGCATTCTTCTTTGCCTCACGCTCCACCATCAATTGTGGTGAAGAGGCCTCGTACACCTTCCCCTTCCCCCGTTCAAATTTAACCGTTTAGTTACAAAGATATCCACATGAAACATTGAGGGGGGGGGGTGTACAAAACTTTAACACTGACTGTCTGAAAATGTAGCTTTCTTTAGCAATGACTTTAAAAACAGAGACAAACATTTTGATTTAGCTCATGTCTTAATTTCTCATCTAGGCTATCCTTTCTGAAATAACTTTTGAGAATACCCTTCTCAATCTTTAGCAAAAACTCAAGGCTCTAACAGAACCATTAAACCAATTTTAACACACAACAGCTGCGAATTGAGAAATAATTAGCGAAAGCAAGTAATCCAACTCACATCCCGATTGCTGCTTCCCTGAGATCTCTTGCACCATGAAGAAATATTCTGTATCTGTTTGTATAATCAAGTTTCATCTCTTCCTCTGACTTATTCTCGCCATTTGGTTTAAATGGTGTGACAACATGCGGCAGTGTGAAATTGAAATCATTGTCATATAGTTTGGGTTTCAGGCCTTTCTTTATGATCACAAAGAAGCAACTGTCATTCATCTGTGAAAAGACGGCAAAACGATTAGGATTTTGACCCAAATGGCCTACGTTTGGTATCATTTTTAATCATTTGCTTGAGCAACCGAACTGGATTGAGAATATCTAAAAAGCCCTGACTGTATAGCATGAAAATCAAGTCAGATATCGTTTTATCTAAATTAGTGAACTCAGCTAAACAAGAAAAGAGCGGAAATCGCTTATCTATCATACAAAATCTATTACACGATTTCTAATATACAAATGCTATTTTATAAAGGTTATTATTTTAGATAGGTGTATTTTTGAATCTTTGAATTCCCATGAACAGAAAAGTAAAGTAAAAGATGGTCGATTATGAATGACAAAACCAAAACAAAGTTAAAAACAGTTACTCAATTGAATTCAATAATTCAGGAGAAATCTATAAAACATACCTCAGAGGTATTCCTGATATCAATGAATATAGACGACAGATTGTCACTAGGGTTGCTCACAAGGCTCACTGTTTTCAGGAGATGCGTGTATGAGGTATGCTGTGTAGGTGGGTATGGGTTAATTGGTTGCTTGATCTTCACTTTGATTGGCTTGCTTAAGTTTTTAACAACAAGAGGCTGTCCGCCAGCAGCCATATCGAGGCTGACTACGTCACTGGTAACGTCTTTGGCCGCACTGCTTTTATTCGAGTATTTATCGGGACCATTTCCACCCTGTAAAAACAAATTCGATTTCTACTTACAAGGAAAAAACAAAGCAAAATAGAATAGCAGCGGACTGGAAAGACACAATTAAACAGTTTGGTTGGTTATTCAAAAAGTTTCCTACTTCCAACAGAACATTTTTCCCTTCATTATTGTTTCTATCAAGGCCAACTCTAAACTCAGAATACTTAGATTTTTACTGTAGTAGTATTTGGTAATCAGTCGTTTTGTGTGCTGTAAACTGGGAGAAAGTCCAAAATTCTATCTCAACAGAAACGGATTATTGCCAAGCCAGAATTTTGTCTAGCCGACTTGCCCTATATAACTAGCTCTGCATGCATTTGATTTAAAATCTATCCTCGTATCAAGGAAATAATATTTCTGTGTTTTTCTGTCACACTTCACCTGTGAATTTTTACAAAATAGCGATAGGAAACTTTTTATATTTCACGTAGATTGGAACAATAAAATAGAATTAAAAAAGAAGAAAATGTGGAAATAAAAAACATCAGGTGACAGGCAAAATAACTAAATCAACATATAGGTATTCTAACGCCAAAAAATTCAACCTACAGTATTTTGTGAGACATTTATACTTTAAATTGAATAAACAATTTCGATGGCGGTCGCACAGCCAGCGAACGTTATGGAGGGAATCAAAAACGAAATAAATCCAATATATCACAACTTGTCTAGCCTTGTTTTGTTTGCTTTAGAGGAAAGTTTTAAAGTTCGGTTTATCGGCTTTTAGAATGATTGACAGCTTTTTAGACTCTAAGAGGCTATAAACATCAGGAAATCAGAATGAAGCAAGACAACACAACGACAAATTGGACGTACAACTGCTTGAAAGGCTGTTCCAGATTCGCCAAGTTGAGAGCTGTCCATGTCAAAATCACCGCCGGAGCCAAGTGAAACTTTGCCACCACTCCCAGGTTCCATTGCTTGACAGGCGATCATGCTTTTGCCTGACTTTTTCTGAAACGGCGCCTCGCCAGCAACCATGTTCCCAGCTAATGTTGTCCCTAGGTTTCGCACAGTTGAGTCACTATCCTCCGCATCTCCGCCACCCTGGTTCACAAAATGAATCGATTGTTAGAAAAAAACTCAAACTTCTGTATAATAATATATAATAATAAATAATTTGTTTAAAGTTGGCGTACTAAATGAACGGCTGATAGCTATAAAGAAGCTAATTAAGGCCAACTATCTATAAAGAGTTAGTATGAAATAAAAATATATGATACAATATTAAAAAGGTTTAAGGTATAATATTCTAAATAAAACCTAACCCAGCAATAAATTTTTTACACAATCTACATAACGACGTGGAGCTTGCCAAAGCCAAGAAAGTTTATGTACCCTTTTGGCTACAATTTTTCCGCAAGCGCCTCTAGTTTACCAAAGTGAATTTAAAACCTGAGTTTTGAAGGATTATAGTGGATCATTAAGAATGATATACAACAGTTAACTATTTTGACATTACGGTCCAATTCCTCGAGTGGGAATAGCGCAGTAGCTCTACTCCAGCACATTGGGTTTACTTACAAAAATAAAGAAACAATAAAACAATAACTAAAAGAAGAAAGCGACTTGTGTTACGTACAGTTTCTGAGCCTGTCAGAAGAACAGTAAATGCATTTGTGGCAACACTCGAGACAATTTCCGGTGGAGTATCAGGTCCCATTTGATTGGCACATTTCGCCATGGCCTTCATTGCTTTGGCCTGTGGAAAGAACCGCATTATTAATTAGTATGATCAATTGAAAAATATAAGGACATCTTTTATCAACCCAGAGTGCTGCAGTAACAAAATGACATATCAGTAGAATCCGAGATGTACGGTGAAAATGTAGGCTTGAATTAAGAGTGAAATTACAGTCATTGCTTGAATGGGAGGCAAAGTCAATCATACTAAGGTAGGTAAAGTCCAGGGTTTAAAAAATCTTTAAACTAGGTACGATGCCGTATGCAGGCCAAACAGAACTGGATACGTGTCGGCAAGTATCATGAACGCAAATTTTTGTGGCTTGGAGTCAATAAAACCACCTTTAAAATGACAATTTTAAATGAGACCGTCCTTGAAAACTTCGCCAGTTTAAATGTTTTCTCCACGAAAAAGATTTGCACGTAAAAAATATCAGGAGCTCTCAATCTACTAATACCTACGGCACAAAAGTAGAAACAGGGGAAAACTAAAATTCTAAAGTCACTAAGGAGATTGACCTTTTTATTCAGAGGACCCAGTTCAGTAAGCGTTGTGGTGGGGAGCGTTTAAATTTTTGACAGTTTGGAAGTTTTTGTGTGCTGAGGAAAGGTATGCATGGCGGAGAATGTGTTTTCCAGAAAGTTGGGTATTTTCAATTCTAAATAATAATCTCCATATACAGGATAATAACAGGATAATAATCTCCATATAAAGGATAATAACAGGATTATACAGGATAATAAACTTAGTCAGCTTGCTCAGAAGCCGCTATCAGTCAAGCTCCTGTTAAAATTAAAGATAAAAAGAAAATTAAAAGATGTCAAATTACAATATCAAATTTAAAAATGTCTACATATTTAAAATTTAAAATTCACTGTCAAGTTGATCGTATTGTCTCTTGAAATTCATTATAGACTGTTCTTGTTTCAATGCATCAGGTAGTTTGTTATGAAATTTTGATCCCTGAAACAGGAATTTCTCACGACCAGCTTATGTGCGAACTTTTTGGAGCAAGAGATTGGCGTTATCCACACGGGTTTCCTTCTGATGTAAAATTTTCTTGAAATAATATTTGAACAGTCGAGTCCATTTTGGCATTTAAACACCAACTAGGCATTTCTTATTTCTCGCATGATGCATAGCTGGTAGTTCCACTCCTTGGCTCCTTCTATTGATGATAGCTCGATTTCGGATTCTTTCAAACTTAAATTGTGTTACTGTTTTCTTTACTCGGCTATTTCACCGTAAATATTCATACTTGTTACTGTATCGCCACGCAGGCTAGTTTCATCTTGAAGGACGCCTGTACGCCAATGTTTTGAGCCATGAATATGATTAATCATACCAGTGATAACTTCTAGACGGGATGAGAGCAACGCGAACGACTGGTTACAATGACGCTGATAATAAAAAGTAATACTAGCGTAATCAAGCAATATTCTACCTGTGCATCGGGTGATAGTTGGCCTGTTCCCATACACTTGCTCATTGTGCTTGCCAAAGCAAGGGCCCCTGCATCACTGTTGACGTCGACATCGTTCATCAAATCAACCACAGAGGAGACAACCTTGCAAAATAAGTTTGCCCAATTAATAGTGCCAATTATTAACCTTTTAATACATAGGTTTCTTGGTGAAATGCGGCTAAAATATAATGAAAGGACAGCGGTTTCCCTTGCCAAACAGTCAACATTTTCAAGATGTTATTGAGTTCACATTCACTGTGGTATGACGTATCGGGTAGCCTTTTTTAAACCCCACTGACATGGAGCAAAGTTATGGGACAAAGACCGGGATTATCATCGTAAAAACTGTGTCAGGCAAACTAAAGTTTCTTTGCGGAAACCAAAATTTCTGAATTTCGAGTTTTTGGGTGAATCCATGAACATCTTTTTGCAAAAAACCAATTGTAGGTTAATCTGCAAAAATTAACTACAGCTCCTTTGAGCTCCTCATAACAATAATTTAAGCTTATAAAATTTCCTCTTGTCTATAAGAATTTTATAAGGCTCTGGGGAGAAAACAGAAAGACGAGGCCCCTACAAGCGGAGCGAGCAGAGAATTTTTGTGACCACACCCTACCAGATCAGCTTAGAATGCATGTAAGAAAACGTCTTGCAGTATTTCTTGCAATCTTTTAAAACTTTTTAAAATGTTTAGGCATACTTTTGCTACACTTGATCAATTCCATTCTTAAAATGGAGTTCATTACTTTATGAGGCAACCTAGACCTCGAGGCCCTGGGCCAATTTGCCTCCCTTGTCCCCCTTCTTGGCGGCCCTGAATATGGTAACGTATGCCAAATATTGCAACTCCTTGAAGTTTCTCTGATCGGAAAGACTTCTGGCTCAAACATAAATTATCCAATGAGGTCCCAACATCCAGACCTATCATCAGGAAAACTAAATATGTCACGACGAGAAATAATTTTCCCCCAAAATCAATTCCTTTTTGGCAAATAACTGTTCTTAGTGTTGTGTAGTGACATATGAATTATTGTAGTGTGTTTAAGAACGTCATGTGACGAGCACTGCATTCGGAAAACTTAGATAGCTACTAGCTAGGCTCGTTCCAAGCTTGGGATATATTTCGGCTACTAAAACGCTGTAGTAAGTTAAAAGTCTGAAATGTTCAATCGCCTGCATCTTTGAGATTGGCGGACTGTTCTTAATATTTTCGAAAATCTGAGGCAGGATTGTTCCTAATTTGTTCTTAAATTAATAGGGTGTAAGCAGTACGATAGCTAGCGTTTTCATTCTAGGGAGGTGTTCAGGCCTCATTTGCCAATAAAGTGAGTAAGACAACCTTCATTTTCAGACAAGTTTGAACATTCACGGCAAAGCATTCACACATGGCTAAAAATCCTCGTTTTAAGATAAAAAGTTGCTCAAAATTGCATTTTACGGTAGCTCAGCCTTAGCTTGTTCTTAATTCGCTTTTAACTTTTGACCAATTTTGAGGCTTGTGTTCTTATAAAATTGTTCTTATAAAAAAGAGAATATTACAAAAAAGAAATTTGACTATGACTAACCATGACCAACAAAATGAATGGATTACAGGTTGAAATTTGATCAAACTTCCTAATTAATGCAAAGGTTTCCGCTTTCTTAAAGTTTGCAGTTTCCGTGTTTTTTATCTAGGTAGTCGCAAAAACATAGAAAACCCCTTGGTGCCAATTTGAAAGGAAAAAAGATCTTCTATTCACTTAAAAAGAAAAAAAAAACGAAACTAAATGTTTAAAGGCTTTTTTCAAGGATAATGTCCCGATCATGATTCTTTTGCTCCGTTTAAACAGGGTATCAGCCACTACATCTAAACCCAGGCAGTGATTGGAATACGGTTGGTCATACCAGTATTAAAAATGATAAAGATATATATTACATGAGACATACCGAACCACTATTACTGCTATCGCCAGAGTCGTCACTATCCAGTGAGGTAAGAACAGCATTAGCAACCTGCAAGACAATTTATGTTTAAACAGACGTGTTCTTCATCTATTGGTTGAAAATACGCATGATGTGTCAAGCTGAAGCCAAGGAATAGGGGTTAAAAGAAAGGGGAATATTCTTAATGCAAGCATGTTATGCTCATTAAAAGGGAAAGTATGTTGTTCGATTTGTTTCAAATTTATTGTTTGTTGTAAATTGAGAGGACGTGGGCCATTAGATTTAGTAGTTTTGTCTACCTGGGCTCATACCGACAAGCTTTGGGAAAAACTCATGAAGATCAATATGAAAACGAAATAAGACTACTGGCGCTTACCCCAGTCTACCACCCCAGTCTGTCAACCCCGTCTGTCAACCCTGTCTTTCAGCCCAGTCTGTCAACCCTGCCTGTCAACCCAGTCTGTCAACTCGTCTTTCAACCCTGCCTGTCAACCCTGTCTGTCAACCCTGCCTGCCAACTCGTCTGTCAACCCTGCCTGTCAACCCTGTCTGTCAACTCGTCTGTCAACCCAGTCTGTCAACCCTGCCTGTAAACCCTGCCTGTCAACTCGTCTGTCAACCCTGCCTGTCAACTCGTCTGTCAACCCTGCCTGTCAACCCAGTCTGTCAACTCGTCTGTCAACCCAGTCTGTCAACTCGTCTGTCAACCCAGTCTGTCAACTCGTCTGTCAACCCAGTCTGTCAACTCGTCTGTCAACCCAGTCTGTCAACTCGTCTGTCAACCCTGCCTGTCAACCCTGTCTGTCAACCCAGTCTGTCAACCCTGCCTGTCAACCCAGTCTGACACGCATGTTTGCAACCCAATTTGTCACCCAAACATGCAAACACGATTTTATTCCATTGCACGTGTCAATAAGCATGAAATATATAAACAAACGTTATCGACATACCATGCCAGCAGCTGCCGGATCTGTGGAGCCTTTGCTTGCTTCAAGGACGCTGGACAGATCTGCGGCATCCTTCTTCTCACTTTTAACCTGAGTAATGAGAAAATACAAAAAATTTGATTTGAATGCGCGTGAATCCAAAAACCTACAGCCAGTCTTTCGTTGGATGAACATCTTGTGTTGAAGAACTTACTTTTGCCTGAACACGAGGCTTTATATTTACGAAGCATTGTCCCATTTGCGGTCTTTTCTCGCAAGACACTCCTATTACGCGTCATTTCGAGCCTAATTTATCGTCAAAATACACCTCTGAAATGGGAACCTAATGTAAGAATATTTGATTCTGCAACTCAAATATGCACCTTTACAACAAGCCCCAAGATTAGTCTGAATCTAGAAAAAGTAGGTTCAGAGACTTCCCCCTATCCTGCAATAAAATATGTCCCTTAATAGGAAAGCACTCACAATGACATGTCCATAGACGTAATCTGACTTGGCTCTGTACAGATCTTCCACATAATATCTGACTTCAACTTTGTAGTCTTTAGTCTTCGGTCCTTCGGGCAGCATGAGCAAATCAGAAATTTGGCTCAAGCTGTTATGGAAATTGATCCAGTCCTCTTCTTTGTCAGTCCCTGTAGCTCGATAGTCCATCAGGTATGTAAGAGGCACATCATCATCTTGGAATCCGCCTTGAAAAAACAAATGTCTTAAAACTCTTGGCACGAGTTTGTGTAGTCAAGTTGGAGTGAGGGGTAGGGGTTAGAGATGCTTTTTAAACAAGATTGGAAAAGTTGCGAATAGCAACTGTCCAATAAGATTTATCATGATATCTCTAGGTACATGGCAGTGTACGAAATCGAGGTTGACGAGATGTTGACTCCCCATTAAGAGGATCCACAAGTCTCATTTCTATAGGGGAAAAGAGGCGCTATTTGAATTCCAAGCTGGACAACGGCCTAAAATAAACAAAAACACACATTTATTGTGACTGATTAGGCCCAATGGTTTTTCTGAACTTTTTAACAAGCAAAAAGAAGAAATCACACTCACTCATGATGCCTTTAAAGATCTTTGCCAGTGGTTTGCCGGTCAAGGGACGAACCTGACAGCTACTTGAGGATATGGGAACTTTCGGTGGAACATTGACAACAATACTATACAAGCTAAAACCGTATGTCCCTTCATCTTCTGCGAGGCTTCCTGTTAATCTGACAACATATTCAAAATTGGATGTCATCATGTTTTCCTTCATAGCAAGGTTCTTGTTGGTGATACTCGTTGTTAGCCATTTGTCTTTTACTGAAAAGTCAGTGACATTTTTAAGTTTGTCATCACTCTCACCAACATTCTTTTTCTGCAAAGACCATTTATAGTTGATTCCAGCCCCACAATCTTTTATACAGATGGCTTGCAACTTGAATGGTTTGTCTGGGTTTTTCTTGTCTTCGCAGTTGACAATGCACCTGAAGTTAAATGGAAAATACTTGTATGAGATAAGAGATCATAGAACCTGATATTAGATTTCAAAAGAAAGGGTTAGCCAATGAGGATTTTTCTTCCGATGAGGAAGACTGTGAAATACCCTCCAGGTTGTGCTTTAATAGTTTTGAGCCATCTATGAGTGGCTGTAGGAAACTTAAATTTCAAAAAATAAACTGCCGTAGGTAGGCATTTTTGATGTCCCTATTAAAGTTGGCAATAATTTAAAAGGTTAATAATGTGGCATATTGTAAACACGTATTCAGTCATTAAAGGCAATCGACACTTAAGTGGCTTAAGCCATCTGTCAAAAAATATTAGCCAATCGATAAGCGTGCGAGTGATATCACGCTCACTGGTTGGCCAGTTGTTGATTGGCAGATGACCCGTATGCACAACTGATTATTTCTTAACTAAAATTAGATTTGGCTGTTTCATCACTTGTTCTAGAATAAGTCAGAAGATACAAACTTAAAGAATAAACAGAGACAGCCGGGAATCCTAAATCCACATTTAGTGCCAAAGTCTATCGAAACTTGCTTACTTGATCTTAATCTCTGGTGGATCTCCTGGCACTATAAACAAACTATAGTCAGCAGTCACGTTCTCTCGTGGCACCCTTGATGTAGGCTTCCACAACAAAATACGAATGGTGTAAAACTGTTTCAGTGGCATGTAAGATGAGTTTATTTGCAGGGTAGTGACGTCATCGAAGCCCTTCAGGCGACCGATTCCATTCCCAAAGCAGCCTGTGAAATTACTAGTCAGTTTCATGGTATAATTCTTTGCTTCCGGAGCTGGCCCCTGAAATAGAAAATATGAAAATAGCGCTGAAAAGCGGAAACATGTCATACTAATGCACTGATCGTCGGATAATCCTTAGTGTATAAACGTTTGATAATGTCGACATGTAAGCAGGGAATTTATATCGAGATGTGGATCGAAAGTAACGAAAAACATCAAACAAAATTCACACTAATGTAATCAAGTTAAAAGATGATGAAATTGGGATGAACACCTTAGCTCAGAGAGACAGGATATTTAAATGCTCTCAGACCTAATTAACTGGACCAAGGTAAAAAACAGGCCTTTACCGTGTAAGGACCTAAGAAGAACACAAAGGTAGGACTTTATGATATGCTAGTGCTTGTCGAAGAAATACTTGAATAAGACCACTTTGCCTTGCTTATGAATTTGTTGCTATAAACATAAGATCCTTGAAAAATCTAGCGAAAACTGTGACCGAAATCCAGCGAAGACTAAAATTATATTTCTCGGCTAAAAAGGTTCCTTAATGCAAGATTCTCGATGGAGTAAAAACAACCTGTTTACTCCTCAATTTCTAGGTTCTTCGTTGCAGAATTTAGTCCAATAATTGTGCTATTAAAAATGCTATTTATAGATCGTAGCTGGGCAAAGCAGACTCACACTTTTAGGCAAATCGATTTCTGGCATCGAATCATAGTCACTTGGGAAATTTTCCGACTGTAATTTGCAGAACCAGCGAAGCTTCAAACCTTCCATTGTTGGGCCGACATCAGGGTCATGGGATGGAGATGCACTGATTGGCAACATCCTATTCTGACCCCCTGCACGACCGCTGCCTCCTTCGAATTGAGCAACAAGCCTGGATGGTCTGATAGTGATGTAACCAATGATTGGTGTACAAACCGGGGGATATACATCCTTCATGCACAGTGACAAGCCAATTTCGTATAAGCCGTAGTCAAGCGAGCGGGCAGGTATCTTCAGGGCTGTGTCCTCCTTCGTGTGGTTTATGGACTTGACGACTGTCCTTTCAAAGGTTCCTGCTTTTACACTCGAGATATTCCAGTTGTATTCTACGAGATCTGTTTTTTCGCAGTCCTTTGTCAACTTCACCGAAATCAATTTTCTAGAAGATAGATATCAAAAAGTTTTCTTATTGAAAATCACCATAATACTTGTACAGCCAGGAGAAGCGAGTTAATCATCATAAGGTCAAAATAATTAAAAGTTGAACTGAACAGGTACGGTTTTGATGGGAGAAATGCGAAAGATCATGTATTTATACGGAGAGGTACCAACTTGTTGATAATTGAGACGTAACTTCCTGAATATTTCCTGGAAATTTCCTGGACATTTTCATTTGAAACTTTTTTCTCGTCCAAAAGTACAATATGAGGCTATAAAATATTTGACTGAGACATACAATGACTCTGGAAAAGCCTCTGACTCTGGATATTTCTTTGAATTCAAATTAGAGCAAGTTGCTAGTACAGTTGCAGATAGGCAGGACCGTCGCTAGGTACTAAAAAATATGAAAATCTTTTTTTCAAATGATCAATCCTTTTTGTTACTATTTTTCTCAAACGATGGCATACCCCCCCCCCCCTCCCCTCCCTCATGATCACATTCTTTCTACGGTCCTGCAGACAGGCAGTGTTAAAAAAAGTTGTGTTTAAGAAAATTGATAGAAAATTAGGAAAGAATTACACATACGTTTTACCCTTTGTAACATTAGCAGGGTCTTCGATTACCGTACTGATATCGCTCCATTCAACTTTCGGCTTATTGCAGGGCTTATCGAGCACAACAATGTCCGTGAAGGCGGTTTCAAGCGAGACATCGTTCTCTCCGATCACAATACAACGGAACTTGCCAGTTTGCTCGTACTTCTGCGGCCAAATGGCTTTGGTTGGATTGAGATCTGGCTTTGAAACGATTGGCTTGTACTTCGTTTTATCCCTGCAGCTGTCATCACCCATCCAAAACTGTGACGTGAACAGTTCGTGTGTTTTTATGTCTCTACTTGTCTGGCACTCAACCAAAAAGCAACTTTTGTAACCTTTAATATAAAGATTTGTCGTAAATGAAAAAAATATTTAGATTTCTGCTATTTACTCAGATGGGGTCAGTTTGACTATTAAAAAAAAACTTTGTAAATCTGATGTATGCTTGTATGACTGCATTTTTCAAAAGCTATACATAAGACTTTAACCAAACTTTCATTGAATATCATATGACACGTCAACCTGAAAAACAGTTGGCAATAAAAAATTGCTTCCTCTACTAATCACCATTAACATGTTGGTATTTTAGAAAAATGTATCAACAAAGAAATAAAATAGTCAACATTGTGACCCAATCTGAGTAATCAAAAAGGAATGAAGTTTTCGAATGTGTAGATATCCTGATCACGTTGGGGTGCAGAAACGTAGCGATGAGGGTGCTGGGGTGCTCCATGGGGGAAACAGGCATCCCATCTAAATTTACTGAAAATTTATGGAATAGCATAGGGGAGACCTTAGTTGTTTTTATTCAGATTGACAAAGTACGTATCTTGTCAACAGGGGTGTAGTGCTGGGGGGCTGAGCCCCCATTGTTAATGATGAAAATTGGCCAATTTTTTCTTTTGCTACTTATGCATAAAGCCACTCTTGTTATTCTGATAAGACTACACCAATGCTTGTGAATAAACAATTAAACTTGATGGTAAAAGGTCTGTAAGTCCAGGAGGCGTTAGGTGATTTCCCCTAGCTGCATCCTTGTTGTCACTGATTTGAAAGAGCTAAACGCGGGGCTTTTAGCTGTTGGAAGGGTTTAGGGTATATATGGCGGTTCAAGAAACCTTTTCTATTTACTTAGGAAATATTGAAATTTGGTTCTATGATAGTTGTTTGTTGGGGAGACTAACTGTAATTTCTCAAGGGACGTACAACATGGTAAAATTGTCGACACCAAAGTGCATAGTACCTCGCGTTCTATTTACATGAAAATAATGACGAACCAAGGTTGACATCCCGACATACACTAATCAAACACAAAAATATAACCGGAAAATCAAAATAACTACAAATTATACTCCGAACTGGGTCACAAAGCACTGGCTGTTATCGGACATTAGATTTACAGTTCTTGCCAAGCTATACAGAGATGCCATTGATAAAAAAACAGCTCGTCGGTCGTGATTTGAGAAAGCCTGGGCTGGGAAATTTAGTAATAACAGGAGTAGTGGAAGGTAAAGAGACGACAACAACAAATAAATATGTATATGATGGAGCTGATGACTGGGAAAAATTTGGATTTTGAAAACAGTATATAACAGATGGCCTGAGACGGCAACGACAACGAGGACAGCAAAGACGACGAAGACGGCAACGACGACGAAGCGGCAACGACGACGAAGACGGCAACGACGACGCAGATAATTTTTAGACTATGACTTAGCGGAATTAACATAGAGGTTTTCATGGTGATCGTTTAAGCTACGTAGCCAAATTTGATAAAATCTTAAAATATGTATTTATGACGTCACACTTAAGAAAACTGTAGGTTGGTTAGATTTTGATGACATAAAAATCTATTTTTAGATATTTGAATTTTAGTCAAACAACCTATTAGAGCAACATGAAATATCTCCAAATATGCAACATCTTCATACGTAAGTTAAATATGTTACGAAATTGCTTGAATATGGCCACAAAAGCACTTGCTTTCCCTTTTCAAATCAATTTGGCCAATCATGAGCCAGGCCAAACAACAGAAATCTATAGCGGAGATCAAATCTTTTACAAGTCGTGTCTCAGTCAACTTGGATACCTACTTGTATCTCAGTCTATTGTAAAGAATGTTTCTCTTTGCAGATAAATCATTAAAGGCTACCAATTTTAGTTATTCTATATTTTATTATTCTATTGACGAGCTTTCAAAGTTCTTGTTTTTTCTTGCTAGATATTCTTTACTACGATTGAAATAGTTTTATTGAGTGGTGTCACCCCAGTCGTTTCAGTGGCCTATTTTCTTATCTCTCGAAATCCGCTGACAAAAGTTTCAGGGGGGGGGGGCTGTCGGTTCGATTTTAGTTTATGCAAAATAGCCCCTGTTACGAAGAATGCTGCTTGACAAAGTTACTTTTCTTAAAATTCCGAAATAGATCAAGAATACTAAAAAGGCGTTTCCCATGCTTTCCGAGAATCTGAAGGGGGGGCGTGCTCGAAAAAACTTTGTCTTATCCACCCCAGTTTTCTCGGGCTGGTGATGCCACTGGTTTTATTTTGTGAAAAAAGGCTAGCTAGTTAAAAATTCCAATTGAAAAAGAGATATTTGTAATTGGAGATTTACCTGAATAAAAAACGAAAATTTTCCATTTCTGTTATTATCATTTGCAAGAGAATACAATGCTTACCTTTTTGGGCAACAGTTACGTTGATGGAGACCTCTTTCCCCACTTTGATGGGCCCGCTATTTCCGATCTTAAGGCCAGTGATTCTAGGCAAGAACTTCAGCGGAAACAATTGTGTGCGTGTACTCGTCGGATTTGAGACGGTGATCTTGATAGTTTTCTGGTCCACTGGTGATTGTTGGAAGGTGTGTGTCGTTTCTGGAAGTGATGTGGTAGCTCCTTTTGAATTTTCCTCGTCAAAGTCAAAGTGATAGGTGACATTGGACCCTGTCTGGCCACTTACGACGAATTTCAATGGGCAACCAAATGCATACATGTCCAAATCTGAAATGTTATCATAGAATTATTATCATTGAATAATTATCACAGTAATATTACTTTGGTACTACTGTCAAGGTTTTATTATCATGGTAACTTCATTACAGTAATATTATCCTAGAAATAATGTATCATAATATCATCCCGGAAAACAGTCAAAACATAAAAAATTTATTCGGAAAAAGGAAGAATTGGATACTGGTTCACTATTTGAGAGAAACGGGTAAATACTATGCAAATTGGCGTTTCCTTCAAAACTTCACACAAATTCTATTTATGTAATTAATCAAGGACTTATTTCCCTTCCTCTCTACTCCGCAGTGTCTGCACGCAGGCTATTACAGCTGGTGATAAAGGCAAAACAGGTCTAAATCGTATCCAAGAACGTTGTTCGTTCTCTGATGGTCTTAAAAGACATCGAAGCACTGAAATCACTGAAATCACTGAAATCACTGAAATCACTGAAATCACTCAAATAAACTACCATATAATAAAATTGCACGAGACAGTCAAAGATACGAATTGGGACAAGCGAAAATCGTAGCGCACAAAAATTGCATAAAGGATACCTGGTCCATCACCCTTGTCACCGGCCGACTTTTTCGCACCACACGCTCCACCATACAAAACTGAAGCTTCAAATTCAGAGACGGGAACATATGAGGAGACATTTATCTTTGCACTAGCACTGTACAGCCTGTTGGAGCAGAAGACCGAAACATCGAATATGCCAGTGGTTGCGAACTGGTGTTTAACGTGAATCCCGTTTAAAAAATCACTGTAAGTTGAGTTCTTATTGACCGTTGTCGTATCTTTAATAGTCCAGGAGCAATTGAAAAAATCTCCCGTCTTCTCTGACAGAACAAGCACCATCGCCTCTGTAGTGTTTTCAGGCCCTCCACTAATAGACAATGTTGTGAAATTATGAACGGGTCTTTCCACATTCACAAGAAACGCTTTCGTCACAGAGCTGACGTTGTTGTAAATCCTGAATTTCGTATACATTGGTCTCTGCCAATAGGGCCACGACGTGCAATGCGTCGTGTTCGGAGTCGTGACTGGACTGGATGTCGTATCGTTGAAGTCGTACCTGATAAAAAGGACGAAGCGCTGTGTTTTAAGCCTTATCGCATAATCGTTTGAATTCAAAAACTAATTTAAAAAAATCGAGAAACAGTGATCGAATGAAGTATGAGACTTAGAGTTGCAAGCCAGAACTGTTCTATTTACCAAAACACAAACACTTTGTTATGCTGTTCACAGTAAAAGAGATATTTACCTGACAAGAATGTTTGTTCCAGAAGCTGGTTTCATTGTAAAACACACAGTCTCGTTCACCTCGATAAATGTAGTTGTGAGATCTTTTTGCACAAAAGTGAATGTTCCGCCAGAGATCGGGGTCTCATAAACTGCAATAGCTTTCACAGACATATTGCTCACCTCATTCTTGGCATGCACTGTCACATTGTAAGTTTTAACTGTAGTGTAGCTATGTGTACCACGACCAATGAACTTGGTCCCTGGATTGTCTTTGTTTAGATTGTAGGCTTTGGAGGAGAGGACGGTTGTTGTTGCGTCGTCTGAGTCCCAGTCAATGAAAATATCAACACCAGTTCCCTGTAGCATTTCAAACCAAACTGTTGTTGCAGCTGATGCGTTTGTTGGCGCTATTGCATAAACCGACCCTGCTTGCTGTGAGAAGTTCAATCCTTTGATTATATCCTGGACCTCGACAAAAACTGTAGTTGTGAAATTACTTACCAAATTGCTCGCATATACAGTTATGGTGCGATTGCCATATGTCGTATACTTGTGGCTGTATTCCTTCTGGTTAAACGAGCTATTGATTTTCGGGGTTCCATCAGCCCAGTCCCAAACAAATGTCACATTTGTACCAGTATGTGATGTGATTCTGAATGGATGGGTTACATTTGTGGCAGCTACCCCCGGTGGGGCAATGACCACTGAGTTGACTATATTCTCAACTGCTGCATATTGATCTATTTTCTTGGTTTCTAACGGGTGTTTTGCCTCGACGTTAATCAAATAGTCACCGTCAGTGGCATATTTGTAGCCGATTTCGGCGAAAAAATACGGCGTCAAGGTGACATTCAGTATCCTAGCAACACTATTGTCCCCAAGGAGGTACGTAACAGTCGCATTTCCACCTCCGCTAATTTTAAATGTGGAGATGGAAAATTCGCCAGTTGATTTCGGATCAACGTCTTTTGTGAAACCTATTTGATCTATTTTGCTATACACGTAGATTGTGATATTCCTATCTACCGAGTTAAGCTTGTTTTCCGCGCGGCAGATGACGGTATAAATGCCTGGCAAAGCGAATGATTTCTTTATGGTCTTGGTGCTTTGCTTGGGACCAAACGTGCCGTTGAAGGGGGTCTCGCCAAAGAAGAAGCTGTAAGACACACCTACCTCTGTGTTGATGGACGAAACAGCAAACGTGTTTTCCACATCAGTCAGGATTTGAGTGTGGGTAGCGGACAAAGTGAAAGCGGTGATATCAGTCTCCACGGCTATTTCCATTGATTTTGAAACCGAAGACTCCGCAGCGGTAACGGTAAGCCCTATTGTATATGGTTGGCCAAGGTTTGACAATGTCATCTTCTTCAAGTAGTTTGCTTGGCTGATTGTATGGGCTCTTAGTAAATGATATTTGGTGAACAGGCTCGCTGTAGGCAGCTTTCGGGAGAACACGCTGCCAGTGAATCTTTCATAGCATTCTTTGTATTGGTACTCTGGGTACATTTGCTCGTACGCTTCGTCGTATGAGTAGAAGCCAATGTCAGCAGAATTGTTATTCGGGCCGGTTGTCCACCCAAGAACAAATCCAGGATAAACAGTGAAGGTCTGGTCATCAGGAACTTTAAAAACCATGTTGCCTAGATAGATTTGAAAAGATTTGATATATGTGGGAAGAAATCATTTAAAATTCTATGTTTTATTCGTCTTTATACTCATAAATGTATTGTTTTAACAACAAGTTTGTTTGACAAGATGTTTTTGTCACTCATTTACGTGAACATTCTTGTTCAATCATTTCAAAACTTGTCACTAAAAAAGGGTCACAGGAAGTTACCAAATAAAAAAAGGTTGGGGGGGGGGCAATACCAGAAGAAGGTTTTAAGAAAAAAGGATCTATTAGCTAATTCGTGGAAATTCCCGAAGATTCACTGTCCAGTTAGGCAGCGGATGTTTCCTAAGACAGGCAGCGGATGTTTCCTAAGAGAGGCAGTGAATGTTTCTTCAGTAGAGAGAATAGATGTTTCTTAAGGAGAGGGAATAGGTTTTCTTCAGGAGAGACAGTTTATCCTTTTTCAGGATAGGATATGCGGTAGGCTATTGTACTTTCCGTGATATATAACCTTTTATAAAACGGCTCACCTTTTTGAGTTACATTGGCAGCGAACTCATACATCAACATATAGTCAGCTTGCGGTACGGTGAGTGTAGGAGGCTGGGGACAAGTGTTGTTGTCGTCCGGCTTGAAACGTTCCACATCAGGACAGAAGACTGGCTTGGATGCTGGTGGATAGAACTCAATGTCACCAAGACGGTTCGATGGGGTGCCACAGCCACTAGCGACACACTTCCTTTCGGAATGGCAATATGTCTTTTCAATTTGGGATGGGTCGCACATTGGCCTGAAGATCTGTAAAATCGCAAACATCAATTGGAGGCATTGAGTCATAATTTAGAGGGAGGGTGTGTACAAATACGCTGGATCATGACTGTCGTGATCTAATACTATTAGTGGACCAGAGACTGATCACATGATTATTGTGATGGAATACTATTGGTGGGCCGGAGACTGATCACATGATTACCGTTTTGCGGTACTTTTGGTGGGCCAGAGACTGATCACATGATTATCGTGATAATGGGTTTGAAAAAAGCAAACATTTTATAAAATATTGGCTAAAAGCTTTTTCGTCTGACACTCCACAGAGCATGAAACGTCAGAATAAGGGTCCAAAAGAACACGATGAAAAATATATGTTTATGCTCTGAGGAGTGTCAGACGAAAAAGCTTTAGCCAATATGTTGTAAAATGTTTGCTTTCTTCAAAGCCATTTTCAAGTTTTGTACCGCCAAAAAACGATTATCGTGATGCAATACTATTGGTCGGCTTGACACTGTTATCATGAAGAAACCTCGCGGTGATTTGGCATATAATGTTCTCAGAACAGTTGTTAACAATGGCTGCCAAGACTACATGCAACTAAACTGATCACGCTGAAAGCTGAAGACCTAAGGTAAAGAATAGGATATGAGCTGTAATTCTCGGCGTCCCAAAAACTACTTTTGGAGGAACCTACACGCGATTTGTTGTATGGAACAGGGTCCTGAGTTGCTACTCTGAGTTTCACGCTTAATTTGATCATCGGGTAACTGCTTTGGAAGAGCCTAAGTAGTAACAAATACAGGATGCCTATTTACCACATTACACTATTTTAATAACATGATCCTTTCAAATCGAAAAGTTTCAAAATCAGGCCTAGCAGGACATTAGTAAAAACAGCAATACAAATGTATCTAAGAACTCGTGCATTCTTCTTCTAAAAGATTGCCTGACATGGCAAAACAGCTTAGCCAAACAGCTTGGCAAAACAGCTTGGCAAAACAGCTTGGCAAAACAGCTTGGCAAAACAGCTTGGCAAAACAGCTTGGCAATATTTAGAGTTCCTTAACTAGCTCATAGTAAACACTACAGGACCATCAAGAAAGCATGAAGACCTACCTGAAACCTGACTTCCCCCAATTTCGTAAAGTGCGCCTCAAATGCTCGTACTCTTCCGACGGCAGTGAACTCGTAATTCAGATTCACAAAAGTAACAGTTTCACCATTTGAATAGTCAAAGGAATTATTGAAGCTCTCGAAACGGTCAACCGTAAGATTTCCACCAGTGGCATACACAAGGGGCTCTGCAAGAGTTAGATGTTTCAAAGTAAGCAACAATATTATTCATGAGTCTGTAAAAATTCGATGCTGTTGTGGATGCAGATATATGGGGGGGAGGTATAATAGAAACAGAAGCTGGGAACAGAAACATAGCTGATAGAAACAAAAGAGAAGGGAGATTCCCTCAAGCAAGAGATTTGCTTGCAGCCTTTAATAAAGCGTTTATGACTGCAGCATCACGATGAATTTGAATTAGTTGGAATTTCGAGGCTAATGTTACACGCTAATGGTAACCTCCACTTTTGAAGAGCTGCTAGAATTTCTTCGTTAATGTTCTTATCTGCAGCCAGGGGGAGGCCCATTGAGAAGGAGGAATATGGGGCAAAAAATTTAAGGCCCGGTCTGTAGGCGTAACTAATCTTCTGTTGTCAGTTTAGATTGTGATAACCACTTTTGTGTAGAAAAAAGAAAACATGAATGTACTAATATGGGAAAAGTAGCTTTAAATCCCCAAATTTTACACTTTGCCTTTTGTTTACAAGCAAAATTTTGATAAGTTCTTTGATAATCTTACAATATCCAATAAAGTAGAAGTACGTCTTGGCTAAGGTGTCCAAGGGCCTGTCGTGGTTTCAGTGGGCCTGACCAGCAGTGAATAAGTTTGTTTCATCAGTGCAATAAAAATAACAAGAGGAACTCATAGAGAAATATATCCAAAAACAACAGCAAGTAGCAGATATTGATTCCCAAAACGACCCGCCACGGCCCCCTTTCCACTCCTGAAACCCCAACGACCCTCTCCCCTCCCCTACACCTATGCATACAAACACAAGTTAACGCTCACCTCCAACATTTGTAATAGCAGCTCCGTTCGGTGCACCGTCCAATTTCCATTGAATAGACTGTATGCCGCTGCCTTCAATAAATTCAGCAGAACAGGAAAACTCTTCTGAAGGGCGCACGGCAATGGGACAAACCAGGGCGGCTTGCAGGGGGGAGTAGACGTTGACTGTGTAATCGGGGGTGCGACAACCCCAATAGGCTGCGAAAAAGGAAAATGTATTGCAAATGATAATGATTATGTTGTAAGGTACTCGGAAAATCAGATGACAGGATAACATGTGAAATAAATATGCTATTTCTGCTACAGTATAATCTTCCTCGCAATACACGCTTTTGCTTTTAAACTTTGGCTATACTTAAGAACTGTTAAAAAGAGTCATGTGTAAATTTATCATATTTGTAAAGTCAAGACATGTTTGCAAGACGAGAAAGAATATTGAAAGACCGGAGAAAAACATTTTTGGAAGCTATCATCAATTCATCAAGTATTTGTCTGATTCCCAGGGAGTCAAAATTTACGAACAAATGAAAACCTAGAAGAACCAAAATTGTGCCCTTGGTGGCTTGTCACCCTTGATGGAAATACTTCTAGGCAAAGAAAACGTTAACATGGCTTTGAAAAAAACACACACATTGATACGTACCAAAAGCTTTTTCGTCTGACACCATCCAGAGTATAAAACGTCATAATCAGGTTCCGAAAAGCAAGATTGAAAATTTATACCCTATTTATATGCTTTTTTCAAACCCATTTTCAAACTTTATACCGCTAAAAAATTGTCAACATTTATCTAGCGAAATTGACGCACCTTCTACTTCCATTGAAGCCTTACGCTCGCCTGTTTCGACAAAAGAAACTTTCCCACTGGAAGGTGAGAAGTACGAGAGTTTCCCATCGACTTCCACAGCAAATTTGATGACATTACTGAGTCCGTTTATTGTTGCTGAACCTGTCGAGAAAAGTTCCATCTTTGTTGGGAACGTGCCAGTTGGAAATGCTGGAACTCCAGCTGTGGCATATACCTGTGAATGATCAACATGTTTCTTAAGGATGAATTAAGCATCACAACAGGAGGAAGGAAGCGGGAAAAAGCGGAAGGATGAACTAAATGAAGAAGCGGGTAAAAGGAAAAAATAAGACGGGAAAAAACAACATAAAAAAACCAATAAATTTGTTTAATGACGAGAAAGGAAGAACGAAGAAGAATGGAATGAGCGGAAGAAGCAGGTAATAAGAGGAAGATAGATGAAGAAGAAAGAACAAATCAAGACAAGTAACAAATTTGCTTAATGATGAGAAAGAAAGAACGAAGAATGGAACGAGCGGAAGAACCAGGTAACAAGAGGAGGATAGATGAAGAAGAAAGAATAAATTAAGACAAGTAACAAATTTGCTTAATGACGAGAAAGGAAGAAGAATGGAACAAGCGGAAGAACCAGGTAACAAGAGGAGGATAGATGAAGAAGAAAGAATAAATCAAGACAAGTAACAAATTTGCTTAATGATGAGAAAGGAAGAAGAAAAACGAATGGAACAAGCAGAAGAAGCACTTTTGTTCTGCACCTTGATACAAGCTAGCCTGAATGCAAAGCGAACATGCAAAAAAAGCTTGAAACTGGTACACTTTGAGGGCAACAGCACCACAACAAATATTGAAGAAAAGTCAGGATCACTCACACGCATGCATTCCGGTTCAGTTGTACAATTAGTACCTAGTTCGGATCCACAAAAACAGTGTCCATGGCTGTCCAGCCCTGCGTAAGACCTGCTCACACAACCGCAATGCGCGATGCATTGGGATGCCGTCAGTTTCCCTGCAAATATGTTTAATTTTCTTGTTATGTTTCCATCGGCCAATGACTCGTATGTCAACCGGCAGGAATTGGCGCGAGCATCTACGAGAAAATGTATGATCGAAAACTTGAGTAAAAAAATTTGCAAAGTGCAGTAATCTAGCAAAAGATGCTTGGAAATTGCAGGGGGGGGGGTTGAAGTTTTGTCAAAATACGAAAACGTAGAATTCAAAAGGGCTACCGACTGTTTTAGGTGACCTCCGGCTGATGGAAAACTACTGGGCTAATCGTGGTAAAGAAAAGAAGAGGAGATAGAGGAAAGGATGAAGATTGGCAAGAGGACAACGGAAGTGAAAAGAAGAAAGGACGGGTAACAGGTAACAAAGCTGCAGTAAGAAGAGTAGTAATGAAGAGGAAACGAAGAAAGAAGAACAGGAAAGAAAGAGGCAACATAAGAGGGGAAAGGCAAGCAGAAATAAACGAAGATAGGATGAGAGAGATGAAGAAGAAGAGGGAATGAAAGAGGCGAAGAAGAGGAAGAAGTGGAAGAAAAAGAAGAGATAGGCAAAAGGAGAAGGAGATAAGAATAGGTCCAAATGGAGGCTAATAACAGTTAGTTGATACTGCCGAGGTCATCGTGGAAAAATCAATAGTCATTGTGGCACCCGAATCTGGCCTACCGACAATGTTGGCCTACCGAAAATGTTGGCCTACCGACAATCTTATGGCGGACAGCTATCTTAGATTTGCATTACCCTTTCTTTTAACCTTCAGGCTAGCTATGAAAACTCGTCAAAATATTCTAACATCTTCTACTACTATTGTAGAGTCATTTATTATCACTCAGGAAAAATATTATCTAAACAGATTCACTTCAAAAATCAACTTTTGACTGATTTGTGACTCGGATTCCCCTTGTGACAGAAAACAATTATCTCAAGACTGTCAGACGAAAGGCTTAAGTATGATTCAAAATGTTCGTTTCTTTAAAAGTCATTGTCAATCTCAAATTCCCTTCTCCTCTTAGGAATCGACAATCTCGGATGCATCAAACAGAATTCTAAACAGTGGCAAATACCGTATCCTTACAAGCATCTGCATCTATTTGTAACCGTGGCAATTTTCATACGCAAAAACCAATACATAATATGAATGCAGAATATGACATTTCCACAAACATAGAAACTTGAAAGAACATAACTTATTTATTGAGAGGCAACCTGTTGATTTTAGCCAACTTATTAACTTGCAGGTACCTTTTAATAAGAGGCGATTTAGAGAGGAACCTCACCACATTGTTGCTGAGCAATAAGCACCCTGGTAGCAGAGGTTGCCTAGAAGTATATTCTAATACGTCTTCGGTAAATTGAGGCACCAGCCAGGTCTCAATCTCTCTTTAATAATGCATTGATTTCGAAGCAGCTATGACCCAAACCACAGGTCGTTGTATATGTTCTGTCTTGAGCTTGGTGAATTAAGTTTATCATCTTCCTTCAAAACACTTTAGTCCATTTATTTTAAAAACCAAAAAGTTTTATTCTTACGGCACGAAATGTCAACAGTTTTACTTTTAAAGGGAATATTCATTTTGCATATATTTGATTTGACAATTCTCATTATGCTTTTTGTGACTTTCGCCAAAATATACCCAGAACGTGGTGCTTTTTCTCAGGAAAGCCCTAGATATCACGTGGGAACACGAACCTCACTAAGGAATATCTAAAAAACACTAGGTCGCTTATTATACATCGTGGAGCCCGACCTTTATCGTCGGTCTCTGAGAGCACCTGGTACAATATCTATTTTCAAAGCATGCTTCTTGCGATTCAAAAACGGAACCGTGACGGTACAAAATTCGTTCGCTTTCAAAGCAGGGTCAAAACTGTTCCGGATAGCAGAGCGAAATCGTCACGGTTCCACAGTGCTAGTGTAAACGGAAGGGCGAACCGCGACAGTTTTGTCACGGTTCCAACCTTGCACGGGACAGTGTAAACGGGGTCTTAGAATATCTAAAGAACCATAAAAAGCCTTTTCTTACGAGAGACTATAGCTTCAAATAAACGCGTAACTCCAGTCAACTAGGATAAACAAATCAAGGTTGCCATTGCTAAAGAGAGCCCCGTTTTTCTAAACGATCCTACAGGATTTTTGCTAAACTGTAGCTGGAGATAGACGCACAAAAAATCTTCTCAATCAGGTTGAGACAAAATTTTAACCAATTCAAAGGGTTGAATGCAAGTTTGGATATCGTGTTTATGCAGACTAAAATGCAGCGTGATTGTTAATTTCTTGCAGAATTGGTCCAGATTGTACTAGAAAAATGAGACATCCAAGATAAGATTGCACTTTGTTAGCAACAATAGACAAACATGATCAAATGAAATGTGCCAGCATTAAAAGGTTCTTACAAAAAAGATGCAAAATATCTTGATGCAAAATATGTTTGATCCATTTGATTTTCTTAGCGCTTTGAAAACATTTAAGGTTTACCCATCACGAAAAGCAAGTAAAATTGGAATCTGAAATGGTGATTACCTTCTGCGGCTGGACAAGCCCCATCAACAGTGAAATAAGCCTGTAAAGAAAAGCAAAGTCACAAAATAAATATATAGATATAAGCGAGTTAATGCTAGGCCAGGGCTTGGAGATATAGAATCCATATCTCGAAGTTAGTTTACAGTGCTATCTTGAGCAATGTTTAAAAAGCAGTGACAAGCTGTAGAGAGGCTTACAGACGTTATGTAAAAAGCAAGTACAAATACGTTTGATGAAATGATAACTCAGTTAAAATTCACCTCACAAACTCTAAGGAAATAAAACAATTTACAGATATAATCTCATACCAACTTAGCGGAAAATCACTATTTGAATAGTTTAAGAACTGCTTGAGAAAAATCGTGTAAGAAATAGTGGATTTGACTGTATTTCAAATTGCGAGCCGTAAAATCAATGAGTTGAGACATTTATAAAAAGTAGTTTATAGTTAAGAGAGGAATACCAAATGAACCGCTCTAGGAAAAACAGAAAAACATAGTTTTAGGGGTAGCCGCCTACCTGTGAACAATTTGTTGGCGGCACAAAATTTGAAATGGCTTTGAAACAAATATTGTACAGCAAACTTAAAGCTTTTTCGTCTGACACTCATCAGAGTATAAAACGTCAGAATTAGGTTCCGAAAAAACAAGATGGAAAATATATACCCAGTTGTTGATCGAAATAGGCCGATTCAAAATCGAACTGTTGCCAGTTAAGTAGTCAATTTCGAGCCCCTCTGCATCAATATTGGAATTGTGTTAAGAGCTTAGATAAAGGTATTCTCCCAGGCTGAAGGTGGAGTTTGAAATTGGCTTGGTATAACCCCACAACGGTAATTATAGTGAATACATAGCGGGCTGGATGAAGGCAAGTTATTTAGATACCGGTTGGCTGAACCGTCCGGTTATGCAAAGCAAAAACCGGACAGGGACGGCAGAGCAGTGAAATGCTGCTATGAACAAGAAAATAAGCTTCTCGACTACTCATGATATATTTTGTTGCATCAACTCGTTTGTCTTTAGAGACAAAGGCTTCGAATATAGCGTTGATTTGAAAAAGGGCCAGTAAAGAAAAGCTAGGACGATCACACTGAAACACCAAAATCAACATACCATAAGTGTTGCAAGTAAGGATTTCATACAAACTTCAAAAGCAAACAACTTCACTTAATATTTAATTGTCTATGTTTTTTTCTAGTCAGCTTAATTTTTGACGTTGTTATGAGAACGAGCTCTACAATACTTGTTTTCGACGTCCATATTCAGAAAAATATTTTAGTCAGAAATATTTAAAAACTTGGCTTTGCTTTGCTAAAACAGGCGATCATTCTTAATACAAATATTGCATATTCCTAGAGAATTTATCCATCAAAAAAAAGTTTATTTGCACATAATTGTACACATGTTGTTGGTCTTTGTATTCCGTCTCACCAACGGGGATTTACAGCAAGGCACAAGATTTGAAGACTTTCTAAAACTCCAAAGAAAACGGTGTCGAACGAGTGACCAATTTCATGACCATTAAAACTATTGATCTAGAGAGATTTCTATATCTTTGTATCTACAAAACTAAGAAAAAGTATCAAAAGATAATGACGTGACGCAATCAGGGAATGAGAAAATAAGTTGCATATTCTTACCAAAGTTGTGCAAATAATAAAAGCAGCGAAAGCTTTGTCAATTGTTTGTGCTAAGAACATCATTGCTCTTCGAGTCTCATAGCAATCTCGTTTACCATAAGAAATGCCGTTTAGAATTTCCGATACGACCTTCTCTTCTCGTGTGAAGCAAATTTGTCACAGATTTTCACAACAGAATATTCGATGGAGTCTTAGATAATATGACATTCACTTCTGATCAGGTGGCGGAATAGATGCATCTAAATCTTTCATTCGGCACATTGACAGTGCGGTTGAGGGCCAGCTCTTGCGCACTCGCATACAGAAGATATTTGTAAAGCGGTCTCAAGTGTGATCCAGCCACCAGCTGCTGGTTGAATACTCACTATCTGATTTTGTTAAAACTTCTTTTAAACATTATGCAACATAAACATCAAATCCGTCGCTACCATGAAACTCGATTTTAAAAATTCTAAAACAGTGGCCTCGCTTCAGTAGAGCCCGGCTTGCTGAAGTGAAGCTCCCTTTTTCGAATAGGCCCCGATTGGCTGATGTATCGCCTCGACAGCAATAGGTTTTCGAAATATATCAGAACTTTTAAGCTTACTGACCACTCTCAAACAGTGGAAGAGAATTCACCCCGGTAATATTTTTGGCTGCTGCTAAATAGGCCTCCACTTTCGAACGAGCACCTAACCCAAAAAATATTTTGTGAAATAAACCCCTTGGGGCCTACTCGAGGACTTCTGTTAGGTCAGAAATTTTGTGACTACGCCCTTTGTGATTTCGAGAATACCCCTTTTTGGAAATTTATCTGAAAGAGGTATGCATACAGACATATCATGGCTTTGCATGGATTATTGAAGGCTAGATCTTTTTCATAGACACTTTTTATTAACCTTTTCATCACTGGTTGTCCCTTACTTGCGCCACCCCATGCCAATGCTTTGCTTCCAGTCAAGCTGCAATACTGAAAAAACCATTTGGAAAAAAGCGACGCAAAATTTAGGAAAACCTATTGATGTTTATTTATTGACTTCACCACAACTTAAGTAAAAAACCTTATCCGATTGGGTAAACAGATATAGCAAAGTTTTCTACCCTGTACCTAATATATTTTCAAATCGAGCAGTTGCTTCAATTAAAGGTAAGCAGATACAGAATGACTTGTTTGCAAGAGAAGTCGAGGCAAACAAGAAATTTAGTATTATACTGGATGTACTTAGAGTTATGGGGGCATGAGGGGACAAAGCCTGAGCTATGGGGGCATGAGGGGATAAAGCCTGAGCTATGGGGGCATGAAGGGACAGAGGATGCGCTATGGGGGCATGAGGGGACAAAGCCTGAGCTATGGGGGCATGAAGGGACAGAGGATGAGCTATGTGGGCATGAAGGGACAGAGGATGAGCTATGTGGGCATAAGGGGACAAAGCCTGAGCTATGGGGGCATGAGGGGACAAAGCCTGAGCTATGGGGGCATGAAGGGACAGACAATGCGCTATGGGGGCATGAGGGGACAGAGGATGAGCTATGGGGGCATGAAGGGACAGATGATGAGCTATGGGGGCATGAGGGGACAAAGCCTGAGCTATGGGGGCATGAGGGTCAAAGCCTGAGCTATGGGGGCATGAGGGGACAGAGGATGCGCTATGGGGGCATGAGGGGACAGAGGATGAGCTATGGGGGCATGAAGGGACAGAGGATGAGCTATGTGGGCATAAGGGGACAAAGCCTGAGCTATGGGGGCATGAGGGTCAAAGCCTGAGCTATGGGGGCATGAAGGGACAGAGGATGCGCTATGGGGGCATGATGGGACAGAGGATGAGCTATGGGGGCATGAAGGGACAGAGGATGAGCTATGGGGGCATGAGGGGACAGAGGATGAGCTATGGGGGCATGAAGGGACAAAGCCTGAGCTATGGGGGCATGAAGGGACAGAGGATGCGCTATGGGGGCATATAGAGACAGAGCCTGAGCTATTGAGACAAACCTTCAAAAAGATTATTTTCAAAATCGTGGAGTTATTTACCATTTGGGGTGTTTCATCAGCAAATTTTCAAAAGTGTCAACAAATAAAGTATGGCCCAACCACTTTGTGGGCAAATGAGACCTGGACAGCCCCCTTTGAGCAACATAACCTTGACTTTGTTGGTATGATTTTAATACAAAAGTGACTGTGCTAAAACAATTCTGAACCTACTTTTGTTCTCTTGATCGGAACTTTTTATAAAATGTTGATTCTCTTAATAAGGAAAAGACAAAACCAATGTCTTATAAATACTGGTGTGCATAAGAACAAGTTCCCATTTTAGGAAAGCGGACAACCAGCAAATGGTTGGCATATTATCTTAACACATTTGATCATAGCTAAAAATTGTTTGGCTTTCAAAGGTTTCAATCACGTGTTTCCCTTGGGAAATATATAGATTTTCATCATACTGGAATATAGATTTGCCTAAAACAATAAAGTAAGACAAATTCTTTCATATGAAGGCAAAAGGGGAAAATTGCCCCAGTTTTGCTAATATGAAGGCAATACTGGTTATGAGGTAAAGTTGTCCCAAAAAGGCTTGAAAGAAATTACAATGAACCTAACAAAATGCCTTTTTCATACCAGAGTGCATTCTGTGGTCCTTTTCCCGGAGTAGTCTAGTGGAGAGGGATCTTCCAATTTTTTCACGCCAAGGTTTTTGTTAGAGATTTGTTTGTTTTTGTGGTAGAAAGTACTGGTGTTCACACAGAATCTTGATCATAAATTCAATAAACTGTCATGGTGGCAATTTTCATGGCACCAAATATTGTCTAATGGGTTTTTTGTTAAACATTTTTGTGCTTCGTCATTTTTCTCAAAAAAAGATATTTTCCTGCCAAAAATCTTTGTCACAAAATGATTTTTCTTAAAACATGGATTAAGTTGGCAGCATACATTCTCATATGAAGACAACAGGGATAAATGAGTAAAGTTGCCCCCAAATGTTGAAAAGAAAATAGGCCTTACTTTAAACAATAGAAAAAAGGTATATATTTGAAGAAGTAGAGATTACAATGTCATTGTTTAAAGAACAAGGCTTTACCCCTCCCCTTGATTTGCTTGATTGAAGTGTCCAGAACTATTTTTAGTCATTATCAATCATTTATTAAAGGAAAGATGCTTTTGATGTTGCATTAGCATTCTAAAATTAATGACATTGTATACAAGAAATATTACCGAACTTGTGGTGATAAAGTTGCGGGAAGATACTTTTCTTCATGATTTTCAATTATGGGAATTTGTCAAAAAAGAAATGTGATATTCACAGAAAAAAAATGATATTTCATACTGGAGACTACTTGTTAAGTGTAACCATCCATTTTTCAAAATTGTTTACAACCCTGTGATTCAAACAGTTTGCGAGGAAAGTTTTAAAACTCTCTGTTGATTTGGAGCAATTTTCATTTCTTCGTTTCGATCTCATTGTCTTTGACCCTTAGTATTCATACAATCACATTTCTATCTATATGTAGCAGGTTCAACTAAAATAGCCTGTGTGCAGACTTAACAAATAGGAGAAATTTTTAAATCTGTGCAAAAATGTTTTCTTTTCTTCTATCCACTAGGTCACAACTACTCTAGGGAATCATTTCTATTCTGCAGTTTTTTATCTTTGGCAAAATGGCTTCAACTCAGATTTTATTTAAAATTACTACAAATTATATCACCACTTTGGATTTCATGGCAGTTTTTGACGAGATCTTTGGAGTGCACAAATTATACTTGGATGGCCAATCTTTATCTTTGCAATCCACCACTCATTTTAGGAACAAGATTAAGTCACTGTCCAAGTTTGCAACAAATCATTTGCTTTTGTGATAAATCAAATCACTCACTAACTTTATGACGAACAAAGATATTTACATGAAATCGTTAAATCAAATTATCAACAATTAAAAGGGTTACGGAAGAGGAGGAATTATTATTTCAAAATACTCACAAACAATACACAACACGAACAAAAAACACAGGAAACTCCCATAGACAATTTATGAGGTTTTGGTGGTAAAAAACTATAAAAGTTTAGGCCCTCATACAAAATTGGAATTGACCTTTGTCGGTCGGGAATGTTGAGCCCTTCCACCCCTCCCCCCCCCCCAAATATCTATCAATTTACGTCCCTGCTAGTTACTCTTCCGAAGAAGATCAAAATAACAATAGTAAAGCAAAAAACACCAAGAAAGCAGAGAAAATGTTATACTTGTATACCTGTTTGGAGCTCTATGCAGTGCATCCTCAAGCCTTTCTGCCGCCATTTTTTGAAATTGGCCTATGTTCCTCCACTGCGCATGCCTAGTGGCAGATGCGTTCACTGAATTTGGGCCTCGTATAAACTGGCTTTTCTTAATAAGCCCTCCATTTCACAATTTAAGCAATAAACAAAAATACATTTTGGGAGGGAAGTGCATCTGATAATAATATCCATCTATTTGCATCAAGAATCAAGTTGGATGTTGCAATTTGGTTAAAAAATTATTGGGACATCACATCACTTTCAAGCAAGATAAAGTAAGATCTTGCTTCAAGTTATAAAGAATTTGTATGTAATAGATTTTGAAAGACTTCAAATTAGCCCGACACAAATTTCCACAAAAGTTTCAAAAATTTTCATGCTAAATTTAGCTTCCCTTCGGCATTAACCAGCGGGGTTCAGCCCCCTGGAAATACACCCCTAATAATGGACCAGACCATAGACGTTTGCAAGGAAAAAATGTTCTGTTCTCCGGGAACTGCAAAGCATAGGTGTGAATCGTCAAAAATTATAATCAGCAAAACACAGGAAGACAAATTATAAGAAATTTGTTTTTCAAGCCGCCTAAGAAAAATACCCATTGATAACAAAAAATTATCATCGTGTTGACTTGCTCTCGCGTTGTGCAGTTAAAAAATACTGCTACGGTATGTGTCTTAATCTATTGATTAATGTTGTGTTCTTCGTTAGTTATATGGCTTTATTCGAATCTCAATAGCTTGATAAAAACAGATTTGTAGCGAAAATTCTCTCCATGCATATGCCAATTCAAAAAATGGAATTTGTTTAGCTTTCTTTCTAGGTAATGCAGGGCCTCCGACGAAGGGAGGGGGCCGGGGGTGCCTTGGCCCCCCACTTTTTTGTAAAACAATAGTTTTTTTCAAAATCTTATGTCATGGGTGTTAAATTTTCCCTTGGCCCCCCCCTCCCCCCCCACTTTTCAACCTTTGTCGGAGCCCATGTAATGTCATTTCGGCACATATTTTGCATCTCTATATGCAGTTGATTCGAAAGAATCCTCTGTTTGCAACAAAATGAAAGTGCTTTATTAAAAAAGGACCGAAACACTAATACAAAAATGCGAGTTAAAGCATTTTGTCTGATAACGATGCGTTTGTCCTCCGTCTGGTGTGACTTGTCTCTTTGTCGATGTTTACTTCATTGGACTTGAAGTAACAAAGGTACCTGCATATTAGAATCCCAAACCAGAATTGAATGCAGTTAACAATGAAGGTGGCTGCATTTCATTTGCAGCTTTGTGAATAAAATTACAGCATTTTTTAATATTGAGCACACTTTTCATGTAGCTTTGCAAAGTTCGAACGAAATTTCGGTTTGGTTTGCAGCATAAAATGGTAAGCGGTAATGTCAATTATCAATCGTTGTTAGAAAAGATATTTATTGGTTGTAAATAACTAGTTTTGTTAATCGAAATGAACCCAACGCTTTCGTTTTTCGCACAGGATTTTTTCAAGTCAAACATTGGCAAAGTTGCAACACAGGTCGACGCTGTTCTGCCTGATGAAAAGCGCAAGGAGTTGATAAAAGAAAAGTTAGGCCCGCTAGTCATGAAAATAAACCCTACCCTTGGCGAAAAAATTACTGAAGAATTGATGAAGCAGGACCTAAGTAAGCTAGTGCCGTTGGCAGACGATCCGAAGAAACTCGAAGCCACTGTGGAGGAGGAAGCTAAGAAGATTGAAGAAAAGGAAAAGAAGGAGACTATCGATCTGGACTGAATTCTATTTCATTATCATCTCATTTCGGACATTTAGATAGATGCTTAATCAACGGCTAATACCTTCATACTTGAAAGAATCATTTTAAAGTTTATACCGGATTTCTCTTTTTCTGAATCAAACCTAACCTTTGTATACGACCTCAGGCTGCAAGCTTTGTATACGACCACACTGGATTATCGTCGCCGTTTTGCTTTGTTCCTGAATTTTACCCTTTATTTATATTATAATCATTGCAAGATTCGCAGAATCCGGCGGACAGCCTGTCCTGCGGTTCTTCCTTCTCTCTCACACACACTCAGACTTTAAGTCGTCTGATTTTCGTCGCTCTTGACAGAATTTCATCAATAGGGAGTTTTACGTCGTATGCAAGTTCTTGTTAACGTTGACTGCAGGTATATGTGAAGCTGACTTTTGTCGTATACGAGTTTTTTTGTCGCAGGCAAAAATTAGTCTCAAGAACGACGAAGCGTTTTTCATGAGCTTTTGATGTCCGTAGGGATGTTTTTCCTTCCAGGCGTGCGCCGGTTACAATTATCGATCAAAAGACCGTGCAATGTGCGGGTAGGAAGACGACAGGTCGTTTGTAAAAATGAAGTACCGCCCTTTGCCACTGGCTTGGAGGCTTTTGTTAATGAAAAGCTCCTTCAAGTCTAAAACCACTGTTTCCCAATAAAGGAATATTTATGGCAAGTTCATATGAAAAAGACTTTATGCGCTTGTGGAGTGCTTGCTGGCAAATAGGTTTTTTGAAAAGACTCTGAAAAATCGATTTTTATATTGTTAAATGCAACGAATTTTCTGCGTATTTTCAGCATCCAACATGGTTAATAAAACTTTCTCAATACTACACTTCTCAATACTATACTCCAACTGAGAAGAAATACCTCGTTATCTCATAATGTCCTCGGCTGTCTATTTATATGTTCGCTGTTTAAGGAATAAAGATTTTAATCATAATGATTAATATCTACGTTAAACTTTTAAGAAAAATAAAGTAAAACTAAATCATGATAATTTCCTTAATTTTTTGCGTGTTTAAAAAGAAACGCTGAAATATTTAGACGAAGCTCCAATTAATCTGAATGTAATTTCAATAATCCTAGAATATAAAAATCAACAGCGTTTAGTTATTTCTTAAGGTGCAACGGGAGCCCAGCATAAATTATGTTGAGGATCAACTCATATATACGGGTACCTAAACAAAAATTGAAAAAATGAAATCCTAAAAGCATCTAGTTTTACATTTTTAAGCCTTAAATATGATCAGCGATTTGAATTTTACAATAGAGTTAAAAATTGATGACGTCCAAGAATATATGTTTAGAAGTCTTGAATTTGCACCAAATCTGAAAGAACACAATACCGCATACTTCAAAGCTTTTAAAATCAGCTAAATCTGTTAGACATTGGTTGAGATATGGCCAGTGAAAGACGTGGAATTCACTGAAGAGTTAATGTAGATTTTGCTTGGTTCATAGGTAGTAGGACTAGGACCAAAATACAGTGACTTGGAAAAGAAAATCCCTATTCACACCTCAGTCAATATGTTTTGGTTCAAAAGGTTTAGCACTAAGATCAAATTACATTATGTTTTCGGTCACTGGTTTTTAGGACCAAGGATTTTACGTACAAATTACATTAATTTGGTAGAAAAGAGTCTTGCTCATGTGGCCATATCTCAGCAAATATTTGTTACATTCGATTACTTTATCAAATGTGGAACAATTTTTTGATGATCTTTCAGATTACATGATCAAAATTAAAAAAATTCTTAAAATATATCCTAATGACGTCATAAATTCTTGACTCTACATCAATACTATTACATTCTTCAGCCCCAATACAACAACAAAATATTAAGATGGTTCCCTGAATAAAACCATAATAGCGAAAATGAACTATAACAAATGAGATACTTGGGTGGTGTAACCCCCCTCCCTTATCTTCAGAATTTCCAAAAAGCAAATTTATGATTCCGCAAAATCATCATTCAAGTTACTGAAAAATCCCGTACTCGTCTCGAAAATAAACAAATTGGCCTTAAAACAGCACTTGAATCAAAGTCCCTTGATTACGAACTCTGTCTACGAGACGTTTTCTTGTTCCTCTTCATCATAAATACTACTTTTAATGCAAAATAAATACTTATGTTCTAGATATTGAAAAATGTGACTAAGTCGTATTTATTTCAAGAAAATGGCAGCGAATGTATTGCAGTCTTGTTCGTGCTGCCCTGACTGTGTCAACTAGACACGCTGGATTTCAAAAAGCCGCACGTCTGTGTCGTACCAGATAGGAGGATCAATATTCCTGCGAAAAAAAACATAAACAAGATGGATATGGCACTTAATAATTAAGAAATCATGCATGAAATAGCCCTTGCAAACAGCACGCTGGGCGTTTGTAAATATTTCTTTACTTTTCTTGGGGATAGGAAGAATGTCAGATAAAGGGAGGGTTCGACTGTGTCTTGTTTTAAGATTTGATAACATACAAGAAACAGATAATCTATTGCAACACGGACAAGGTAGCATCTTTCAATTCTGTAAATAAATAAATGGTTCCTATTATCCTGGTAGATAAAAACATCTTTATAGCATTTTAAGGCTTTTCTGGAAAGATTTTCTACCTACAGAAAAATGACGAAAATGAGTATATAATAACGGAAACAAAATTACAGTTTCCGCAACTTGAAAGAATAAAAGCAAGTAAATGCTGCATAGAGCACCAAACATCAAGTAGCTTTCCTGAAAAGTGCCAGCGAGATGAAAAGTTACCTTAAATAGATAATTCCCCACATGTATGTTCTGAACCACAATTGTGTGCCACTATTTGCCTAAATGACAAAAACAAAATACAACGGAGGACCACACAGTAAAGAATTTACTTTCAAATGTTTGAGCTGATAGTAAGTGTTTCACATTACGAGTGCCAGTGCGATCTTCTAACAATCAGTGGTACAATGAAAGGTGACGGGATATTGACAGCAAGTAACAAGGCAAAAATCAAGATATCGTTTTCCTTGATTGTTTACTCTTGATTTTTTTCTGAGCGCCTATACTATTCTTCGTTGCTTATATTTCGTTTTTGAAAATAAATTCACGTGGCCTCAGATAAACAAAAAAGTGTTGATAATTTTATCTAGCTATTTGCATCTTCATCTAATTACCGTTTCTCTTGCCGTGAAATTTGTAATGATAAAGATTTTCTAAACTCTTCTAAAATCCGAAAGATTACTTTCAGTTGCACAACACAAAGGACTGCGGGTAGAACTTCCTAACAATGTTGACAGTTCTAACAGTCAGCCATAGGAAACAGAGACAATAGCTTATTTATTATCAGATTAAGCTGAAGAACAACAAAATGTTTTCTGATTACATTATGTGATCATTATTCTGGCAGATTGTTCAAAGATGGCTGGTACCTGATATTTCCGGATTAAAATTGGGTGTGGAACAGGTAGCAGCCCAACCAATGTTCCATGTTGAAGAAATTTTATGATCTCTGATTCATCTGTAAGACCCCTTAAAAAAAATTATAAAACAATTTGAAATGAGATTTAACAATACTACTAGAAGCAGCAAGCATTGCTCGGTAAATTAGAAACAGTCTTGAAAACAGAAATCCGGCGACGACGCTCAGCTGAGAGACCATTCCAAGACCTAGCACTACTAAACGAGAAGCATTTTCTGTCCATTTTCAGAGTTTTTCTTTGATAGCCTTAGGTGAGTTGATGCATTCCAAAGATTCCTAGAAGTTAACTTGGCTATTTCTGAGAAAAGATTGCAAGTGCGTTGTGAAGCCAGTCTTTGAAGAGATTTGGAGACCATGATATTAAACTAACTAGTAATTAGCTCGTCTGTGGTCTTAGGTAACTACCTCACCTACAATGCCTGCCAAAAGTGCTTGGAACACCCAGCAATTCACACTGCATTTGATATTTTTCATTCCTTTCATGGAAAAAAATTACTGCTTCCGCCCCCTTCCCCCTAAAACAATGTTGGTAATTTAGAGAGATATCATAAAAGAAGCGCAAAAGAAAGTGCTTCCTAAAATCCTAACCCGTTTGATAGTAAAGCAACATTGTTCTGTATGGGAGAGGGGGATGATTGATTTTGACGTTGGAAATTGACGTCAGTGTTCCAAGACTTCTGGCAGGCATTGTAAGCCTTTCATATTGTCTATGGTATCAGCTTCTTCCTTCCTTCTAACCCTCTATCTTCCCTTTATCTATTTTAATCTTCTTGAGTCGACTTAACCAATTCTAAAAACACTTCAGAAGAGCCACTACCTTGATAGGATGCTTGTAAGTAAAAACATTCAAACAACAAGGAGAACAATAGAACGTTTTGATAAAAACACAATAGAAACTATGAAAAACAATGGAAAAGCACAATAGAAACTATGAAAAACAATGGAAAAGCACAACAGAAGCTATGAAAAACAATGGAAAAGCACAACAGAAGCTATGAAAAACAATGGATGCATCTGCGAACTTACTTATCTATGCAAATCTTTTCAACTTGAGGGACAAGGACTTGCAACAGTCTCATTATAGTTTGAAGAGGCAGCTTCTGCTTCCACGAATGGACCTGGTGGAGACAAGTAATTTGACGAATGAGGCGCAGCTTAAAGCTTATCAGGATGTTGATAGATGAACATGTTGAGTTGTATTGCATTGTCAACTATAAATCTAACGAGAAACCTGTAACAATTGGCCAATACGTATACAAAGACTGTATGAAAGGTCTTATATAAATAAAGGAAGGTAGGACACATTTGAATTTTAGTGCATGTCGAATGTCTAGAAATGAGTTCTATTGCTCGTGAACAGCAGAGAGGTGCCAGACCTAAAAAACTTTCAGATGCCCAGAGAAAACGATCGAATTTTATTGGAAAATTAATAGAAAGATCAAAAAGTGAAGGATTTATTATGTTTTTCTCTGTTGAAAGAAAGCAAAAAATTGGAAATATAGCAAGAAAACATTGAATTTAGACAGAGCTTTGAAAGTATGGAACTCAGAGGTATGGAATTTAGTCGCACTCTTATAAGCTCGACAGGAGTTAAGGCCATTGGCACCTTCACACAAACTCATTTGATTACATACTCGTTTCGTTATCTAAATGAAAAACCTCCTCTGGCTTTGTTTAATGTCAGCAATAGCGACTGTGAAATAGACACGTACCCATTCAGCAGAAGCGATGAAACCAGAAGCATCAGGCCTTTTTTGCGTCGGGTATTCACTGTCGGCTGGCTGTCCATCTGGGGTGGCTCGATGATGTTCCCCAGGGCGTCGTGATGGGCTACTTTGCTCTGCGTGTGGATTTTGAACTAAAATTGAAATCTCATGCCTCAAAACAAAAATACAAATCTACCTTAAATATCGCCATATTGTTTGTCTCTTTTTGACTTACGACGCAAGTTCAATAGAAGAAGGTTCCGAATGGCGGGCTTGAACAGGACAAAACTGATCACAGTTCTAGCATCGACTCAATTTGATTTCCATTTTAGGATAAAAAAGTTTAATCTTAGAAATAGATGCTCTAAGTTTGAAATGGGAGACAGCTGTAGCAAGGCGTCAATCACAACATTTATGAATAAACAAAGGACTGGGAACGAAAACCGCCCTGCTACTGAAATGTTCCTCGTCCTAAACATTCATTTGTTCAGAACGCAGAGTTGAACACGAATGTAATATGCCAAACTCTCTGCAAACACGTCTGCTGAACTTCAAACTTCAAAGCAGCAGAAATCAACCAATAAACGAAGCGCTGAAGGCTGATTGGCTGAAAGCAGTTTGCTGACCCGATGCCTCCTAGCAACCAAGCGCTTAATGGATAGGCCACTCACAATAAGTTTGCCAACATGAAGTTGTTACAAATAAAGGAATGTATACGTCATTTAGAATACGAACCGGTTTTTGTCATGGTTGGAATGCCGTCTAGTCTTGGCTGAACAATTTCTCTAAAAAAATGAGAGAGATCTAGTGATAAACAGAAATGATCCCCTCATTTCATAGCAATCGTTCTATTTTGTTAAAAGGCCTAGGAGATGACTTTGAAGACACAGGGTAGGCTTATTGTCTAATGACTTGGCATTCTTTTTGGTAATGTACAGTGGGTTGGCTTGGGGTGCAGTTAACTCACACGGGAATATCAGGGAGTCACACAATAGCATTAGTGCCATGACGTACAATTGCTGCTTCTAATAGTCGATCCTGTCAGAAAATTTCCAGCGTTAAACATTTGATGCATCACTGTGTTTTGTTTGAATTTTGATTGACAAGTCGATATGAATTATAGATAAGTCCGTCAACAAACCCAATTCACTGCCATAGCTACTGTCTCCTACTTGTTTGCCACCGGTTAAAATCAAGAATATTGAAAATGGCCGAACAGACAGCTGAAAACCGTAGCTGTAAAACAGATAGAGTCCTAATCTGATGCACTAAAATGACTGCCAAAATTACTTTGAACTTTTTACAATTGCGTCTCATTTTAGCTTTTCTAATTTTATTTTCCCAAATACTGCCACACCAAGATATTGTTGAAAGTCATTTGAGTTATACATCATTAAATTACGTCATTTTACGTCGTTAAACAAAAGTGAAATCAGGCAGGCGACTAAATTATTGATACACAAACTTTTTAAGGGGGAGAGGGGAATGGATCTATTGAAGCAAGCTTAGCATTTCAAGTCTTTTGACCGCCACTGTACCGGCATCGTAGCTATTGAAGTGAACACAAACGTCCTTATCTGCTACACAAAGTTAGAGAACATGACCATTGACTCTAAACATGTTTTTTTACATTCCACAAAAGGGTGTAGACAGTGGAGCGAAGATGATACCCCTTCGAATCACAAACTGGGTCGTGTATTTAAGGGTAGAAGATAATTGATACTGTCAGCGGAGGTAATGTCACTTTTGCTAAGAAGACCCCCTTCCCTATTTCCCCCACAAAAATCCTGACTGCGGCCTACAGTAAACTTTGATTTTAGCATTGGTTTCATTGCAGTTCTAGCTTTTTAAAACCTAAAGCCTCGCTTCCATGCCAATATCAATCATAAGCGTTCTAAGTAGCATCGTTGCACGTAATTACTTAAAAACTCATTGCTAACAATGGGCTTTTGCGAGCGTGGCGACGGTCCAAACAATGGCAGTAAACTTCTACGGATCAACCTAAATTGATTTCAGACAGTCTAAAAATGCATTATGGGATGCTTGCGTAGCGCAATGGCTCATTGTTAGCAATGAGTCTTTAACAACAGCAGCTTCCACAGTCTCGTTTTTCTGCACAACATTTGCTGTCAACAATTTTAAACGCTTTATTCTTTAATGAACCTGACACCTATAAATGCGAGTTAATTTGAACCAAACCATTCGTGGTAATGAGGTCTCAATGAGCAGCTAAGCATCCATGCATTATGCATGGTTACTGCCAGTCGTTTCCATAGTGTAGCCTAAATCTAACAATAACACAAAATTCATTGGCAAACCACGAATTCTTGTCCTAAATCGAATAGAATGCCGTGATTTGCGTTAGATTGAATCGAATAAAATATCCTTGAATGCTAACGTCAGATTTTTCAATTCTCTCTTGTTGCATTCGTGTTAATCTCTTCTTGTTAATTTTGAAATAATCTGAAAATCCTGGCCTGCTTTCAGACAGAACAAAACTTAATGACAAAAAATCGGCTTTTCTTTATTTCAGCTTGAGTCTACGATCTAGCTAGATCTCTGTGATCATTCATAGAAATTGATAGTCTGAGAGAGCACGGAGCCTGAAAGCCTGAAAGAGCAGGTTTTCACAACAATTCAACAGCGACGAGGTTTAGTTGGTAGCTTGTTTATCTGTAAACGATTTTAATCGAAAATTACCGGCCAAAACTCTTCTAAACAACAGCGAAGCTGGATAAGAAATAAATGCGACCAACAATCAGATTAACAATGCCCGCAGATGCTTACTAAACTCAAACAAAACGCTGCTGCGCTATTAGCAGAATTATTGCAGTCTTTAATATATTTCAAATATCTGTCTTTACGTTTGCTTTTTATATGAAGGAGCACTAAAGTTTTGAATATTTCATACTGCATCCCCCTTCAAACAATGTTGTTTTATGCCATGTTAAGAGATTCTGTGCGATCCAATGGATTCCCTTCAGAGAGCTATGATATTTGGCTCAACCAATATTCTTTTAGGGGGAAAGGGAGTGTAGCATCAGTCTTTTTTAACCAGAAAAAATTCATTTTCTCAAAACAACATTGTAGCTTATGTTACTGGCGAAGTTCAGCGTTTAAGTCAGTATGTAAATACGAAAGTATTTAAAACGGAACACTCTTATTAATCCTCGTTGGAAATAAAATCCTTTCATTCGCGTATGAAGGTTAGGAAATACCAGGTTGGGGGAGGGGGGCTGGTCGGTTGCTTTCAAGACCCTTGGCGGACCTCTGGTATCTGATACCAGGCAAACCCATCAGTTTCACAAATCATCTTGCTCGAAGGTGTCTTTGGAGAAGGAGGAAGGGGTACGTAGCCTGTCAGCTCCTGCCCTCCACAATACAGTTTGCGATGTGTGATTTTCAACATATTAACTTTCCGGGACATGAAATACGATGAAATGTGACGAAATACAACATACTTGAAGCAAGCAATGTCTCCAAATTCGATTTTTTTACTTACCCATCCTCCAGGGACGAATCTGAATCATTTCTTTTCTTCGCATTTGCCTTTGGGCGTGACACAGCAGAAGGGTCTGTAGGCAGGTTTGCCAGCTGATGAAACACGTTCCGTTTTCTAATTATTGCGTAAACAAGATGGGCATTTCCTGAGTAAAAAGAGTTCAAAACGTCGCATTAAATTTCGCTTCACTGATGGATAAGGTAATTTAAATATATAAACAAGAATGCAATGATGCAAGATTGAAAAGCTATATTTCCTAGCTTGTCTATCGATCTTTTTAAGTAAATCCTACATTTTGAAGTGTCGGGGTTGTTTAAGTCCTTTAAAGGGCCGATTCTTTTCTAAAAGATATATTTTAGTTACAAATGCAGATCACAAAGTTTGACAGTATGCGTGCCACGAGAAATCAGATCATTTAGGAGAAAAGCCATCCTAAATAAAAACTATACAATCAATTGGGCAAAGAAAGCTCTTAAACAAAAGATTCTTTTTCCAAAAAAGACAGTCTGCATGTCTACAATTCTTAGGCTCATCTTTAAGGGAATTTGTAGATGGGGTCACACTGGAATGAAAACTGATTTTATAAAGCACACTAGAAGTATGAAAACTGATCTGATTTAAAATTGGCAGGTCATGTCATAGTGTTTTAATCAATTGAATCATAAATGTATTGCAGAATGCACAAAGAGAATATCTGACTCACCGTCAAACTGATACTGGATGATGTTGTTAAAAGTTTCAAGGAGAAAGAAAACTAAATGGTGATTTGTTCCATTGGTGAAAAGGAACCATGGCGTGGAAAAGGCCTACAAGAAACGGGATATTTGTAGCAATTAATACAGGCTTAGCGAGGAGAGAATTTGTGGGCTAAAAGCAAATGAAAGAATGCAACAAACGCTATCACCATTTGCAGGAAAGATAAAAGACAATGTTTACTAACTTTCGAATCTGATAAAATAACAATGTATTCATTTCAGAAAGTTTGACAGTTTAACTGAGAGTAGTAGGTATCTTTGCGTATACATCTTTTGACACAGTATATTCAGATCTATTCAGATCCACAAATAGTGTTATCACTGTTGCTATGGAAACTATCTGCTCACAGAACTCTTTTGCCGGTGTAATATGCGTTTTGGTACCCTGTGCAAAAGTGTAACATTGCGAAACGATCATGTGTTTCAGATCGTGTGATTTCATCATCGTGCGATGTTTCGACACGTTTTTAAGAGTTTAATATTTCACACTTGTAAATCACGCAAAGTTTGGAGTCGCCATTAATGTTGTACTTTTTTGCATAAACTTAACAACGGAAATCGCAGCACCGCTTCTTATTTGCACCCCTTTTAGAAAAATAGCTCAATTGTTCTTTACATTCTGAACAATATGAACCAGAACATTCGACCGGTTCGCAGGCTAAATTCCACTATTCGTGTTGGTACCCTATGGTACGTTTTTGCATAACCAAAATTGCCATGCGTTTGTGTACCCGGACCGAAATGCATAAGGTTACCGAAAACAATATGACATCGACAACGAGGTCTGCTTATCATGCAACGTTCTGCTAGTCCTCGAGGCCTGGAACACTGTCTGCTGCTATAGCAACAAAACACTACCATCTTATCCTAGCTCTTAAGAATAGCATTATCTTATCTACGATGACAATTGTCATTTGATCGAATCCTTAACAATAGGTTCCATCAATGATATCTTCAATTTCACAATTTTTCACTGATACCTTGGGAAAAAAATTTAAATCAAAGAGGCTCTTCTCAATTGTTTAACTGTTTCCCTTGATTGCACATGTGCAGTTAACAAGCACTTTGAAAGAGACAAGGGTCAATTCTAAGAAAATATTTTTAGATACATTAAGGTTCTAGGTTCATTGAAAGTTTATCTTCAGATTACCAAGAAAATTTTCCATAACATCTCCAACAACTTGAGGTAATTCTCAAACTAGAGTTGTTTTCATTTTAGCAGTGAATACATTTATAAAAAAAGGCCTTACCTCAAGTAAATGTAAAAGCTTATTTGCTGCTACCATTGATAAAGACTTCAAGTAGGGTGACACTAAAAAACAACAGGACTGAAAGGTAGAAACAACAGCTGAGAAATAGTATATAATTTCTTAGTGATTTTGGCCTTGTTTACACGATACTGTTTCCATATCATATTGGACCGGTTTCAGATCATGCTTGTCTACTCCTGAACAGGACAACCCGGTATTATTTATACAGTTTCCAGAGGTTTATCCGACATTTCTATATGCTCATGTAAATGGTCGAATACTGTACCTTGATACCTCGTTATCATTTTCAAAATGTCAAAAGGAGACCTGTACGGTATCGTAACAAGGAGAACTTCAGTTACACATAAGTGTTTCCTTTAGGCAAGATCAATAGAACCCTAGATCAAAATGCAGCTTCTTTGAAGCATTAACTAATTTTCAAACAGATCGTCAACTGAAATACTCTTGAAAACGGGCAGGGAACCTTGTCATGAAACTTTCTACATAATTCTTGGTTCATCTGAATTATTATCCAAATTTGAGGTGAGTACCACTAGATACTCGTCTGAAACTAGTAAGATCTGATAGAAAGGTGAAAGGGAAGATCTAGCTAGTTGCAGTTGATCGTGCCCTGTACATTCGTCGACAGAATTCAGATTCAACCTAAAAACTGATGGTACACAGGATCCGATTACACGGGAGCGAATAGCCGAAACAGTTTTGATATCATCTCATATCCGAGCTCGGCATATATCTAATTACTTTGGCTAATTTTGTGAGGGAAGCTTTGGTCTAACCAAACAATTTACCTCGAATGGAATCATGCTGTAGATCTAACGAGGTTAGAGATTCATATTGGATCAATTAGGATCCGTCTAGGTAGGAGATACATCAGGTCTCTTGAAAGCGTTAAGTCAACAAACGACAAGCAGAACAAAGATCCAATTGGATCTGATTTGAGTACGGATCCATATTGGATCTGGCTATGGATTGAAACTCACCATTTACAATAATTGTAAGCAGGCAGTCAAAAAGAGGATGAAGTCTTTGATGGCCAGTGGTGATTATTTTGTGGAAAACCTGCAAAGAAATCTTAATTTTCAACATGTTTCTATTTAAAAAAATAAAATTGAGGGCTCTTGATTATCTCAGCTTGGAAAACAAGTGATATAAGACTTTCAAAAGCTTATACATGGGTCATATGTTGCGTGCTGCCTATCTTTTATACTTCCTATTCTAGAACCTTCTCATAATTTCTGTAGCTTTTTATTTCAAAGACCTAGAGAAAAGTATACAAGTTTTATCCGCATTTTAAAAATATCTTAGGTAAAAACAACCACAAACTATGCCATTCTAGTGACCTTTGTTTTGTTGACTGATATGAAAGGCAGTACTTGTTTTTATCAAATTCTATTTGCATATAATTAATTTGCATATAATTACTTTATTATGCATAAAATTATTTTATTATAATTATTATTTTACATAAATTTTTTGGTATATTACTTGATGTAGCAGAGCTGTAAAATTGATCAAAGCATGGAAACTAGGATCCCAAAAAATAATAAGAGTTGACAACACAATTTTAACCAAATCAAATATATCTCATTAGAAAAATCTAAAAATTGAGCTCATAGGAAGAAATTATAATCATTTATTCCAATCCCTTAAATAATAAAGCAACAAATATTTAAAATTAAAAACAAGATCGAGAATGCCTTATGAATGCTTTGTGTCAAATGTCTGTGGAGTTGTTCAGTACAGTTCTCTTATGTAACAGGTTCCCAGAAAGAAAATTATTTTTTGGTGCCAGTTAATGTAGCATAAACAGCTGCCTTGAAAACGTATGGTTGGTTATTCACGAGCCATTAAACAGATGATATGAAATTATACTGTCTGGTCTAAGAAACTAGATATGCAAGCCAAACGAAATGAAACTTAATGTTGAGATATACAGCTGGACCTGATCATCAATAATGAAAAGAAAACGGCTTACTATAATAAGAAGATCTGCGTGTGTGCCGGTGAAAACAGGAATGTCCATTGCTATTCTAGTTGTATAGGGTTTGTTTAGTCGAACGCCTGCAAAAAAGAATTCCATGCAAACAACTAGGGGTGGATTTGTGACATATTAAACCAATATAGGAGTATAAAAAAAACAACACAAAAATCTTCAAGAAACATCCGGATTCCAAGTAATGGCGAGTCTTATGATGATTCCCACTGGTGAGTTAACCCTTTGATTCCCAGAGTAAAAGATACTCATGGATACCCCATTGGTAACTGATGTTTTAGACTGTCTTGATGTTAAAAATTCAATAAAACACAAACAAAATTTTTTAAGTCGCTACATTTCAAATGAAAATATGACCTTAGATGCTAATATACATAGTAAAAAAGTAATATTCTTTTATTAATCGATAACACGGTACCTTTTCGAAAATCATGTGACAAACATTTCTTAGTAAATCAAAGGGCTTCTGAGCCCACAATACAGAAAAACGGAAAGTTTTCTTGGATGCTGTAGTGTTGTGATTTATGCACATATTAATTTACCATTGCATAAATTAGAATAATTAGCTAATTAAAGAGCCATGCTGTAAGAATGCACGCTTCGATATATGTTCTGTTATGTTCCTACTAAACGTACGTTTTCTTGTGTGCTACCTGGGACACAGGACATAATAGATGCAAGCATTTAGTTGCCAAAATTTCACTTACCAAAATTTCGCTCGCCGCTAAGAAGAAGTAAGATAAAAACGCCAATATGCATCAAGCCAATTCGAGCTGTAAGTGAAGGAAACTTTCAATTAAAATCGGCAGTGGATAACTGATTTTCACATCTAGGGCATGAATAATGACGACAGGCAAAGAAATATTTGACAAAGGAATATAAACCCGAAGTTAGCTCAATGACAGAACAGTTCACGATATACGTTGCAAAGTTGGTCGTGATATATCATTGAACACGTTGTAGTTTGCAAAATTGCACGTGGTAGGTTGCAAAACTGCACGTGATAGGTTGCAAAATTGCACGTGGTGGGTTGCAAAATTGCACGTGATAGGTTGCAAAATTGTACAGTAATAGATTGCATAACTACACGTGGTACCCTACAAAAGATGGCTTATTAAATAGTTAGAAAGAAGTATTTCTGATAAACGAAAAGAATGAATGAAAACTCACAATAAACATTTAATAACTACGAATTTTTTAAAAAAATGTCCAAGTAGTTCATGCCTACATACAGCCATCAGTCTCATTTTTATTAGTTTTTGATAAAGTTTTATTGTCAAGGAAAGGGTAATTACTATTCAATCGCGGACATTTACGTCCCTTTTACGTTTCCGGCTTCGTTGAAAGAAAGTGACCAACCGACAACGACTGGTCACATGATATTGTGCCTCGTTGCATTAAAAGGCATTTTATGTCGTAATTATCAAAACAAATATTATTTACAGCTAAACAAGCATTACTATTCGTGGCCACCGATAGCTCAGTTGGTAGAGCGGAGGACTGTAGAAGAGAAGTAGAAATCCTTAGGTCGCTGGTTCGAATCCGGCTCGGTGGACTCCATTTTGTTTGCATTTGCCAACCAGTCGCTAGAGATGGTTAAAGGCAGGGATGCTCCTGCGCAGGGGCAAGAAACTAAGCGGGTAGCGAGGGCTGGAAGAATTATTGGCACCGAAAGAACTTTTATTCTTATCCAATCTGGGGGTAACTATCAATAAAGAACAGTCGATAAATGTCAACTTTCAAAGTCAGCCACCCCCTGGTGCAACAGGATTAGTCTCGCCTCCATTAACCTCGTTTCATATTAAAATTGTAATCGAACTGCCAGTCACACGTCAATTATAATCTTTCAATGTAACGTGTTTACTTTAATGTTCGATGTTTTTAAATGTATCCTCAGCTAAGAACTACGACCAAACAGAAGAAAATCGCTAACAGAGGAGAGAGGAGCGTATAAATAAAAACAGTGGCGTGAACTTACATGGGTCTCCGCGAGCATCGTTTAAATGATACAGAATTGGAACTAAAACGTTCAGCACGTCGCTGCTTTTTAGCACGTAGAAGAGAAATTTCTGAAATAAAAAAGCAAAAGTCTAAGAACTGTATGAAAATTTGATTATGGCCAAATTTTATCAAATTTCCTTATGAATAAATCAGGGTCGCTAGAGAGCAGTAAGTGGGCTTGCTTAAAGCGGTACTAGCATGGTACACCCTTTTTTTAAAGAACCAAATAATGTTTGCCGAGGCTTGATGTTATTGTCTTTGGATAATTTGAGGACAATTTTCTAATACTGTTGTTTATATTTCAACATTGACCTTCTCTATAACAAGGTACATGCTAGCGATTGTTTTTCAGACCACAAAAAAACAGTTTTGCGTGACACTTTTGGACACAGTTGACTAGCGGATAAAATCTGCTTTGTTTTGTTAAAATGAGAGAAAATTTTCAAAAAACCCTGTTTTTTCTTCCTTTTCTCCATCCGAGACTTGGAATGTTCTGACGTTGTTTTCATTTTGGCAAATCGAGCCTCGGTTTTCTTATGAAATGTGTTCTTATGAAAAATGTGTAACTCATAACCTATTCTGCTCAACTTTTCATTTGGCCTGTTCCCCAGAGCTCTTTCAAGCATTAATAAGAAGAACTATTTACCGTAAAAGCTCTATAAAAGCCCTCAGGGGGCTTATTTATTTTTTTCAGTCCTGGAGGGGGGCTTAAGAAAGAGGGGGGCTAATTAGAGACTAGGGGCTTATTGAAAACTTGAAGTAAAAAATGCTTTAAAAATGGCCTTGTCTATTTTTTGTTATAAAAATGTCATACAAATGTTCTCGAAAGTTTAATAAATCAATTATATTGCCTCATCTTCATCAGAATCATCATGATCAATTGATAACCCTGAGACATCCTCTAAACAAACTTCGACTGACTTCTTACGCGAAAACGAACTTATTTTCATCACACCTGTCAAGAGACCCACTAAATACGCATGTTTCCCTTGTTTGACAACAAAGGCTAATGAGGGGGGGGGGCTTAATAGAGAGTGGGGGCTTATTTTAAGTTTTTGCTTGAGGAGGAGGGGCTTAATAGAGCTTTTACGGTAAATCTCATTTACCAAACATTACAGTACTACATCCCTGTATTAATAATACGAGGTCTTCTTTATCCCAACACTACAACCGCTTACTAATTGTAGTTGCTCTAACAACAGATTGGTCAATGATGCTTCACATGTTAATCAGTTAATTACCTTGTTCAGATCGCAAAGTTTCCAGAATAGAACTAGCAGCTCTTGGTGAAAGCCAATCTTTTTGGTTGAGTTTGGAAGATACGTCTGGAACAAAAAAATGCAAAAGTGAGTGTTTTAAACAGGTTTACACTATTATTTTATAAAATGATCATGGGATGCTTTTACTGTATAGAACAGGACGGTTCTAGGTTGCTACTCTGAGTTCTATGTATTGAGATCATAAGGCAAATATGTTGCAAATATGTCCAGCGAAAGACAACCATAGGAAATTCCAAAAAAGGTTTTCCTTTATATAAACACTTCAGCGAGGCTAAGCAAACTCAGCTTCTACGGTCTCTGCATCCATATGAATGTTATCTGATAATATGGAATTCGTGTTTATTACTTGCAGACTCGATTAGCAGTAGCAAAAGTCGAAATGCAAAACTTTCAATTATAAAGGTTTTAACACAATATCACTTCAAGACATTCAGCCCTGAATATAATTGGTCGTTGTAAATCATTGTGTGAAAAGTGTTACTTGATTGGCTATAGATTAGCCAATCAAACTTGTCTATACACAGTAAAGGCTTCGATTCAAATAGTCGGTGAAACTGGCTGTAATTTAACCATCGCTTAAATGTTATTCAAAAATCACTCAAAATGATGATATCGTTGATACTACTAAGAAACTTTGTTGCCTTTACACGAATTTTATTGTTGTCTTTACACGAGTATTATAATTTTAGGGCAACGTGCGTGAGGTAGTGCCATAAAAGCAAACGACATTCAACTGGGGAACTGGCTGCTCTGAAACCAACAAAATTTCAAGAACGAGTTAATGTGCAAAATTATCGTCTATTGGAGCTAAAAGATTTTTTATCGTTTTCGCTACAAACAACTGATTGTTAATCAACTGGAAAAGTCACACACGTAACCAAAGAAGTAGGAAACAGTGATCTCGTTTAATAAGTATTTCAATAAACCTGTGCAAGGGGGTTCTGCAGCAACTGTGTGACACCATGAAGGATAAAATGAAAATCCTTAAAAGAAAAAACAATTCATAGGTTATAGATGGTACTTAAAAAAAATTGAAATTTAAAATTCAACATTTGTTACCTACAACAGATGACCCACAATTCACCGCCTTCACTTCAATACATCATCTGCTGAATTTGTTGTCACTTACATGAGATTCGTGTTGAAATTTCAACGCAGATTAATGCCATGTAAAGTACAGCCCGTTACCGTGAGATGTTAACGTGTAAAAAGAACATCAAGGCTCGCACTGTCAACTAAGGTGAAACCCAGCCCATGTTGAACTCAGCATGGGAGAAAATTTCTAATGTAAAAGACCTCTAAATGAAACAGAAGAAAAAGCCTATGTAAGGAAAAAAGAAAGTTGTTAATTTACCTCTTCGCGGTGTATTCTGGTAAGATAATTGCAAAAAAGATTCTCTGGTCCGGTTGCCTAGAATACACAATACGAATTGTCAATAAAAGAAAACTTCAAACAATGAAACTAATAAGAACTGCAGTTTGCTGGTCTGTTTTATTGTGCTGAATAGCGTATAGACAAAGCTGTAGACACTTCAGTGGTATCGAACAGGGAGATTCTAAGTTGCCAAGAACAAAAACACCAGAATAGACTAGAACAAACTACGAAGCTATGTCGATTTGCACGTTGTACACCTAAAGTAACCATTCACCCCAAGACAAGATGAATGATACGTAAAAATGCAAAATAGACATTTTTAGCTGTAGGACCAAGCCTGTGTTTCATAATTTTTTCTTCAAACAAGAAATTCAAAGCAGCATAAAAGACGTGCATTTCTTTCCCTTGGGAAAATTTACCAAGTACTGGGTTTAAGTAATATTTTACCATGGGAATAACAAATCTGTTCTATTATCACGAATATTGTCTCTTGATATTCAAAACAAATTTCTTCAACAAACGATCCACTCAATACCTTTGAAATATAACACAGGAAATTGACAAACTCGGGTTACAACAAGTACTTCTGTTTGGTTTTACATGAAGTAGTTATAATAGACAGACCTCAAAAGACTGGTCACCCTCCCTGGCTTGCTCAATGAAGTGCTGCTGCTCCATGTCGTAATCGAGGACGACAATCAAAAGCTGAAGAGCAACCTCCACAAGTTGCTCACGGGAATCATTAAACAGCAAATGATTGTATCTGAAAATAATGCAAGAACAATTCACTCTCAAAGTCTTAAGAAAATGTATTAAGCAAGAAAAGCTCAATGTTTGAAAAAGTGAAACATTAGATGAAAATCTGGGTATAACTAAATTTCGAAAAATCCAAATTGACTCTTAATATGAACAAGTAGCAAAATTAAGAATTGGTCATTAAATCTAAAACCTAAAGACCAGGAAATGCCCTCTATACCTATAGACAATGTGCCTTAGCTTCAAAAGCCGTCCATAAAAAACAATAAAAACAAGACATAATCTGGTTTGTGCACTTTAACTAATTTTGCTCTCGATAACCCTGCATATAAGTCATTAGCCGAGCAACCAGTGGCTCTCTTAGCTCTGCTTAAATCGACTTTGTTCTGGCAAAAAATCTCAAAAAAGACCAAGGTCTTCAAAAGTGTCAGTACATATGATAATTAGGAATGAAATATAATTAGAAACATGTTTGAAACTCACGGTATTCCATATCCAACGGGATCATAAGAGCATACAACGTTTAATAACGATGTGAACAGTGGAAGCGCATGGCTGAAATAGCAAAGACAAAATACAAAAAAGATTTATACTTGAATATAACAAATATCTTGAACTGAAAGCACCCTCTCTTTTAAGCTAATAGCTTGCAATTCAAAGTACAAAGGAGACTGGGCCCAAGTGACGTCATAGCTGATAAGAAGCTTTGCAACTGCATGCTAACGGTAGGGGTGGCTGCTTTAACAAAGCAAAAACAGAGTCAAGATAAGAAATTTTCATTATCTATCAAACAACAACAAAATTTCAACCATTTTGCCCTATCTAGCCGAGTAGTTGCAGTTTGAGGCAGCTATCTGCCGTTCAAATTTTCTCGGGTTTGGGTTTTATTCTGAGAGTTAAGTCCAGCTTTAGTGTCAGTTAGAGCACCGAAAAAACTGAGAGTCAAGCTTTTGTTACGATCTAACATAAATCTACAATGGCGAGTGGCAACTGCGGTGAATAAATTCTCTTTTATTAATCTTCGAAAGGACAAAACTGGGCGTACCCAGAAAATATACATAAATATTTGTTTAACGAAAAAACGAAAATGCTACTGGTAGGAATGCAATTAGCTAGAAAGGTATTCACATATAAAAAGAGCAAAATGCCAAAAGCCTTTCTGTCGAAATATTGGGCTATTTTTGTGGCTCTGTTCACTTCACGACCAAAGAGTTGGGTTAAAATTACATACCGATTTTCAGATGATGTGAAATATCCGAGCCATTTATTTGGTGTCACCTGCGCATCTAAAACAAATATGATTTATGAAATTAACAAATGCCAACAAAGACTTTTACAATTGAAAATACCTTCTTGGAAAATGATTAAACTTCAAAAAAGTTCGGTTGGATATCAATAAATGTGTATACATTTCATTGTTAACTAGAATTGTAAACGTGGACGATTTTGTTTCACGCATTTTAATCTAATAACTCTATGTAGTTCTTCTAGTTGGATTTTCAATTCTTTAATAGTAATTAATCTAACAATTCTACGCTTTCAGTATGAACAAAAATATATTGATAATTATTCTTTGTAACCAACATTTAGCTAAAATACTCCCCATCTAATTTTCGACGGTGATTGCATTTTTAATTGCTTCACGAAAATGCTTTGATGAAAAATGCACATTTCACAATTTGAAACTGAAAACGGCAAAAAAGATTTTTTATTGGGATCTTCAGAAGAGACAGTCTTCAAAACTTTCAAGATATAAGTTTGTTTTAGATATTCGTCTTGAAAAAGGTTCACTTGCGATAATGGTAATTTCTAAATAAGGGAAAATTTGACTTAAAAACAATCATTGATTTAGGACCACCAATTTTCAATTCAGTTGAGTTTTTCATAACGTATAATTTTTGTTATGCAAAGCGAAAAGCAAAATTTTTTCTTTCAAATATTCACTTTACATTGATTTTTCTGTCTTTCAAATATCTTCGAACGTGACTTTTTTGTTTTAAAAAGGTTGGTTAACAAACACCACAAGTGTCACTTTGTGGTAAGCATCAGAGTTCATATCTGGGAAGGATGACACCTATACCCTTGGGTACATTTTCAAATTCACATCAATACACGTGAGATTCTTCCTGAACGTTCTGCTAGAAGGCTTAAAATTCCGTCGCAATGCACAGCAGTGATGCAGCTGTAATATTGATCATGTTGAAAAAAGAAGCAAAAAATGAAAACTGACCCGCTGGCGATAAGTACATTGCCTCGGAAAAGCAGGTTAGCAGCAGTTTCAAGAGCTCGGTTCGGTTGACATCATGCAAAGCAATCTGTGGTGGCGAGCTTGCAAATCCAACACCAGCTTCCCTAAGAAAACGATAATGCATGGTTTATCGAGTGCAAATTGCGGAAAAAGGCGAGCAGCCCTGATGACATTTGCAGGATAGGCGTGGCTTTAGCTTCACACGGGCCAGACTAAACTGCAATTATGACAAAAAACATGTTCCTGTGTTTTCACGGATTCTTTGTAATCTGAGGATTGTCGCATGTAAAGTTTAGTTCAGTTAAACGTGATTTATTTCCTTAACTATCCTTTTTCAAAATACTAAAAGACCCCGACTTAGTTTGACAAGTTTTACGATTCTTAAGCACACTTACCATATAAAAGCACAACTATCTATGTTTGCAAGATCCTCTGGAGTCTCCTGAAAAGTATAAAATTTGATATTTGACATCAGGTTTTGGCAATATTTAGGCCGAGACAAATGTTTCCTAGAGGTATCAACAACTCTGCGGAATTAAGTGAAGTGAAATGGTGGCTTATAGTCATTAGCCAAATGCTTCTCTATCGATTTTACACAAAACTCCACGGTCGCTATGCTCTACTTCCTTTAGCAGAGTGCAGCCACAAACAACACTTGTAACTAATTTTCATTTTCATTTTATTTTCAATTGTTTAGTCATGGCAGCCCCTCAATTAGCGAACGATTGATTTGCAGGGGGTCATGTATTTAAATACCATTCAATTCAAAATGAAAGTAAATACAATATAATAAAATAAGATTAAAAAAATAAAATTAAAAAAATTAATATTTAAAAAAATACTGTGACTCATGCAATGCTTCACTTTATTAAACCACCTTCCTTAAATTTCTTTAGAGTTGGTTGACTTTTTGCATCATTGTTTAACATGTACGAGAGACTCGCCCCTTTGAATGAGAAACATCTCTGACCAGCTGATGTCCTTAACTTAGGAGTTCTTAAGTTAATATTAGAATTCCGCAGTACACGAGAGGTTGTTTTGCTAACCCTAGTGAACATGTCACTCATATAGGACGGCGCCTCACCTTTCAGGGATTTGATTGCTATCTTGAGGGTTTCAAGAACAAGTAATATACTATCCCTTTCACGACAGCAAAGGCAGATACTAACTAACTACCTTTCTACCGTCACAACCCATCAACTCTTGAGCAGTAGGGGATTTGAATCAAAACCGAATCAAAAAGCTCACAAAAACAAATTGAAAATCTTACTGGTCCACTTCTTTTCGCATAAACAGTAAAATCTGGACAGAACAGCAAATCCTAAAAACAAGAAAATTTAATTGTAAAGATTCAGTAAAAATGTGCAAGGTTGATATATCAAAATGAATATGAACAGTTATCCACAAGGGTCTCGGTCAGGCAATGGGGCAAATATTCTCTAAATCCCATAAATAAATTGGAAAATAGATGTACCTCCAGGATTAAAATCAAAAGACTTGCTGATTATTTCTGAAAACTTGATAAATGTGCTGTTGAAAGGTCTATGAGATGCAGCTAAAACTGTCTTCAATTGCTTAGGTGTACAAGGAACAGTAGATTTACAAAAATGACCATGTATTGGTGTCTAAGTAATTTCAATATTACAAGGAGGTTAAACATGGCTAGATTTACAATTATATTTAAACGAATTGAAAATTGAAGCAGAACACAAAAAAACCTGCGCAAGAAGCCTGACTGAGTGATTAACAATAAAATTTATCATTTTACAAATTTAAGAATAATATCGTAAAGCAGTAATAGAAGATACTTCTAAATTGTGCATATTTAGGCACGCTTATGATTCCATCAGAGGTTTTATTCCAAGAAATTACATGGCACAACGAGAAAAATGCATGTGCAATGGGACATGCAAATAAAAATCTAATTATTTTAATTTTATATTGGCATACCAGCTACCTTCCCCAGTTTTAATTCCTTGTTAATAAATCCTGTAGACAGGGGCGGACACTTGATCAAATATTGGGGGGGGGGGCAAGCCTATTGTTTTAATAAGATGAGGTCACATTTTCCATTGTTTTAGAACAAAAGACAATTGTCCTCTAAATTATTGGGGGGACGGTCGCCCCCTCCCCCCAAGTGTCCGCCACTGCCTGTAGACAACCTGCGATTCACACACTTGCTGGATTAACAATGCCTTTAAGAAATAATCTTGTAAAAATACTCACTCCTATAGCATTAATGAAAGACTGAGCCAGAGGTGGTGGGGTGTCTCCATCAACCTGTTTAAAAATTATAGAAAACACAAGATTAGGCAAAGGTAGCCATGCAGACATGATGCCTACAGTAAACATGTTACAAAGAAAAGGTTTGCTAATAAAAAAACAGCAATCTATCTGAAATATTTCAATTCAGCATTTATTGACCCTGTGAAAATTGTTCATAGTAATCAAGTGAATTGTAATAAAACAGATCGATTGGAAATTGGTTGGCTTTCAAGAAATGATTATTTTCATTATAGGGGAAAACACAATTAAGAACAGGAAAACACCTAATGAATATACACAATTAATGGTATATGGTTTACCTCTCTGTCCAAATCCTGTCTGGTTTCATCACCATCCTATGTAAGAAACATTAAACACGTTAGATTTTTGGTCAACCTACAGGAAGCATCAGACAATTTCAAAAAGTGAGCAATTCTTTTATATGAGCTAAAATTCACCTTATTCAAAGGAAGGATGAATTGCCTGGTGTCATTTGTAGTTTAGAAATAAATAAAACTATGAAACATGCAATGCATAAAACAACTAAAACAGTCAAAGTGCATTTTTTGCTAAGTATCTGAAATTGCCAGCATAAAAACTTATCATATATTAGAGAAGCTCAATGCACAACAAGACATAGTTTCTTGCATCAAATATGCTGGAATTGTTACATAAATTTCTGGTCTTATTCAAAAACCTTTGAATTATAGCCAATTAAAAATTTATTTCTAAGATTTTCAGGAACAAATCATAACATCCCCTTAAAATCATATGTGTTTGGGGATGTCTTGGTATGCCAGTCATTGAACCAGTTTTGTCTCGCAAGCTCTTTTTTGTGCAAATAATTACATTTACATTCAGGAATCTAAATCCATTGGGCTAAAGGCTAAATATTATAAACTAAAAATGATTCCTAGAAAAATTTCGGATGTAGTGGATGCAAAAAATTTGTATCATTGTGCAGACTTTAGAAGTTTCCCCTTTTATTAAAGAATGCATGTAGGCAAATTGTGGTTAAGACTTTATGAAAATTCTCTAATTTTTATATCTACAATATGCTTATTTTGAGAATGACAGGTCAATAATAAGTAAAGAGTGAATGAGCATAAAAATAACAAAACAAGTAAGGTCTGGACAGAGAACAAAAACTGGGGTAATTCAAGGGGAGTAAAAATTAAAAAATTAAAGTAGAAGGACACCAGTTTCTACTGACTGCAGCTGAAATTAAAACTTGATGAAATAAACATGCCTGTCTTGGAACAGTTGACCAAAAGAAGCCTCTCCAATCTGGATCTTCAAAAATGTATGGAAGTAGCCTTGTCAATAGTCTTGTGCAATTCAAAACTGTCAAAAGAAATTATTGATTAAAATCAATGAAAGCAGATCATCCTTTAACAAACCAGTCAATAAGAATACTTGTGATACTTGCTACTATACAATAAAACTACTTGTCAATAAAAAAATTTGGGGCAATAATTTGGTTTAAGAGAATGTCAATGTCACAGATATTTGTGATTAATGTGCCAATATGTATAGCATGCAACATTTGCCTTGCCAAATATTGCTAATAAAGATCTATAGCACAATAGGGAATTGAAATGATTCATTAATATACAGATGTTTGACGGGGAACAGTGGATACTATTTTTAATAATAAAATTGTGAAAAAAGAACCAGAAGAGGAATTCACAAATCTGACTCCTGCATAGTGCTTTTTATATTGATAATTTCAACAATGTAGACCATGGAATTAAAAAACCTTGCTCTGGGTTTTCAGCATGTTTAGCTCCCCAAACCTTTCATTCCCTAAACCCAAAATCCATAAAATGAATGACTATTTATTCACTTGTTAAGGCACTGTATGACAAATTTTAATAAGATCAGGGTAGCAATGCACCTCTTCGTCCCTTAACAAAATCTTTGGCAAGTGTTGTTTTTAAGAAAGTAGGGGAAGCAGGACTCTCAGTTTGAGGCCTGTGATTGTGCGATATATATTTATGTCATTGATTCATTTTGGGATCAAAAAAATAAAAGTTGCTTTTCTTGGTGTCTATAAACACTTGAAAGACAAGAGTTATGAAAATTCTTTGGTACCACAAAGCTTGAAAATCGAATGGAAAAGCTGTAAAATCAATAGAAGTGATATTACTGGCGCGCTTTTCCATATGGTTTAAAAAGTTATGAATCATGCACCTCAACAAAAATATTTGAAGGGTGCAATCAGCCATGCACCCACTAAAATCTTTACAGAGGGGCCTGGGGAAGGTTGGTTATCATACAGAATTAATGATTAGCTACAGTAAGATGCATTCAGCTGTCCACCTACATAATGGCTGTGCCAGCCACTACGCTCTGGGGGGGGGGACAAAACAAAAAATTTAAGCCACGCCCTTTAAGAAATATAGAACGCCCTTTTACAAACAAGGAATGCCAATTTTACCTGAAAGAAATGCCCATAACTAACTGTTGGCTATGTAAAGGCAGTTTGAAAATTAAAGGATGATATCAAAAAATGTAGGTTGCCAAAAAGTTACCCCTCCCCCAACACTTTCTCATTGGATTTAGACGAAATACAAGTCTCTCCCCCCCCCCCCACCCCCATGGCGCCGCTACTGCATCTACATGATAATGATTTCTATCATATAAACAGTTAATACAGGGTGATGATATAAAGAAAAATATTGAAAATAATAGGTCATCTAGGCTACAGAGCTATCACTCTCGAACTGAAATTAGTGCTGAAAATACAAAACTATTGTTTTTTATTACATTTTTGGATCTTCAAGTTATCTTTTGATTGATAGTCCATTCCAACTCATGTACCGTAAAGAAAATATGTTGAAATGATTACTATGCACAAACCAATATGAATAATTAATAAATTTTTGCAAACAGAAGGTTTGATTCTTTGTGCTTGGATGATCACTTCATCTTTGCATTTCCAATCAATTCTCATCCATTGTTAATTTCATTTTTTTGTTTTGTATGAAGTGCAAATGATTTTTCTCAACAAAATTATTAAAAGAACTAATCAGTTCTACAAACCTGCTTGGTGTTCTGTTTGGCCAGCACATCCAGTTGTTGTAGCATTCACTAATTTCTCTACACACTACAAGTAAAATATTGATGTTAATTTAGACTCACAATTGTATTCCTTGCCTTATCATGTGTGCAGATTTTAGGACCAAACAGACAAACATCAAATTAAAGTTTTCTAAAGCAGAAATCAAAGATCAAGAAATCATGATACAAGGATGAATTTTTCCTAATTCATATGCAAATTAATTAACCAATTTTAAAATAGGTGTGAAAATGAAAAAACTACAACATCAACTGTACAATAAAAGAAATTCATGATTCCTAATAAATTTGTGTGGTCATGTATAAATGTATGAAACAAATTACAAACCACAATATTTGAAAAGCAAATTGAATTATCAAAATAGTAAAAGAAACTTTAATGTTCTGTAAACTTTAATTGCCCGCAACTCGCGCGCGATAGCGCGCGAGTGAAGGGCTTATAGTCTGCCCCGCGTATAAGTAGCATATGGAAGCTTCAGTTCATGTTGTCAGCACTTTGTCAGCAGATTTTGTCATTTTTCTGCTGCCATGACAACTGTCAATCAATTTCATTGTCAATCAATCGGCTTTGTCGAGGAGGTCGTTAACCGCCACCTCTTTGTGCGGAAGGGAATTCTCTTCGGAGAGTTGCTCTGCCAAGACTCTGTTAAAGGCCTTCGGTTTTTTTGGCACGAAAACGGTGCTGCATCACAGCTCGGTTCTCCGCAATGGATGGAAGTTTTGATTCGAAGTTTTGGGAATCAAAACCAGTCGAATGCCACACCTTTCTCCCAAAAACTCGACACCGTACGAGCAAAAGTTATGATTGTCGTGATTATAGCCTGTACATCGCTGTACGAATCCTTTATCGCAATCGATTTTAGCTGTACCCGTTCTATCACGTGTCCATTTTCATACGTCTTTGCTTCACGAAAACGCAAAATAAATGTCAAACCCTAGAAAAACTTCATGATTTTCAAAAGGGCGTTGGACTTAAATCAAAGGCAAACTGAACACCAAAAATTCTTGATAAAAAGAATAGTTTAGCATCAACTAGAGCAGCTGTTTTTATAAAATTGTGAAAACCCAAGATGGTGTCTTCTTCGAATATCCTGACCTAAATTTTCAAAACAATCATTATCAAGGAACTAATTGTTTGCGGGCAGTACTAGCAAGAGCTATTTCTAGTTTAATTATAGCTATAATTGTGTATAATATTTTCTACATCATATATTTAATATCAGATATATCACTTAAAGAAATTTTCTGTCTCAAGATAATACCAAACTAACCTTGTAGCATAATGTTGCCAAATTTGAGGGGCATTCTTCTCTCAGTGTTCGAATTTCTGAGGCTGGTATTAACGCAAAGATGTCATTAACTGTTGAAATTGAATCACACCAGAACTGGTCCCAGAACACTTCATCATTAACTTCAACAGGCTGAAAGAATTTCACAGAAGCAATTAAGAGCAGGTGAAAAATCGTTTGATTGCATAATGATTCAAATTTAGATTATTCTAAGTTTCATGGCTTGGATATTCTTTTTCCAAGTAGCATAGAACTTATAGCTAAAAGTTAAGCAAGCAAATGAGATATTTTATCCTGAGAAACTGTCACAATGATTATAACTTTGGTTTTTAGTTTTTCCTCCAGATCTTGAAAATGAAATTTTTCTTTATTTTCTAAAGCAAACAATATAAAGGCTGATGTTTCATGTGAGGTATAAGGAAACTGTACTTTAGTTATGCAGGGCTACTGTACTGCACAAAGGTTTAGAAAGGGCGGGCCCCCCCGGGAAAAAAAGCAACACAGGCTATAAAAAGCCCTTACCAGTTTGACTGCATGAGCTATTTAGTCCTTACAGAACTGTTGTTAATTTTTTATATTTTTAAGTATTGACAAGGGAAAAATACATTATTGGCCAATTCTTTAAAATTATTCATCTTAAGGAGGCATTTTTGTGTGTATTATTTTCTTTACATTTTGTATTACCACTCTTTAAAACGAGTCAAAAGAGGAACATAACTTTATTGGAATATAGCAAATCTTTGTTAGGTTTTGCAGGTCAAATATGGTTTTTTTGGGAATGCCTAGCTTATTTGTCATGACCTAAAAGAAATTGCTTCGTTTCTCTCAGCATGGTGTAAAGTTTCTCACTTAAATTATCTGTAGCATTAAACAGGCTATATGTTATTCCTTTCCTGTGAACACATTCCCTATTCGAATGCAGATTTTAGCAGATGATACAATAGTTTGTTAACATGTGATAAACACATAGATGTGTAAGACCTCTTTCTCCTTATTTACTGACACCCTGATATTTAGAGGTAAGTAGTACAAACATTGGGCAGCTAAACTGCGCAGAGTAAATGAGAGCATTGGTTTGAAAAACTACACGGGCAGAATAAGCCCTCGCAAATTTATTTTGCATGGGGTTTGCGTGGGTGCGGGCTATAGCCTGTGTCTCGGGGAAAGGACTGCGAAGGGCTCAGTGCTTTACTTAGATGACACTGGTGCTCATTGGATTTTATTTCTACACAGAAAAGTGCCCGAGGAGGGAACGGGGCTATATCACTGATAAAGCACCAACATTGTCCAAAAATTTCAGTAAATTTTCTTCTTTATCAAAAAGTTTAGGAAACTGCTATCTGTAGCCCAAGCAAATTTAAATATGTACTATTTTTCTCTGGTTCTGCAACTCAAAATCTAGTAAATCCAGAGAGCATTGAATTGAGGGAATTAGTGAAGGATAGACTTGCAGGGTATTTTGAAACAACCCTTCTTGCTCTTCAAATGCATTAGATAAATGCTAAGCATGTGGCATGTTTGAATAAGATAAGATGTGTCAGCTTAGAAACTTGGTTGAATCTTGTCAAGGAGATTTGACCTGGGCCTTGTTACAAATAAAGTCTCCATGTAAACCCAAATCAAACAGCTACCAGTACATTTTTCAGCATTTGACATAATCCAGTTCAATTATGCCCTTGATACTTAGCTCACAAATTTTGTTCACTAGACAAAACGGTTACTTGCAACCTCTTGAATCTGTTTCAATCTGAAGAAATTATTATCCTCCCTAATACAAATATGTTGATGACAGTACACTTTTTGGTAGAAGAAAGGGACCTTTACTTATAAAAAGCAACAAATATACAGAAACATAACTAAATGACTTGCTTTATACCACCAGCTGTAGACAAGTCAAACTTACAAATGCCTCAAAATATGCTGAAAATTTTCTTGCTATCTTTCAAGGAGAAGCATGGATTAAAAACAGTTAAAATATAATTCTATTTAACATGACAACAATTTATTTACATGAAAACTATGCAAGATTTTCATTCTGGATTTAATACAAAATTAAGAAATTAATGGTTTCCATGATCTTTCAACATGAAGTTTGTAATTATACCACCAGAACATAATTAATTTATAATGAGACCAGATCAAATAGTCATGAATATTTGCTTTAAAATGGTAAGTAGCAACAAGATGTAAGGTCTTTCATTGGCAATCAACAATTTTTCAAGTTTCAAATACATAGTTTTGAAGCATTCAATTTCTAACATTGTGCCTGTGTTTCTGAAAACTTTTAGCATAAATAAAATTTAAAGTTTGCTGGGGCAATGTGGTGACTAAAGTTTAAAATACTCTGGACTTGGTAATCAGCATAGGTATACCAAATAATGTATTTGTGAGGAATTTAGTTTTTAATTAGCTGCTCCAAATAAATTCACAAAAACATAATTCACCAAGGTACTACTGGTATAATTTATTTTTTAGTATTGTATAAATTCATAATTTAAACCCATAATTGGAGTACTGGCCCAGCTATGGCACATTGTACAAAGAAATAGGTAAGAAAGATTGAATCCTGGAAACTACAATTTGATTAGGGTGATTGTGGTAGTAACATTATAATGAACATACGAGTCTAGACATGTTATGGTTAATGCAACTTCTATATTGTTCTACCAAGGCTCGATAAGAATACTTCCTGTCCTTTTTCAAGAGGCAAGGCAGAGCCTAACAAATAAAGAATGCCTCAACATTTGGTGTTTTATTCGAAATAACCCTTTATCATTTAACATAATGCTTCACTCACTGTCTGAGTAGGATTTGGGTTGAGTAGAATAATTCTCGCGGGCCTGATTTGCGAAGGGGGAGCGGTCTAAATATCAAGAGGGGAAAACCAGTTTTACCACCAAATCTAGCAGGCTGCCTAGCTCTTTCGTCATAAAATTGGTGTGGCAGGTTAAGCGTAAATAAAAAGTGTTGGTCTGATAAAGGAATATAACAAAAGATGGGTAATAAACTTGGCAGATTTTGCGAAGACTGGCGGCCTTACCGTTTTCTTGCTTGTAAGCTGAACCACAGCTTGTCTAAAACTCAACTTGCTGTCTGTCCCACCCATATCATGCTAGAATATATATTTGCGTCGTTCAGTAAGCAAAATATGCGATTTTCAACGACTTTTCAGTGCAAAAACTCTCCAACACCTACACATCTTTACGCTCGAATTTTGTTTTCGAGGCAATGTCCAGAGTCATCGTTCTCGGGGGGCTCCTGCACAGAGGGGCTCGCAGCAACACTGCATTATACCTCGTATGTTCTTTTCAAAATTTAATTTCACATTCACTTTTTTCAAATAAAGCAAAATCTCTACTTGCAAATGCGAATTAGTTACTTTTGCAGCTAGCTATAAGTTAATCGCTTTTCAAATAAGCCATTCATTTAATATTTACGTGGCAACTACTAAACACTACAATGCACAGGCACGCGGAGCGTTGAGAAGAGTGTGGGATCTAAAAAAATTGGGGGGGGGGGCTAAAACCGTATAAAAAGAGGTTTTGCTGGCAGTTTATTACTCAATATTTGGCATTTTTTGCAAAAAGTGGGTGTAAAGTCCCCAATCCCCCCTTGCTCCGCGGTGCCTGATGCAACAGTAACTTGACAACTTGACAAAATCACAGAATAGCAAGAATGAAGCACTAAAGAACATGGAGCAAATTCTTAATTTTGTCATTTGTTTAATAAAAGGCTCAAGGCCCCTGATTTTGGTTTGGTTTTCTAGGAGACTGGAAGCTGGACAACTGATTGATCAGGTAAAGCACTCCCTTGTAAATATGGCTAGTTGCTACTTCTCGTTAATTTGCTTTCGATATATTTCAGAGAACCATTCATCCACCCTGTTTTGATTTTTCATACAATGGCAAGCTTCAATTTATTGTAGAAACCCGATAATTGTTCACATATTGTGGCCTCCCGTTGCCACTGTGAGCTTGATGACATATAGTTGGTTCCTACGTGAATGCGCCACATGGATACCAGTTTCTGTATACCGTATTTTCTGAAATAGAAGCCGCCCTCAAATAGAAGCCGCAGTTTGAAAAAATTGTAAATAAAACCCACCCTCGAATGATAGCCGCATTTCTTATCAGAGCGGGGTATTGCAAAGGTAACGGAAACAAAAATATTTTCACAAAAAATATAAAATAATGACACGGAGATGTCTATAATAAAATAACTTCTTGTATTTTTTTGTTCAGCCAATTTCGTTTGTATAGGACACCGAATATTATAAAAAAGCAGTAGAATACTGAACGTCCTATCGTGCAACTGCATGAACATTTTCCATTAGTTTTCCGCATAACAGCTGCCTGCTGTTATTGTTATGAGAAAAACAATATTCAATATTCAATGTTCTCTAGATGACAAAATTTAAGAAAAATCCAGTCTTAGAAATGTTCGCATTATAATTTTAGAAATATCAGTGTTAATCATTAGTACAAACTTTATCAATTATTTTCCCTTATGCTCATAATAATATTTACAAAGTTTTATGGTTTTCTAAATTATTATAGTTTTTAAGACAGTGAGAAAATAAAATCGGCATGCATGCTCAGCTAAAAAACCCAGCTAAAAGTCCAACTTGCGTCTATTTACAAAGAAACATTTCGAATCTTTTCATAAGAAAACTAGCTCAAGATAAATGCTAGGTTTCTTGATATTTTTGCTGATTTCTACGGTGGCCCACAGGTGCCACGGCAAAACTTTCTTTCTCACGGCAAAACTTTCTTTCTCACGGCAAAACTTACTTTCTCACGGCAAAACTTTCTTTCTCACGGCAAAATTTACTTTCTCACGGCAAAACTTACTTTCTCACGGCAAAACTTTATTTTTTCACGGCAAAACTTTATTTCTCACGGCAAAACTTTACGTCTCACGGCAAAAATTTCTTTGAATTTAATTTATTACTTAAATTTAATATATTTTGAAAATTTTATCTCGTGACATTGGATTCTCGTCGTCGTATTTTTTTCTCCCCTTATATTATGCCCATGCTTATTATTTCATTTCTTTATTCATTGTTATTACTATTATTCGAAAAATTAAGTACCTAGCCATCAACCCACCCTGTGAGTAATACGATATGATATGATATTAAACACAATACCCAATTTATAGGTTTTTTACAAGCCACAATCGAGCGTGCCAAGTGCACGTACGAGATCTTTTTGCACGAATTTTATGTGCACACCAATTTTCAACGAATTGATCTTTTTCACTGCTTTCAAAACAAAGGAATCAAAGACCTTGCATGCGGTACTGTTTCGTTGAGATAGGCATATAGGCCTAGCCTAGCCTAGCCCAACCTAGATAAATTTTAGACCATTTCTGGGCTGTCTTTCTGCAAGAATTATCAAGAGAAGATGTAGGTATTCACAAATCTGCGAAGTTTAAAACGTCTAAAGCATTGATTAGATCTAAGTGTCACGTACACAACATCACGTAAAGAAAGTTTTGCCGTTAGAAAGAAAGTTTTGTCCTGAGAAAGAAAGTTTTGCCGTGAGAAAGAAAGTTTTGCCGTGAGAAAGTAAGTTTTGTCGTGAGAAAGTAAGTTTTGCCGTGAGAAAGAAAGTTTTGCCGTGAGAAAGAAAGTTTTGCCGTGAAAAAAGAAAGTTTTGCTGTGAAAAAAGAAAGTTTTGCCGTGAGAAGGTAAGTTTTGCCGTGGCACCTGTGGGCCACCGTAGATTTCAAAACCAAAAGTTCCTTAACAGTCTACAAAATACCAAAATGTTGAAAAGCTACTTTTTGAAAATAAAATAACACATAAAAACTTCGTAAGTACTAACAGATAAAAAATTCTATATCTTATATCCAGAATAAAACCTCTCTGCTTTCAAAATTTGATGGATTTTCGGAAACATCATTGTTTTGTCGGAAAATTCCCAGACTTGAGCAGTGGGTAATTTTTAAACATTTCGCAACATAAATTACTTGTACTAAAGTACTTACCGTAATTTCGAGGGGCAATTCACTTTTGTAAACATGTGATTCCGAAAGCGATGAACTTTTCGGAGGTGCTTTGAAATTTAAGATTTTCTTGATCAGAGTAAGATAAGATATTTTGAAAAAAGAAATTCAAATATAGAAGATTTGAAATTATTCGGACTGATATTGAAGAGCTCTTTAATATGGCTAGTTACAAATAAGTCAATTACAATTAAATAGAACAGACAATTTTCTGTAAATATGGCTAAGATTATTTTTGCTGAAGATAAATTTCTTCATGATTCGTATGTGCAGGAAGGATTTTTCCCACGGATAAGAAAGTTAATTTGTGCTTGCATGCGCAAAAACCAAAATAAAATATAAGCTCAGATAGCAACTGAAAGAAAGAAATAGAGAAAACTCAAAACAGAATAATTCATCGTGTAATTGATTTGAATCTTTTCAATAATAAAGACGAATTATAACCCCCTCAATAAAAATCCTACATTACAAATTCCTTTAATACAAATTCTACAAAATTAATTTAATGAACCCTGTGGTTCACTGCATGCTGTTGCGCTATCTCTTTATCTCTTTTCTCCTGCTCCTTTTCTGTGAGCTTCACTTTCTTTCTCACTGTCTCCATAGAATGTAAAAATTTCATTCCATTTTTGCTGATTGAATTCTCCCCCATTTTCCTTTCACCTATCGTACCGTCATCTCCCCTTCTTCCATACTTCTTCAAGTTCCTCGGATGATTTATGTTGTCACTCCCATCGTCTCCTTTTCTCATCACCCTTGTGACAGAAGCAGCTTCCACTTTGCCAACTCCAATGTTGGCAGTTACAGTGGTATCACCTTTCGGCCTAGTCAAGTTAACTCCATTACCATACTCTTTCTTTTCAACGGACTCAGTTGAATTGTTCAATCTCGTAGATCCACTTTTCGCTTCTAATTCCTTCAATTTTGCTCTCAACAACTCAACTTCCCTCAAAAGCTCGCCATATTTCTAAAAATAAAGAATGAATGCCAGAAATCCTAATGAATCGTGTTTGCTTTAATGGTGTTCGCTCACATTGCATGATTGGCGATTTTCATCACGATTAGCATTCTCACACAGCCTTTGAGCATTAAATGAAATATAAAGCCAGGTAAACAGTAGGGTGTTGCCAGGGGCGTACCTACCGGGGGTATGGGTAGGAGGGGGGTGTGGTACACTTTTGGAAAGTTGGTCGGTGAATTTTACGGATGGTCGGTAAATGTTATGGATTGTCGGTAGATGCGTATCTTGATAACACATGGAAGGATCTCATTTGCTCGTAATTGACAAGATCATATTGATAAAACAGTTAAAATTCACAATATATAATTGTAAAATAAGTTATACATTGATTAGCAAGAGTTTAATTTTGGTCGGTAAAATCACCCGTTTACACCCCCCCCCCTCCACTCGAAATCGTCAAGGTACGCCCCTGGGTGTTGCTAAACATTTTAGAAGACTTTAAGGAGAGCTATGTACATTAAAGCCTTCCCCTTTCCTGAACATCAGTATGTTGAAATTAAAATATAATTAATACCTGAATACATTCATGTCTTCCAAATATACGGTAATCATGTAGCTCGGCAGTCTTTTCTGTCTTGGCTGCTTCGACCTGTCCATCACTCGACAGTTTAGGTTGCTCGTCATCAGCCTCGTTGTGCTTTAGGCCTTCACTGATAAACAAATCTGTTCTCTTCTTTCGGTAGCCTTTCAAAGTCAACTCTTTCTCGTGGTATCTGTGCTCGATTTCAGCCCATTGCTCCTTGCCAAGATCAGTTAGAGTAGGATAAACTAGAAGAAGACAACAATTTTAAAGAATACATGATAGGAAAAAATAAACACTGGCTACAATTTTAGAACCATCGGGCAAGCAAGGAAGCTGTTTTATTTAGGGCTTTTCATTATGTTTTTACTGAGTCAAAACTTCATGAACTCTTTTGTAGACAGAAGGCGTTCTTTTAACAGATATACATCTCCTTTGCACTGTAAAACTTTGCGAGGGAAGGTGGTTACCGATTGGTTAAAAAAAGGAACCCATAAAACATCTCATTCCTCCTTTAAAGCTCTTTTCGACAAGCTACTGGATATAATTTCCCGTTCAATTTTGGTCTCATTTTTCATACCTCGAGAAATCTCACAGGGAAACTTCTAAAGAATGATATGTAATTTTTCCGCTTTTTCGAGCGATCAGAAAATAAAAAATAAAATCGGAGTTATCAATGCTTGCTTCAACAACAAAAAACTTAATAAGAAGTAGACAAATTAAGAGCATAACACTTAAAGGGGGAAAAATAAGGTTTACAAATTAGAGACGCCTACCCATGAAGACATCGAGCGGGCATGCCAATGGAGTCTGAAATGTCAGGTTATATCTACAGGTTTTGGGCTCATCTATGTCGATTACTTTGTTTTCATCACCACATCTGAAAAGTACCTGAAACGACCAAGGCTAAATTAAACAAAGGTTTTGTCCGCAAATGCGAAGGATGACAAGGGATATATAGGGCGGAGAAATGGGATGTGGAGGACCCCTTTTTATTACTTAGCCGGCAAAGTTTTCCAATAGTAGGTAGTTAAATCATTTGAAAGTAAATTAACTTTTCACAGACTACCACCACTCCCTCAAGCCAGAAAGTATTAAAGAATGGATGGAGTGAGTTGATCAGACTTTTGTGAAATAAACCCAAACCCTTGAATAAGCCCCCATGCCTCAACAGCAATAGGTATTGCCTCAACAGCAATAGGTTTATCCCCATACACCTGCATTTTTAAGCATACTGACCAGCCTAAGAAAGACAAAAGACAATTCACCCTCTGGTAATATTTTTGGCTGCTGCTAAATAGGACCCTACCTTCGAATAAGCCCTTCCTCAAATAAGCCCCCAACCCAAAATATTTTTTGTAAAATAAGCCCCCAGGGGTTATTCAGGGGCTTACAGTGACAAGTTGGAAAGCTAGTGTCTGAAATGAATGTACTCTGCTATGGCTTTTGGGCAGGGATTTGGGGGGATACAGCATTTCAGGAGACTTCAAAACTTCTGCTACTTTCTTGGAATAGGTAGGAAAGTTTTGTCTAAAGCCTTTCCTGTGGTACCCCCTGGTTAAAAATGAAGCATAGCAGTTAAATAAGGTATCTCATACCATCACTTCTCTGTATCCATGTCCAATGCAACTTTCTCCATCAGTCATTAACATTGAATGAAATGTGTTGTTAATGATATTCCATTCTCTCCAAATCCTGTAAAATTGTGAAAATCATTTCAGGAGCCAGTTATATGTAAGAAATGTGACTTATATGTAAGTATTATACCAACTTCCCGTTTCAAGTTTATGAATTCTGAATTTGCCTTTGCAAGCCATTGAGATTAGGGCAGCCAAGGAGTAGCTTCACTACAGAGTCAGTTAAGATGCGTGCCACTTCTTGGAAATAATGGACATGAAATTCGACTGAAATATGTGTCTCAAAATTTCTAAATATTCTTTAGCAAATAACAGTCTATCAATAGGCTTTTTCCCTTTGAAATATCAAAAACAATGGGGAAATTTTGTCAGATATCTTTGGCTGGAATTGCCTGAGTAACAAAGCAGACAATAACAACCAAACTATGAATGAAAATTTATTTCATACTGACAGTTGATACTATGAAAGTCATAGATTTGAAAAAATTGATAGCACGGAAATAAGAACTATTCTTACCCTAAGACCCCTTGAAAAGAATTCCATCTGTATGATAATTCTCTTTGTGTGACATTTTGAAAAGGACAAAACTCATATTTGTAGCTGGAATGAAAAAGAAATCTAAAATTAAAATCTTACCAAATACATTTTTCACATCTTGTAAAATCATCGTGTTAGATCTGAGTCAGACAGAAAAAATTCAATAATATGTTGCCTTTGTGGTTTTCATGCAATTGTGATATTTTATAACATATGACTCTAATGTTGAAATAAATTACTAGGCAATTACAAGACTGACTTAACACCTAGGCAATTACACATAAAATGATTGACTCTACAAGGTTTTACTGATTGTCTTAAAGATGGATACAAAACAGGAATGTACCACAACTGTTACACCCAAAATCTTACCATTTAAGCCACTATCCATAACACAATAAACTGAAATTGTAAGCTACTTTTAAAATACAAGCAGAGACTGCTTATTTCATAAATACCTGTCACTTGTCACATAGGTTAACAATTAAAAGAGGAGACAAATTATTTTACATGAAAATGGGTTCTTGAAAAGCAGCTGGAATCATTTTAAATTTTTGTTACCTTGATTTTTGAAGAATAAAACATTTTCCAGACAATTCGAACAGATGAGGTGGACCTGAAATCTTCCTTGGCTTGACTTTTGAAACAATTTCTTTCTCAAGGGGAGCAATATTCTGTACATTTATCCCTGCATGGTTTAGTGAAAATGGTTCATCAATTATCTTTATCTTTGTGTTGCTAACACCATCAGTAGAACAGAGGATACAAAGTATTCCAAAAATATACCTGCAAAGAACAAGGTTTAAATTACCAATCAGATGGAGCATTCTTAAAATCAAATATCAAATTCATCATCATGAAGGGGACAAAAAAGAAAGAATAAGTCTAAAGAAAAAGAAGAATGCTCCGGGGCTGTGCTCACTTGGGAACACTTTAAATTGCTATGTTTAGTAATATGAAAAGTGGAATGGTAGGCAGTTGTTCCATTCCTTTCTTTGTGAACAGGTGAACTGGTTCGAAAAACAGAACAATAACTAAGTTTGCTAAAGGCTTGCATTGTTCATGTGGAAATACAGACTTGGGTATTGGTAAACACTATGTTGAAATTATATCACAGAAAATGGAACAGAGCTAGTGTGTTCTTGGGTGAACAGGAGAAAAAGTTGATATGTGTTTATTTCGTTCCTGCCTGAACACTTTATTTACTTGTTCCAAAATTTAAAAAAACTATTGGAACAGTATGAAATTGCCCCCTTGTGAACGGGGCCTAAGTCTGCATCTGTGATAATCTCTTTCTTTGTATTGTATGTTTTGGAAAACTAAACCAAACCATGCTGACCTTTGTGGCACAAGCCAAACCATGAAAATTTGCTTAGGGATTGCTGACTAAAAACTTTTTTTCAAGGATTCTAATTTATGAAGATGTAACTAGCCATCCAGCTTATCTTAAGATGAATGCTTGATGTTATAGTGCCTTGAAATATTGCATCCCTTCTGCATTGTGATTTATACCCAAAAAATCAGACACAAAACAGAGGCATTATGTTGAAAGCTGGTGCAGACATTTTTGTTTGACCTCATGAAAAACATGGATAAACTTCTCTCTTACAACCTCAATAAATTCATTATAGTTCTCTATGTGCGGGCCACATCAGACACAATGTGGCCCTTAAAGGCCATGCATTCAACAAGCCTGCTCTTAGCAGATCTGAGGTTCACAGAAAAAAGTGGCAACCAAGGTATAGTTTAATCGAATACTGTTACAGGCAATTTTAAAAATTAAGAAGGAAGTGCTTTATAAAATTTAAACTAACTAATGTAGCAGTAAAACAGAAAATTAAACGTTGTAAAACTTTATGCAGGATTTCTAAACCTTTGTCAAAAAAACCTATTGGCAGTCAAATCAGCCAAGTGCAAAAACATAAGGGTTTTCTGTCGCCTATGTTCGGATTTTAAGCCCAGGTGTCCAAAAACTTTCTTTATTATTTATCTGTAAAAAATTAACATGCAAAGGCCAAGAAAGCAGTGAATCAGGGGCAAAAAAGTAATATAAACAAGCAACTGTTAGATTAATAATACTAATATTACACACGACTCATCACAATATCACAAACACCAAAACATCAAAACTTTAAAAAACAATATAAACCCTTCTCCTAGTCTGCAGAGTGTGGCATGTGCACACCGGAGATATTTTTGTGCAAAACCTGCTGCACACCGGGTATTTTTGGGTGTGGCAAATAAGATTGGTGTGGCTTGGTATGGTCGCATAGAAAATGTCAGCTGATAAAAACAAGCACAGTTGTGTATGAACAATTTGAGATATCATGAATCTAACTTGACAAATATACAAATAAAAACTTGGGCTATCTTCAACAGTGTACTTCACATACATTTTTACGGTGAAAAGCAAATTCACAAATTTTAACCACAACAGAAGAAAATAGTCGGTGCACACCAGCACACCAGACATTTTTGGTGGTGCACACCGGCACACAGGGCTTTTTGCTCGTACACACCGGAGATCTCGTCGAAAAGTGCCACACTCTGCAGACCGGCCCTTCTCCTTATCAAGCAAGAAAAACACCAAATTCACGTGCAAATATGTTGCAAACAAAATCCTTACCTAAGGATTTCCATCAGATGCATGTCTGGTTCATCATTTTCGATCAGAAACTCTGACAGAGATGAACTTTAGAAAAACAGCAGACTTTTCATGCTGTTTTTCATGCAAGAGCCTTGAGGGTCAAATTCAACCTATGTTCGAATTTTATTGATTTTTATTGATCACAATCAGAACATTATTGAGAACGAGACAGCTAAGACGAGGCTGGCGCTATGAGGAAGGAGGTGTTGATGTTTTTTAACTAGAATATCCAGAGTAGAGTTGATGATATCGAATAAAAAGATGTTCTCGATTTACAAAGAAGGATTCCTACAGAAGCAAGGGAAAAGAAAAGTGCAGGTTATTTACTTGCTACATGTAAATTTGTGAAAATCTTTTCTCAAAGGCAAAATCTTAAAGTTTGTCGAAAGGCCAAATCAAATATCGTGTTTTGTTTTTGTTGCAAACATGCGCAATATATGACGTTTCGTAAAAAGGATCTGCTACAGTCTATCACGTGTATGAACGTATGAATTATACTTCCTTGTCTGTTGCGAAATCTGACAAAGTGTTGATTGATTACGTTGGACTGTAAGATTCGCAGGATGTCCTTTAGTATGAGCCTAGAAGCCACATTTGGCAAAGAAGCCAAAATTGGCGTTCATTGACTTTGCTTTTGGGAATCATTATGAGCATCGAGAGCCTTAGCTTTTACAAAGAAGGATTCTTGAAAAAACAATCTAGACTTCTTCTCAAAGTATGGTTATAGCTTCTAAGGAATTATGCAGCGGAATTATGTCCAGTTTAATAATGTGACATTAAAAGCTTGTCTCAATTTCACCCACATGTTCACAACTGAATTTTTGCACCTCAAAGCTGGCATATTCTGATGTGTAGGGGCGCTGGTTACACCGCATGTTTTCAGTTAGGGGTACTAGTTACAGGGGGCTAATATTCTGGCAATTTATCAGAAAAGGGTAGCTTTTGGCATTTCATTATCTATTTGTTACCTTATTGGTAATTTTTTAATGGTGCATTAGTAATAAAATATGTTGTCTTTTCAATTTTTCAGGGATATAAGAAGAGATGGTTTGTTTTATCTGGAAATATAGTGAAGTATTACCCATCACAGGACACATCTGTAAGTCTGAATTAATTAATTGCTGCAAAGGCTTTGCATTAAATAATCAAACTTCCAAGATTAGAAGAATATTTCCAAGATTCTTTAACAAATATTTACATCTAACATGACCAATTTTGAGGTCACAGTATTCATTTTGCATTGATTTTCTCATACAGAAAATAATGAATTGACTCTTATCGTCCATTTGGATCTTATCTAGAGTACACAAAAGGGAAAAGTTGAGTAATTATTTGTATGTTGCTGTGTTATAAATGAGACACTTGCACAGTAGCAAGATGTTTGATCACAAAGCAAAAAACAATTTATGGATTGAAATTTCATTGATTTAAGATGTAATTCCAATTCAAACTTTTTACCATGAAAAATGAACAGCACTATCAAGAAATAACTCTTCTTTTTTTGTTTAATAGCCCCAGCGTATACATATTACTTTGCTCTCTGGGGTATCATCCCTAGTAGTATTGTAGAGTAATTTCCTGTTTCATTTAAGATGTATTTTCCATTCTAACTCTCTACTATGAAAATGACCAGCACTGTCAAGAAATAGCTGGAGATGCTGGGGGGCTGGGTCTAATTTTTATCACTGCCACAATTTGAAACAAATTTCTTATAGAAAGCTATTAAATGTTTACACTTCTTATGTACATTCACAAAATCCTTTTTAGAAGAAAAGCCAGAATCCTAGATTAAGAACAACATTATAAAATTAGTTTAATTGGATCCAGAAATTTTGTTTTTATTCTAGGAAAACAGTGTTCTTGGAGTTATTGACATGGCTAGAGTATGTGTATTGTCAATTAAAATCATGTTATTGAGAATTATAATGTTATCTTTTAACTATAACAATAATTTCAACTTTCCCACCTCCTTGAACACAAATTTTTGCTTACATTAGCACCCAAAGCTGTTTTAAGCTGTTCAGATAGACTAAACATAAATCAGATTGTGAAAATATTCAAACTTGTTATCCATGAGTCTGTCAGTTCGAACTTAGATCTATGCTGACATTTATCAATATGAAGCATTAGAATTTGTGGTTGCTGCTGAAGTTATCTGTTATCATTTTGATGTTTGCTGTAAACTCAATTTTGTTAGAGCTGCTAGCTGAAAAATGAACACTGACAGTTAAACCTAGGAAATAACTATATTATTCCATCAAACTTACCCCAGGGTGGTGAATCAGATATATTTCTCACCATCATCAATATTTTGTGGAATGACATGTCTGCTCTACCCAACCAAGGGTGACTTTTCCTTCTCTATTAAGCTGATAGGTTTTTCTGTTTATGTATCATTGCTCAGCAACTTTATGGATTGATATAGAATACACAAATTCAACTTATGGCCTTGTTTCAGAAATTTCTCCAAACTTCACTGTATGACTTTTTTAAGCTCAGATTTGGTTTTATCACCATACTTTTTACCAGATATAATTGTTCATATTGTTTGTGTGTTTGTTTTAGATTTAACAGTGCAATGAAGTTTGAAAACTTGTAAGAGATTTGACTGCAATAAATCATCGTCCCAGGCAAACTTAACCCCCATAGTTGCCAATCATGGTAAAATCCTTGATGAGATTTCTATCCTCATGGCATCATAAAATCAAAATCGTAAGCAATAATGAAAATTTCCAAGTAAAAGAAAATTCTTGCTCTTATCTGCCTGGAAAAAAATTAAAAAATGTTTTCAAATGAGGCTGTAAGTTGAATTGGTACATTTATAAATTATGCAGGTTGTATCTGTCAAAGCAAGCAAACATGTGAAACATGGTTTCGAAATTTCAACAGAAGCAAGGACATATTACTTGGTAGGTGATATATCCCTTAGTTTTCCTTACTTCTTGCTATTTTCATGACAATTCTTGCTTTCAATCACAACTTTACAATGTAAAACTATTATTGAAGTTAATTTTGCATAGATTTAAAAATGACATACAATATTATTACAGGCTGCAAAAGCAACTGATGAAAAAGATGAATGGATGAGGATAATTTTACAATCAGTGGAGGCCACAAAGTATTTTTGAATTTTTTTATTTTCAGTCAGAATCGCAAAAAAAGTTTTCCTTTCTGGGAACCTGGGAAACAGGATAAAACATTTTCTGTGATGTGAAAGTATTGTGTACCAATTATACCCACAAATTTTTACACAGGGGTTTCTAATTTTTTGTTGCTTTATCTTAAGCTTTTCTGTTAAAAAGGTCCTGGACTAGAAAGCTGAAGATTTCTTCCAAGTTATACAGTTTTTGTGATATTTAACAAATGAATATAGTTCTTATAAATGTTTAAAAATGTGAAACTTTTTTATTTGATGCAATCTACGACCTGTAGATCTCTGTTGTGAAAGTCAAGAAACAATTTTTGTTAATTTAAAAACAGCTGTTTTTCACCAATTTTTGCTGAAAATTTTCTTCCAAGCCAAACACTTTTCTGGGAATCTATTTCCCAGGTTCCAATACCTTTTGCAGCTCTGTTTTCAATTATATTACCTGATAAATCATTTCAAATTACTGTTTGAATGTCTTTTATTAATTAGAAGATTTATTTGCTGGAGCCAAATTTTTACTTTGCAGGAAAACATCAGTAGCAGTTTTTACAGGTACGTTGGATTGCCACTGTGACAAGAAGTGTTTCCTTTTCTGTATTTCATTTCTGCAGATCTTCTTCAAGTATCTTCTTTAAGTATTTACAAAGAGAAGATACTTGAAGTGTTTTTCTAAGTAATTTTGCCCTAAAGACGTAAAAGAAGAGGAAATTGCCCCTTTGCCAATATGCTGGAAAAGATTCTCAAAAATTATAGATTTGAGAGAAAGATTATTACAGCACAATACAAATAATTCCAAAAGAAATTCTAGAATTAAGACCAATTAGAATGCAACTCTAGGCTAGAACATACAATATAAAAATTAATATCTTCTTATGACAAAGCTGACATTTTTCAACTATCTTCAATTATAAAAATGGAATATAGAAAATTTTGCTTGGACTTCTGTAAGTCTGTTCAAGAGAGTATATATATGTGAAAATCCACCAACTTATTATATCAGCAACAGCTTATAGGTCTATATAGGTCTATAGCAACAATCAATTTGTGTATTATTTGAAGACCATTCAATACTAGGCACTCACTCATCTGAAGAGGCGCCAAATACATATCAAGTTGTAGGCAGCACAAACAGACCTTATGTACCAGGCTATGATACATATGACATTGTCAGTGGGGATCGCCACTCTGGGCAATCAATTACCTCACAACAATACATCAAAATAGGTGAAGCAAACAAACAGGCACCATATGGAGATACAGCACCAACTTACCAAGTTCTTGGTGAAAATGCTGGCACTGATGCTGCAAATAGTTCCATAGCAGGAACAGCAACCTATGATACCATTCCAATTAGAACGGCCCATGGTGAGTATTAAATTATTCTCCAATTTAAATTAGCTCCTTGCATTGTCTTTGAAAGGCCCTTGGTATTATGGCTTGCCTATGTTGATTTTAGTAAAAACATTCAAGAATTCCATCGCATACTGTCAAGGCACTATTAAACTCCAATTATTTTATTCAATTCTGAAAGCTCTTGAGTGTTCTTAAAAGAATGGTTTCTTAGAAGAATGGGAAGGCTAACATCAAATATATTTTTGAAACAGGACTTACTGGAGGGAGGAGGGGGGATAAGTAGAGCTTTAATAGTAAATTGAAATTTGTTTCATTTCAGTTTGTACCTTTTAATGAAATATAGAAAAAAATTTCTATGTTTCTTAAGATTGAGAGTGCTACAAAAGAGTGCCAAAATCTATTAACACAATTGTATCATTTATTTATTTTTTTTTAACCAAATCATTTTTCATATGTGACTAGAATAATGCTTGATTTGAATACATAATACTTTTGCCCACTTCCCAAGCTTGCGTGTGTACTATTTATCTATTTCAAACCAAACTAGACATAGAAGAGGCAGCAGAGAGTATATACGATACTGTTGGTGGTACACCATGTGCACCAGTTAAAACTCCATCTCCATCAACAAGAAGACTGCCCCTAAATGACCAGGGTGCCTCTGAAAGGGACATGTTCCACGAGAATGAAGATGGTTTGTCCCTGAAGATGAGTTCTTTGATGTCAAAGCTGTCTGTTGAAAGCCTGGATAGCATTGACTCACTTGATCTAACTGAACTGACAGATGATGAATTGCAAGATGATGAGACTGATGGAGAGGTGATAGTTGACAATGGCAAAGTGAAATTGGGGGATGAAAGTGCCTTACCACCACCCCTTTTTGGAACAACATATGCATGCAATGAAATTAGGAACTTTATCAAAAACCAAGGGAGATCTCCTGCAAAGGTGGATTTTGCAAGAATCTCAAAAGAATATAAACTTGATCTCGAAACAAAATCAGACTATCCTGCTTTTGATGCACTTAGAAAAGTGTTTGATGTTTATAAACTTAAGCCAACTACTTAGTTATTGCCTTAATTGAAGTAATTTATCATTTTTATGATATTATATATCCATTCTTCTTTACTGCTAGTGTATTATAAATGTTTTACTTTTACAACTAAATCTAAAAGCCAGCAAAAAACATTTATCCTTTGAGCAAACATTTGACTCAACAAAAGTTGCTCTATGTAAACTAAAGCATTAAATCTAAAGAAAATCTTAAGGAAGGATAAATCCATACTTTAAAATGTCAATCGTGTCGATCTGATTTTTTGCCATGTGTGCATTTTGGCATGGTGAAGAATTAGCGCAAGCCCTTGTGAAATGTTTGATTACATTTAGTGGCACAAATATAGTGCAAAATGCCCGCTAAAAGGCTTAATGAACTTAATTCCGCCAGAGACAACATAACTAACAAACCCAATAAGGTTACAAGCAGGGCAACAAAAAAGCAAAATTGTGCTTGGCATTTAAAATTTACTTGAGTGGATCAAGAATTTTTGCATTCCACTTATCATCCCTTACTACAGAATAAAATGCACCTGTGATAGGCCCTTTTTGTATAAATGTCAAAACCAGCTCAGGAAAAGAAGACGAATCATCTGTTCCTCAGAAAAAAAAAGACGAAAGAGGGGGAATAATCGCCCAAGAGAGTGTAGAACACCATCATACAGGGCCAGCGAAACGTATTTGAAAGTGGAGAGGTCAAAATAGCAAATTCTTGAAAGGGCTTAGGAAAGGCAGCCACCATGGTTGGCGGCAAGAGAAATTTTAGAATTATGATATCTTAGGGATGGCCAGAGACTGTATGTAAAATGGATTTTGACTGAAGCTTTTTTTAATCTGCTTAAGCTGTTCAATATGTTTAAGCTTTGTTTAATCAATATATCCCATTACTCTACTCCTTACAATACCCCGTTCCTTATTTAAGTCGTCTGCATGGGAAGTCTCGTATAGCTTGTTATGAAACTCTCTTTTAGATTTTCAAATTACCCAAAATGGATTTAGCAAGATGACGAATGGTAAATCTGTTCTGTTTATAACTAATCAACCCGCCTTAATAAATGAACAAATTAGTTTAATCAGCCCTGTCTTTTCAGCGGCTAATTTGCCTTGTCTGAGGAGAGCCCGCACAATTGAAGTTGGCCTAGGTAATGGAAAGTTGGGACCACGTTGGGCACCATAACATTCGTTGGCAGGTATTCTTGCAAAGCTCGCATAGATTGGTGCAAAATTTAATACACAAGTGTAAAGGTGGGTTGAACTTAGATAGCCTGCTTCCCGAATTCGGCAAATTTAAGCCAACAGTCTAGCATTTGGGAGAGTTTCATGTTTCGTAACCGGGTCTTTGCTCCGATATATACTCTCTCACTCGCTTTGGCCCCAGCAAAGTAAAAGGAACATTTACCTCTCCATTACTAACCTCGTAATTATGTACTTTATCAAACTATATTTATTTCAGCGCGTAGTTGATTATAGGTCTATTTCTTTTGACGATGAAGCCAAAAACACAAATCAAGTTCTTTTCTTTTCGCCACATTTCTCCGATTAAGATCCTGCTACACCAAGGGTGTCCAACATACGGCCTGCGACGGCATATTTCCGTGGCCCGTGCCAAGTCAATAAATAATTTGGTCCTTGAATCATACTTATGGAATGCCATCACTGCTAAAATTCTCATCATTTATTATTTGGCATACTTTCTCATTGTTATAAGCAAAGGTTTCTGTTACGAAGCTGAACAGAACATGTCAAGGCTACAATCTAACCATACAGAGAAACATCAGGCGTGTACAGCTCTGCCTTTACATACGGTATCGAGCACTTTATGACAGACCATTGAGCAGTAATTTTCATATTCAGAGCAACATTTACGTGATATTTCTCACACGTCAACAAATATTTCATGAGAACTCTGAGTTCGCACAACTAATACAAACTATACAAAAACAACGACAGACGCCAGGATAAAGAAGCTGAACTGGCCCCAGAATTCAAAACCAAAGAGATTATTGAACCTACGTATGTCAAAGTCTTGAAGGTAATCCAAGCCTCAAACATCTTCTTTTTGGAACGTGCAACACTGGCTAGAAAGGCAAGAAAAGACGCGAAGACACCCATATGATTTTTCCTGTCTAAATAACCATTATTAATGCGAAAAACATAACTATAGAAAATTTTTCTTCGCATCAAAATAAGAGTTTGGTCCACCTTTAGGCTTGCAGGGCTGCAGTATTGGTGCCTTCTCGCTAATGTATTGGCCAAGGGCAATGTTTTCCAAATTAAAATGTAACAGCATACCAAACGAGAACCAAGGCTTGAGCACTAGTGTTGTATCGACAGTTATTTTGTAGTGAGTCTAACTGTGATAATGAAAATCTTTCTGGAAAAGAATTCAATACAAAGAAACGTTTTGCCGTAATAGTTTTAAATAGGAAAGGGCTGGAAATAAGTGTTAAAATATTTTGTGAACAAAATATCAATGTTCGCAGCCGATTCCAAACCGTTAAAATTTGCTAATGTACATGTCACTAGAAGATCTGGTAAAATATAATAATAATAATAAATTTATTTACAGTAGGCGGGTATAATATAGCTGTTTATGTACAATTTGTGTATGCTTTGTATGCACCAATTTGTGTAAAACGTATGCTTTGATCAATGGATTCCAACCGAAACAAGATATGGCGTTTCATATTTGCTTTGCTTAGAAAATTTGAAACAAAATATATCACAACCTCAATCGATTTCACTACGACAGCTAGACTCTTTTTTTAGCAAAACCAGAGTTTTTCGAAGTTTGAGGCTGGATTGTTGTTTATTTGTTCCTAAATTATTAGAGTGGAAGCAGTGCGATTGCTAGCTTTTTCGCTTTAGGAGGTGTTAAGGCCTCGTTTCCCAATAAAGTGAATGAGGCATCCTTTATTTGCCGACAAGTTTGAAAATTCACCGAAAAAGCATCCCTAGATGGCAAAAAGGCCCTCGTTTTTGAGATATAATCGTCTATGGGGGTTTTCCAACATTGTTCAAAATTACATTTTACAGTAACTCAGCCTCAGCTTGTTCTAAAATTAATTTGTTTATAACCTTGGCCAATGTCGAGCCTCGTGTTCTTATAAAATTGTTCTTATAAAAAAGTATAGTGGTTCATAAACATTGCTATCACAAACCACTATACAGTAGACAGTTGAAAGACCCTAGAGACATATGTTACCATTCCCCTATTACTACTCGACACCTATCTCATGTGGCCTTTGCCAATAAAGCGGAGAAAAGTCGTCACTTTTACTAAGCTGGAGCAACAGAGTGGCAGCCAGCCCCTATTCGTTTCAGAGCCTGTAAAACCTTAAAAGAATTACGATTAACAAAGGCTGAAAATCCTCGACAGAACAGCTAATAGAAAAAACATTCTAAAATCATCGTGCCCCATGCATCTGTCTCACAAAGCAGGTCTTGATGAAGCGGGTGTTGATGTCAATACTATGAAACTATTGAAGACATGTAAACTAAACCACTCAAAATCTGTTTATATGTCAAAGAATGAAAAGACACGTCCTTGAATTCGGAAAAAACTTCTGCCAGTTAGATCAAGCACTTTGATCCCATTACAACGCCAAAACTAATATGCAAAATTATGTGCCTTTTGTCATCTGGAATTTTATCGACTGTATTTTGTCATCTCAAAACCTATCCTATGTATGTATTTTGAACTATGCTACCCGTTGTTGATCGTTTGGTTATCCAAGACTAAGAAAGCTCTGACTGGCCAAAGACGTCATAGTAAACGTTTCCTTGCTTAAATCGTCGATTATTTCTGATCATTTGTACCTATATGTAGAACTACAGTCATTTTAGTGTTGAAATGGTTGCCAACCTAGACCAAAACAGCCATGGAAGATTTCCAGATTTATTGTAAAAGAATATCCTGATAGGATATCGAAAATCATGGTGAGATTCAAGATCCATTGGAATCGCTTCAAAAAATACCAAAAACAATCTCCTTTAGCACGATGACACGATGATTTCTGCTTCTTGGCCGACTTTACTGAGATAAATCAGGCAGTGAATAGATTGGATAAAATTTACCTGTCAATAAGCGACGACCAATCAAAATAACGATCATCAAAACTCTCGGGGCTTAGTTAAAAGTACAGAGCAAAGCGATTAAATAACATTCCCGTGGATACAAATAAAATAATAACAATTTGTCTGTGTATTCCATCATTACATAACTCAAATCAAAACCTGCATTTTTGCAATAATTACTCAAACAGACTAAAGATGGTCACCATTTCCCGAATACGGTTTTTAAATTTTTCTGAAAAAGAGGTGCTCTCTACTCGATTAGTTTAGCTACTGAGAGAATTCCTCTGCTTCGAGAATTCTCTTCTATGCATCAGATATCCTTCTTTTCTTCCATGTGGCTAGTTTATTAATCTATCATTTAGCTATTCAAATTGATTTCGCATTACAAATTATTTAATGTTAGAGTATTTGTATTAAGAGTAAATTAAAATCTATGAGCAAAACAGAACTGGACTGGTTTGGACTGGACTGGACTGGACTGGACTGGACTGGACTGGACTGGACTGGACTGGTTTGGACTGGACTGGTTTGGACTGGACTGGTTTGGACTGGACTGGTTTGGACTGGACTGGACTGGTTTGGACTGGACTGGACTGGTTTGGACTGGACTGGACTGGACTGGACTGGACTGGACTGGACTGGACTGGACTGGACTGGACTGGACTCAACTCAACTCAACTCAACTCAACTCGACTGGATTTGACCTAGTTTACAGCAAATCCCCGCATATAAGAACCTACTTTTTTGGGGTTCAGGCTGAAGTAGGTTCTTATTGGAAAGGTACTTGGATTAATTTCAGGGTATGAAGGTTCTTATTCGAAGGATCCTTATTTAAATTTTTAGGATTCATTATCAAGAGATGCATTCAACCCTGTTTTTTCCTTTTGGCAATGTTATTAATGCAACATTACAAAGATATTTACAGGAAGACATTTGATCGCACTGGCTGCCTTATGACAGTGGATGGATCTGGAGATTATCTCATACCTCCTCAGGAATTGAAAATTATGAATTCTAATGCTTTTATTTCATTTTTCAGCATTTTGGATTTTGATATATATAATTATGTTAAAAAGTCGAAGTGATTTTAAAGTTCTCTTTCGCTAAAGTGTATAAAATGCTGAAAATGCACAACTGAAATTTTTTTTACCAATTGTGATTCTACCTCATCTTTAAAAATCTGGGAGTAAATAAGGACCATTGAAAACCCTATTTTTTGCCCTTGGGATAAGAACCTATTAAATTTTATCACACTGAAACAGGTTCTTAATTACAAGGTGCATAATTTAGGAAAACAGCCTCTAGGTTCTTATTTTTGTAGGTTCTTATATGCAGGGATTTACTGTATTCGGGCTTGAAAAGGGTTCAAAAACGTGTACCAAGAACATGGCATAGTTCTCCACAAAATATTATAAAATGCATCAGAATGCTGTTAGAATGCTTTAAGAGAATCGGAAATCATTTGCTAACGAAGAAACTGTAAATCGACGACTTGTTCTCTACCAGGATGTTTATCAAAGTTTGACAAATCTTTTTAGTATGGTTACTCAATATGCAACCTATCGGGAACTATGCTATGTTGTGACAGGGTATATAAACATTGTTTACCCGTTATTGAGAATTCTAAGCTAAGATTCTGTAATTTCGTAAGTCATCATGCTTCTTCATTGGATAGACTGTAGAGCTTATTATGTAATATTTCAATACTCCATAGAAACGTCACACCCTTTTCCCAGAATGGTGTACGGCCACAAAACAAAATAACTTTGGCCCACAACGTAGAAAACGTCTTGCTGGCTTGGCAGTTGCCAAATGCTTTTGCAGTCATCCGTCAAAAACCTCAAGAAATCTTGCCCAGAGACTTTTCTCATTGCCTCCCAGCAATAGAAAATCGAAGCTGTTAAACGTAACGCTTATAGTCTCTGTCTACATGAAAGGACTTTATCAACGTTCTGCATCGTCGTGCCCCTTAACTACCTTACCTATGGTTTAGCTACTTAAACCCAAGGTCTGGATTCACCAGCCCATCCAAAGTCCGTTAAATCGAGCAGTCCGTCAATAGACACTTGTAGTAGGGCTATTTTTTCTTCTCCCAAAAATCAAGTAGTGATTCTGATTGGATTATAGAAATCAAGCAGGGTTTCTGATTGGTTGATTTAAATCAACTAGCAAATCCGATTGGGTGAAAGAAACCTGCTAATTTACGAAACAGAATCGAATGAGGCTGTGCCTTCTGGTCTCGTCTTCGTCCTTGATCGTCTAGAACGCAGGCAAGATTGACAGAATCAGATTGTTTACATTTTCAAGCAAAGTAAAACAACTAAGAAACTTGTGTCTGATTTAAGAAAACTGACAAATTGAAGCAAAAACGACTCATAAGGGCAGAATGACTATTGCGTTAATAACACAAAATTAATTTCATCTTTTCAAGGGAATTCTATCTTTTCTTCCAAGATAAGAACAAATTAAAGCGCAACGGCAATTAACATCTAAAAAACATAACATGCACGTACTTCTGCTTCTATTTACAATTTTTTCAAATTTTGTAACCTGTTATCTATTCCTCAAACCTGCTTCGACGCCAGCTAATTAACGGCCTCTGCGAAGCCTAACAAGCACCGCCTATATATTTTAAAACATATTCTAGCTGCTATGATCTCTTCCTGAAGAAACCTTTATCAGTATTGCTTTCACGTACAGTCACGGTTACGAGGTTGGACGTGACGTCAGTGATAACTATCTGGTCTATCAATGGCTTTCGCCAACAAATACATTCGTCACTTCCTTCAGTACGGTCAACAGCTTCGCAATTCGCTTCCAATTGCTTAACGTCTAGTTTTCGTTTAGGTGATTCGAGTTTTGTCGATTTAGGCGAAACTTTGGAGATAACAGGAGATTTCGAACGATCTTCGGTATACACGTGTAGCCTTTCGATTGGTATTTTTCCAGTTGTAACTGGCGATTTATCATGATTTATATTTGGCGAAATTTTGTTATCGCTGTCACTCTTTGGGGAATTCGATTTACTAGAATGCTTCGTAACAACTAGCTGCGGGCTGCTTTCGGTGGTTGCTGCTGTGAAAATGATAGGGGAGGTATTTACGCTTGTCTGCTTGCTTGGCGAACTTTCGACACTAAGTGACGGCGATGTTCGATTTGCGACTGTATTTTCCACATTGACAAAAACTTCGCTTTCACCGCTTCTGTTTAACTCCGATTCGGCCACATCTGGTTCGATATCAGCTTCACCGTAGTTGCTATGAGGAGAGCATGATTCCCCAGCGATGCTTCCGTTGCCATGCTCCTCAGAGTCCAGAGACACGATTTCCCCCGAGTCATCAGAATCCTACGCAGAGAGGAAGCACTTTTCAAGGGACAAATTAGTATTGGGTTGCACCGGCTAGGCCAGGAACAGAGCCTGCCTCAAGGAAAATTTCCAAGACCACATAAAATAGAGTAAGATGTCTGGGAGGAAACAATTGCGAGAATAACCCTAGGGAACTAAAAACAACGGGGGCTGTATACCCTTTGATAAAAACCAAATGATGCGAAAAGATGATAAGAATTGAGCAGCTTACCTCCTGTTTAGAACGTTTTGCCAATTTGACACCAGACGATATTGATGAACGTGATCTTTTCTTGCCCCTGGAAAGAGAAGAAACTTATGATGGACTGACGTTTATTCGTATAAGACCACAAGCACCATAATCAAATGGTATATAATTGCTTTTCAAAGGCTTCTAAATTTGGACACAAGGGATCGAAATAGACCTGGGATAGACCTTGTGATACAGAGTGCCTGATTGCAAAGAGAAAGCAGAGTCAATTTCATACGCTTGGTAGGCATCCTGGGTACCTGAGCAAAAGAAATTGGGTGAAGATTTAAAATGAGAGAATATGCCCTTCTCTTCTGAAACCCAGGGTAGCACTTGACAAGCACATCTCAAACATGGTTGGTAATACTATCAGTAATCCTTGTGTTTAGAACCCAAGTAAGTACTGATGTGATCAAAATTGGCACTCGGATGTGCAGTTCATATGCTTAAATTAAACCTGTCTCACTGCAATCAATTTTGAAAAGCTCACCCGATCAGGTTGATATTCTGACAGTGACAGACATTATTGTGAAGGGTTGGGGCAGATAAACCCCAAGATGAGAGCCCAAATTACTTGCTAAGCTATGTTACTTGCTTTTAAGTGGTAATGAATAAAAACCATAATTGGCCACCATTATCATCATCTATAATCTGTCCAATTGGGGGCCTAAGAGGGCATGATAATTTTTGAAATGTAGACCTCAGATAGAAATACATTGACCTGGGCCTTCAGCATGTTAACTCCCCAAAAATTTTAGCCAATGATTGGTCCATCAAAAAATACAGCACTGTGATACAGAAACTAACTGAATCCCTGAAACCAATGCGATTTCATCATGGCGTAGTTTACAATGGGTTTACCAAGTCATACACAAGATGAGCCAATGTATTGCATTGCACCTGCTCGAACCATTTTTGTGAAGCCATTAGAAATCAGTTTAAAAGTCAATCAAACATAAATTCAAAAGATTGGCAACACTTTCATTTGAAATTCGAAAAAGCTTCTTTTTAAGATGTCAAAAATGAAAACTTGTTATTGGACAGTATCGAAGCTTTGATACCTTTGTGAGAATTGCTAAATTTTCCTAAAAATATTTACAACAGGTTCTGTTATAGATTTAGAAAAACATCGATGAGATCACATTAAGGTGCTGGATTACATGATGATGGCCTTGGATTTGTGAAAAGTTACATATTTGAAACCATTTTTATCACGCCTCTTTCAATGCCGTCAAGGCACTTGATCGTAACTATTTATCGGGAAAATATTGTCTTTTCATTCAACAAGGATTTGTAATGTTGTTCGAAGGAATTATCTCCACTATTTAGTCCTTAAACAATATCGCAATGGATTTGACAAGATTGACTTAAAGACTTGTGACACATTTTATCGAATTGATTCTGTTGCAAGAAATCACGACATGACTTTCACCATACGGCACACTACAGTACAAAGAATTTACGAGCAAGTAACATTTTCTTATCAACACCTAGGGAAATGTACAGTTTTATGTACAGTATGACAGAAAGTACAAGTAGAAGTAGTTTTGTCATTTACAATGTTACCATAGCCTAAGCAATAATTTGTCTTTATTTGGAGAAAAGGAATATAGTGATGCTTTCAAATCCAACAATCTCAGGTACTAGCAGCTCAACATGCATTTGACAAAACCATATATTACTGTACCCTAATAACAATTCTTTGCCTCTTAGCAAGAAGCATTCTATGATATTCTTGCCTATGCAGCTACTGCATGCTATCTACTGCCATGCCGAGGTGCATTTGTAATTACTAAGAGGCTTTATAATTTGCGTTACCACGCCATGATAGAAATCCATCAAGGGTAATCCCTTCTTTTCTGTATCACAGCGCTGTATTTTTTGATGGACCAACTCAGGACAGTTAGGCCAGATAAAAATAAATCCTTTTTTAGTAAATTTTATGAACATTGTAAATTTTTAATTTTGGTTGGTTTTTTCTTAAGTATATTTTCATGGCGGCCTAAAACTCCAGTGGTGCTTTTCCTCCACAGCAAGGGGTCATTTGGGTAAGTTGTAAACAAGCCAGGCAAAACTGGCAAGCTCTAATTGGCTAAAAGAAAATTGTAAACAAAGCATCTAATTGGAAGTAAACAAAATTCCACCTTGCTGGAGAGTAGTCAAGCACTTTGAACCTTTATAATGGCTTTACGATGATCTCATTTCACCATGATTCCAGATCAAAACCTTCAGAACCTGACAAGCTAGACCTCTCCGAATAAATATGTGCCCATTGCAACGGGAGGGCACATTGAGTGCAGGACCTCCCCCCTTGAACTAACAAGTAACAAATAAGTAACCTGCACACCATCAATGAGCGGATGTGCCTTATTTGCTGAGCAAATGATCCCCTTTGAGGAGGGTGGAGTTCTATGGGTTTTGACCTCACATGAAACCGTGCAGTCATCCCCAAAGAATAAATGAAGATAGTTTGAAAATTAACATAAATCTATCAGCAGATAATTTTATTTAGACAATCTGAATAAGTCCCCTTTTTGTGGGGAAGAAAATTCCTCTTAGCTGAAGAATGACTTGTTTGAGGAAATGTGGCCATGGACTTGAAATATAATAAATCAATATAGGGTATGGCACCTGCTATGCACTTGATTATCTGCAAACACTCTCAAAAGTCGTGGATCTAACAAATTTTCCTCTGGTTCCCATGTATTGTATCTAAAGGACAAAAAATACAGAATAATGATGAAAGGATAGAACCAAAAGACAAACAGCTTAAACAAAATAATAATATCTGCAGTCAAATCCTGTAGCTAACGTTATCAAAAAAATAATGGAATTATCTTTATTATATTTAGTCAGGAAACAGGAAGAAACAAAACTATATTGTCTTGAGAAAATTTAACCCTGGGTCGAAAGTAATTGAATAGAGATGAATAGTGGTAAAAATTCTAGGGAGGCAAGATGAAATAGTCAAAAAGCAATCCATTTCCTCTTTTGCTTTCTTTTGCTATAATTTCCTCGTTAGTCGAAAACAACCGAGCTGCAGAAATTCGCGCTGCATTGCATTTTGCACAATAGAGAGAAAAATTTATATCAAACAACAAAATACGTAAAATTCGTTCGTTCGATAAAATGCCAACTTACTTTTGTGAGTAGCCATGCCATTTGACTAAATATTCTGTTTTCCCCTAAACAATAAAATATAAAATCAATTAAAATTTTTCTTCGTAGTAAGATTATGTATTGTTTTATTTTATTCAAACAGAGAAAAAGTAAAGTGACAAATTGCATTAAAGCATCACGCACTGTTGATAATGCACACTTTTTAGCTCTTATATTATCATGAAATTCTTTAATCACACTGTAACAAGAGAATGAATAATTTTCTGAATTTTTTCTCGAAAGAAGGCCTATAATATGTCGCGAAATGTTTTCAAAATCCTAAATATAGAATATTTTAAGTCAGATTTTAGTTCTAGTTTTGATGAGCAATAATCCACTTCGTCGAATTGAAATCACAGCTAATGCAAAAATAGGCAAGCACATAAATTCAACAAGTCTACAATAACATCCACGTGAACAAAATTTGTGCAGTGATGCAAGTGCTACCAGCACGACTTAGGCCCGAGAACTTTCGTACAATGACACAAACTTCGATCAACAATGGTGAAGTAAATATATTGCAACTTGTACCTTTTTCATCCGCTTCTTCAATATTCGTTCAGCTGCAAATACCTCACCTCTCTGCGGCCCTCTCTCCATGCTTTAAGCTGAAACAAGCTGAAGAAAACCAACGCGAAACATCTTTAAAAAGACCATGTCGGCTTGCAACTCTATTAACTCCTCTTCTTTTAAAAATATCGATAGCCTTCATGTCATAGTGCTCGCGCAGGCTCTGTTAACTTACGTCATTCAGATTGGGGAATAATAATAAAAATTCCGAAATATTTTTGGTCTGGTCGTTCATTCAATTTTGAATACACCCACCCGTGAAGGCCCAACCAGTTCAGTGTCTAGTTGGAATACGCCAATTAAGTCTTTTGGCAATTCTGTTTGGAATATTTAGATTATTTATTATATTGGAACACGCCCTGGGCAGCTTCTAATGAATATCTCCTTTCGCTGTCATTTGGTTTAATGGGGAAATTTCTTCACAAAGCCAAATTTGGAAGTTGGATTTTTCATCAAATTACCAAGAAGCTTGTTAATTTTCCTACTTTTTGTATCCTTTTTTATGCTGCCTAAACCATAGGCCCTGACACAGGTTTGAAAGTGGGGGGGGGGGGGGCAAAGGAAAATTTAACACCGACAACAAAATATTTGAAAAAAGCTCTATCGTTTTGCAAAAAAGTGGGGGCATGGCTCACCTTAGTTTATTTTTCTACCTACTTTAGAATGCTACTGATTGATTTATTTGGTATGTTGGTAAAATGACTTGATAAACTTTGCATTAAAATGACCAAAAATACCAAAAAGACCAACAACACATCACCCTGGGTACCAAAGCCTGAGAGAGTAAAGGGTTGAAGAACATCAAAAACTCCAAAAAAACTACAAAATTGAAAACACCAGGGCCATCAAAATCGCTTGAAACAAGGAAAGCACCAAAAAAACTTCTAGTGCCTTTTCCCCACAAAGCAAATTCTCAAGGGCTGGGGTTTTTCAGTAGCATAGCCAAATTGACAAGATTATGGGGGGCAAAGGCGGTTGGGCAAAGGCGGTTGAGCGAAGGAGGAGTTGGGCGAGGAAGAAATTGAGCAAGAAAAAACCCTTTTACAAAGATATTTTTTTCAATAAGGGGCGTCCGCCCTTTCGCGCCACCTCCTCACTACGATACTGTGCTTCTCCCAGTGGCAAAATATTAGGCCATACATTTTCATGTTCATTTCTCCTTAAAAAAATTGTGTTGTTCTTGACCCCGCCTCTAATTACCCAATTCAAACGATAAATTCACTTTAAATCGTTTCTGGCAAACGCATCGCACTATTTTTGCATTAAAAGGACCTAAATGGTAAAAATGTGGTAATCCACTTTTCAGAATTCTTCCGAATCGACAATTCAGTTCACACAGGGCCCGCGCCACAGGGGTCGGGGACATGGTCCCCCACTTTTCTTGCTAACTATAGGTATAAAGTCTCCCCTTTTGTCCCCCCCCCCCCACTTTAGAATCGTTGGCGCAGGCCCTATCATAAAACTGATATTCATTGTCAATTTTAATTCTATCCATTGCTAATTTATCCTTCCAGGAATACTTAATTTTAACAGAAAACCTAGCAAGATTAAAAACATAATATTTTTTATTAAATTGTTTTCCCAGATCCCAGCATTTTTGAATGGGCAGTGTCAGCAACGCATTTTTCCTTTCAGATGTTCACGCATGATACTCTTGGTACAAAGCATTTCAAACTGCAATCAGTTTCACTTTGACTAACTAGGGACTCATTCCTAAAGCCCTGAACCAAACCATTGCACAAACATTCTTTTTATGCTGTTAGATGGTGCATACTATAACAAAAGACATAAGGACCATTGGCTGACCATTGGACAAGTGACCTTCACATACGTCTCTTCTGACGATGCTACAACGGACAGCGTCATTATCAAAATTATTCTGGGCGATGCTCAGGTTCAAATGTGATAATCATCCACAAAGTCACTATTTTGACCTGAATAAAGTCCCTTGGGCGTAGCCTGTGGAAATTTTGTAGATGCCTTCTGGATCTGTATATCTTAAATCTATTTTGCCCTAAGATCGAAGCTAAGTCAACGAATAGAATGACTTTACTGTTAAAGTAAGATTGTGAAGTAAGTATTATCCTTTCAATTTGTGGGGATGGGACAACATTTTTCCATCACAATTGCTATTGAGAGGGGACTTCTAGCATTGCTGATCAGATTGCCTTTGGTTCTCTAAGCGCCTAGAGCATTCTCCTGAGTTTCAAGTCCATTTCATATTTTTGTCGAACCTCAAGCCATTGTTTCAGGACAGGAGTCAATGCAGATTGCCCGCGTTTCTATCGCGTTTCCTTTTGTTGTATAGTCCATCTCCTCAAGCCTGTTGCTATCATTGAATTATTGATAACTTTACGCCTACTCTATTCTAAACAAAAAACCCTCTAAGCTCTGAATGATTTCAGTTTAACATCGGGGAGCTCAACATCCATTTTTAGCAAGTTGTATAATTTTTTTAAAATTTTTGTAAGTTATTTTAACAGTAGAGTATGATTTCATCATTAGGCCATAATTGACTTCATTTGCTTAAACAGCAATATATAGATAAATATACATCTAAACGATAGAGTATTATATGAAACTTGTATTGTGATGAAGAAGGAAAATTGAATAAAAATTTGTTGTAGGTTAATTTTTGATAAAAATATCGCAAAAATATGTGGAATTCAAGTTGTATAAAGAAAAATTCTTTGAACATGCTAGATTTTAAAGTTGCGTAATAATGAAAGACAACACCTGCTTATTTGTCTTTCAGAATTATGATTAGATTTCAAGGCTTAGAATCAAGGCTTAGTGGGGAAACTTTGTGAGGAATTTTGAGGTGAATGCATGAAAATTTCTAAAAATAAGGTGAGGACGTTTCTTGAGATGCTCAGTGTCAAGAATGATGGTAAACCTCCCTAATAATATCACAAGACTAATTGGTCATTTTTTCAACAATTAGTTTAAAAGTGATGAAAGAATTCTGAAAAAGTGATTGACGCCCTTCTAAAGATTTTTCTTTATGAAAGCTTACGCTAAACATAAAGAATTATCATAAATTTTTGTTGATTTTTCTATGAAAGCTATTGTAAATGATTAACTTAGGTTTGAAGAGCACTTTCTGGGATTTTACACAACTACCAATTTAGGACCAGACTGAATAAGGCCCTATTTGAGTAAACTAAAGCTTTTCGTCTGACACGCTGTCATCCCCAAAGAGAACAGCCACCTCGGTCTTGCAAATCTAAAATTACAACTAAAACCTGCGATTCTGCTATCGAACAGCATTTACTGGAAAACCCAGATTGTGCAAATAACTATTATTAAGACATGTTTCGGATTATTGGTAAAGCCCGATCGTCGTTCCACCTAGCAGTTTTAGAATCTATCTACATAGGCATGAAAAACCGCTACTGTGTAGACAAAAGGAGTTCGTTTTCACCTTAGGACTTCATTGGTAACATTCTAATAGGCAAGCGGCACTGATTGGTCAACCTTTACAGTCATGTGCTCGTGTTTCTGATTGGCCTATTTCGATCCACAACTGGGTATATATATTTCCTAGCGTAGAGTTTTCGATCTATGTTCTGTCGTTTTAAACTCTGAAGAGTGTCAGACGAAAAGCTTTAGTGAACTAAATGTTTGCTTCTTTCAAAGCCATTTTCAAGTTTTGTACCACCAAAAGATTGTTTAAAAGAATCCTAGAATTTAGGTTCATAAATTTTAACCCTTTTGACAAACAGTATCATTAGATAGAAACTTTTAAAGGATGCTCAAAATTATAAACGAGGATGGCGCAGTGGTAAGGTCACGGACTACAGGTCTTAGGGTCCGAGGAGGGCCGCGGGTCAAGACGAAAGATAAATAGTATGGGGAATGCTCCCATAGGAATTTTCGAAAATGATGGTTGCTTAAATTTCCTTGGTGGCTATTTTGGTTGCAAAAATTGCTATGTTGGCTAAACTGCTCTGGTGGCAGTGGCGTAGATAAAAGGGGGTCAGAGGGGGCAACAAAACCCCTGTAAAGCTAAACTGCTATATTATCGGAAAACCTCTGGTCTTGTCGGAAATTTAACATGGTTTTCTATGTTTATCTAATTGATATGTTATGATAGAAAAGAATTTAAAGCTAAATAAACAAATGAATATCTGCATATATCAAAATATTTATTTATTTCTGTTCTGATGTCGTTATGTTAAATCTATGAACAAAATATTAATGCTTGTTAGAATTTTGTCGGAAAATCTAAGTTTCTCACCCCTCCTATGAATTTTCCTATCTAGGCCATTGTCTTGTGGCTATTACTTCTGTTTGCTGTTTGATAAAATTTGAGCATAACTGATATCTTAACACCAACAGCGAAATTTCTTAGAAGTTTTAAAAGTCTTAGAAAATGGACAACGTTTAATTCGATAACTAATTTTTATCTCAACCGACACACTATTGCAAATAGATGTGCATGCCATAGTGTAAATCTGTATGATACACACGTTGTTTTATGTTGCCTGTTGCAATCACATTTTTTAGTAACATTCAGAAGCTTTTCAACTTCTTTAGCCCAAGCCTACAAAGATGAGAAATTCTTAACAAAAATAAATCAGGCAGTCAGACTCAAACTGCCTCTACCTTACTGTCCTTATTTCATTCAAAGACTTTTGTCATTATTGTCTCTATTAATTATTAGTTTGTGGTAATGAAGAGGCTGGATTATTGCTCAAAAATGTTTTAGATCGAATTATTATTTATGGGTCCCTATAGCCAAGGGCCCCCGGATCAGTGACCCCCCCTGACCCCCATCTCCTCAGCACTGGGTCTAAGTTCGAGTCCTTGCAACGACCTAACATTCACTTATGGTAAGAGGATACCCCAGCTCTCCGTAATTTCATTTTCAGGCGTAGGAATCACGAGGTGTGGTCACATTGAAAGGAAACGACCAGCAAACTGGTCAATTGGCATAGCATAACTGTGCTCTAAAAGCAACTTTCGGATGATAAGTAGAAAAATACATCCAAGTTGAATAGGAGGTGAATTTGTTGCAATTCTATGTGTATCTTATGTTTATTCACAAGCTTCAAAGATAACAAGGTGATCTTGGTTGCTCAGAAAAGTATTGCGGATCGGGTTGGTCAAACTCAGGTGAAATTAAGAGGGATAAAAGGATCT